AAGAATGAGATTTGCCTTTGTGACAACTTGGGTGGACCTAGAGGGTATAATGCTAAGTGAAGTATGTCAGGAGGAAAAAGACAAATATTATATAATATCACCTATATGTGGAATCTAAAAAACAAAAGTAATAAACGGAAAATCAGATTCAAATATAGGGAATAAATTTGCAGTTGCCAAAGTGGAGGAAAGTTGGGGTATGGGTGAAAGATGTGAAGGGGGTTAAGAGGTACAAAGTTCCAGTTATAAAGTCATAGGATGAAAAGTACAGCATATAGAGTAAATAATACTATAATAGCTTTGATGACATACGGTAGCTACAGTTACTGGGGTAGCATTCCCTAATGTATAGAAATGTTGAATCACTACATTATAGGCCTAAACCAAATATTGTATGTCAAGTATAATATTAAATTTAATATTAAAAAAGATTCATTAAAAAAGATTAGAGAATTTTATATCATTTTTAAGTTTGAAAGTCAATATCTTAATTGCTTTTAAGCTAGGGATGTTTTATATATTGTGTGTATGTGTGTGTAGCATTTAAAACTTACCTAGATTTAAAACAAGGAAAAATTCACTTTAAATTTACTAGATTTAAATAATTATACATAATGTATATACACATGGTATGGATATATAATTTATTACTCTAAATTTTTTTTTAAAAAATATTTTTTTTAAATTTATTTATTTAAGATAGTCACAGAGAGAGAGGCAGAGACATAGGCAGAGGGAGAAGCAGGCTCCATGCACCGGGAGCCCGATATGGGATTCGATCCCGGATCTCCAGGATCGCGCCCTGGGCCAAAGGCAGGCGCCAAACCGCTGCACCACCCAGGGATCCCAATTTATTACTCTAAAGTGAAATGTGTATTGCTTTTTAAATATGGGAAATGACAGGAGTTACATTTGCATGTGTGTTATTTTTTGAGCAGAGATGGACTAGAAGGTTCATATTAACATTTGCTAGAATAGCAAACTTTATCTTGACAACATGTCCTATCACTTGTATCAACTGTGTTCTTTTATCTAATAATTTGTAAGTCTGTGGAGGAAGCCTGGCTTGTGAAGAGGTCTTCATACCCCTCCCTTGAAATTGGCATTTAAAAGTATACTTAGAAACTACAGTCATTTCCTTTTTATCAAACCGAGTGAAGAATATGGTAAGGCTGTCATTTGTGTTTCCTCCTCTCCCCTCCTCTGACATAAGGTTTCTGGGGCTCCAACCTCACCCTAGCACTCTTGCTAGGATGGTGTCACGGACTCCTGGCTGGTCATGGATGACTGGCACATTTCTCTTCTGATCTCAGCTCCTCACATTTAACTGCCTGCAAGATGACATTAAAACCTGGGCATGTCTAGTAGGCAGATTCAGTCCCTGAGCAACATGCATGGATATGCAATGGCCTCAGTCGTCCTTTATCACCATGTCAGCTGTGGTACCACATGCCACCTGGTCCATCTGAGATACAACCTGAACATCGCCTTCGACTCTTCCTCCTACTTCATTCCTCAGTTTCATTGACCTTTTGTGCTAAATAATCTCTCACATTTTCTGTCCCCTCTCCACACCTAGCACTTCTGTCCTGGTTGAAACCCTCATCCTTGTCTGAGCTATTTCAGCAGCATCGTGACTAGTCTCCTGTCTCCAGCCTACTTGTCATCAAATCCACCCTCCACATCCCTGCTAAAAATCTAACTAAAACATTCCCAAGCACAGTATCTTCCATCATATAATCCTTACCTATCTCTTGTGTCTGATTCTGGTACTCCTTTTTGGTTTCCATTTCATATTCTAGCAATACTGTATTGCTTCTTTTGGGAACCACTGGACTGCTCAGTTAAGCATCCTCCTCTTGGTTTCAGCTCAGGGCATGATCTCAGGGTCATGAGATTGAACCTGGGCAGTTCTGTGCTGCATGGGTAGTCTGCTTCTCTTTCCCTCTACCCCTCGACCTGCTTGTGCGTGCACTCTCCCTTTCTAAAATAAATAATTAAAAAAATAAACTGCTTATACTCCTCTTTACCACGTTATGCTCATGCTGCAGCTGCTTAATTGAACATTCTTCCTAGCCTCACTTCATCTAACTTCAACTCATCCTTTTTTTTAATTTAAATTCAATTACATAACATATAGTAAGTACATCATTAGTTTAAGATGTAGTTTTCAATAATTCATCAATTGTGTATAACACCCAGTGTTCATCACGCTCATTCTTTAAGAATCTGCTCAGGTGTGATTTTCTCCAGAGAGCATTCTTATTTCATCCTCTTCACTTCCAGTGAATTACATGCTTGACATCTGTGCTCCCATAATATCCAGTGTACACCACCATTATTTCACTTACTGTGTTGCAACAGTAGTTCTTCACTTCTAGGAAAATTTTGGCTTACTTGGAAGTAGTATGTTTGTTACTTTTTTTAATTTAGAGAGAAAGAGAACCAGCAGGGGTGGGGGAGGGGCAGAGGGAGAAGCAGACTCCCCACTGAGCAGAGAGCCTGATCCAAGGCTGGATCCCAAGACCCTGGGATTATGACCTGAGCCAAACGCAGACACTTAACCAATTGAGCCACCCAGGCACCCCTGTTACTTTACTTTTAAAAATATTAAAGCATCCTAATGCTAAGCAGGATAGGAGAACTGAAGAGAATCAAATGCCATATAGATATTTCCTTCTTATCTGAATGTAAGGGCAAGTATGAAAAGGTAAATAAATATAAAGAAGAAAAACCATAACACAAGGAACTCTTTCAAATAAGGATGTCTGGAATCCAGGCCAGGATCAGAGTGGGCCAAATGAGGCATTTTCAGAATGGTCCTCCAAATTTTGTGCCTAGGCTAGTCACTTGCTTTACCCTACCTAGTCCTAGCACTGCCAGATGAGGATAGAAGGAAAGACAATACATATATAAGTCTTGTGTTTGAGCACATCAATTATATGGAAATAAAATGACTTGGACAGTTATAAATGGGATGGGGGGAGAGAGAACAAAAGGAAAGGAATGATTTCCATGGTAGGACTTGGGGTCAGGAGGTGTGTGGCTCACCTCTGGCATGGAGCTGACTTCGTGCACCTGGCCGATGAGCTTACAGTAGGATTGAAAAAGCAGCAGCAGCTGGAAGTGCAGTTTATATAATCTCTGACACAGTTCCAATTGCTAAAGAGAGAGTGTGCATGGGAAGAAACCGTTATTAAGGATCATTCTTGTATAACAAGTGAAACCTTGATGGAGAAAAACATTTTTTTAAATCAAGGAAACATAACTAGCTGTTATATTCCAGATGAAACAGAACAACAAAACCCAGTCAATAAATACCAGTGAGAAATTCACAGTATAATAGAGAATAGTTCCTGGAAGATGACTAATTAGGAGTAGTAGCTGTAAAGGGACCCAGTGAATTACCAAATTTCCATTATACTTGCCAATTAACATATCTACAAGTTATAGCTGTGGTCATCTTAATTGCGGTTATCTTAGTTTTTTATAAGATAGCATTGTTTTAAAAAGCAAAAAAAATATTAAAAGTATACTTGAAAGGCAAAACCTTAAGTAATTCTAGGTGTCAAATATAATAATTCAGCAATTTGGAAGGTTACTCCATGTGATAATTTTGGCTGCCATTTAGAGGGCAGACACTCATCGCAAAATCTGTAAACACAACAGTCCTATGATCCTCTAAGTTGTTGTATCAGTTTTAGTGACGATGCTTCTACTCAGTGCTCAAATATTTGTTGAATTACAGAGATAAAAAGGGGCCACATATACCTACAAAAAGGAGAAATTAAGGGAACATTCAAAATTTTCTATGGAAAGAACATAAAGGAGTCATACAAAATGTCCTTGAGCCCTATAGATACCTCTTGAATTTAAAATGTTTTCATTATATGGCTTGTGTATATGGAGGGAAAAGTAAATCTTAACTCCAACACCAATGATCATACTACTCTTTGAGCTGTTATCTGCTTGTAGTGGCCTCTATATGTTGCCTGTTTTACTCCAAGAATGAGTTAGCTCCTAGGTGGTAGATAGAAAAGAGCAGCCTTCACAAGTAGAATATCCTGGCTCAGCAGTCACCATTGAAAGTGGGTTAAATATGTGGCTTCAACTAAACATGTCACTGTTCTGTTTTCAAACATGGTTAAGTAAGGATAAATAGGGCCTTTCTTTTGCTAATGGGCTATAAAGAACTCAGCTCAATATTAAGAGCTACTGAGGTCACTTAAAATTGTTCTGCCAAATCAGTTTAGGGAGAGAAATTACAAGAACTTAGGTTAGGCATTAGGAAGAATATCCTATTATTATAATCTTATTAGAAGAATCTTATTAGAATTTTGATCCTTATTGTTAAAAATCACCAAAGTCCATGCTAAGGCTATGCTGAAGAATGAAGTTTTCTTTCTCTTGTCCTTTCTCTGGCCCTGGAGGAAAAATAACCATTCTAGATTTAGATTTAGATTTATTTGATCTCTTAATACTGATACTGAACATAAGTTTAAAGAAGTAGCTACTCATTAGTTAACCCAAACTAGATCTTTGGTTGTTTTTGCAAAGCATTTTGTTCTTTTGATCATTTAAAACTTTATAGAAATCTTTTAAAATCTGGTATAAAAGATAGCTGCCAGAGACTTGAAGATAAATAAAGTATTGTTTAAAAACATAATGTTACCTCCACAACTTAGGGGGAAACGTAGCTATGAAAAATGTGACCTTTGTTAAGTGTCTGATAAGGCTGGTTATTGTTGAAAATATCCCAGACAGTATGAGAGTTCATAGTAACTTAAGTTTCTTACATTGGGACAAAAGCAGCCCCCAATGCTACTAATTCCCTGCACATCTCAGTCTACCAAATAAAATAAAATGAAATGCAAAGGGGAGAACATGCTAAGAGATATAACAGTAACCATAAAAATAAGATTTGTTATGGGTCCATGCCTAAAATGGACAAAGAGTATGAAAGAAAGTTAACTTACTGCAAGAGATTCCATTTGCTACACAGCAAGCATGGCACAGGAAACAAAGGAAAGGAAAGAAAGTACAGGGTCAGTGTAATGCATGCAACGAAAAGCATGGCCCTCTTCCAAGAACAGAACCGTCAGCAGTATTAGCATTGCTTGCCCAAACTTGATAAATGTTTGCACGTCTTGTACCCATTCAACATGCACAGCGGTCCAGTTAAAAAGAAGCTTGAATGGGAAACATGTCACTGAAAAATATAATTTGTAATCATTTAGATTCTCTGATTAGTTGGTTTACATTTTGTCAGTATGGGAGACCAGAAGTCAAAACTTTAATTGCTTGAAGATATTAGTGTTTAACTGTGAATAATATGTGAAAGGAGTAAAACTGTGAGGAGACCAGCTGAGTAATCTGAAAGAACTGTAGCTCAAACTAACTATTACTATTGCTACCTGTTAGTTAAGGCGGAGTCTTTAATCTCTTTGGCTTCATATCTGCTAAACTATGACTATCCAAATTAACATATATAATTAACAATCTATGTGGCATTTTCTTCAGAGTCACATTGCCTTTCCCCTTAAGAATATTTCATAGGGCTGTGAGATATAGTCATTTCAAAGGATCTTGTCTCAAGTGTGAGATAAGAGAAGTAATTTTCTTGTATTTCATTTTTAATAATTTCCTCAATTTCTAAAAATAATCTAGAACTAGAGGGTAGTTTAGAATAACATAAAGCTGTAACTGAGCGATGTTCGATTATGGCTTCCATTTATTGGAGTCATCGTATCAGAACCATAGACTTGGCTTTAAGGAAAGTGTGGGTGTGTGGGAAGATGATCAGAATCTGACAGAATATTAAAAAAAAAATCAACTTGGCCCTTCCTAATTATGGGTCAATATATCTGGTTCTGGATTTGCAAAATATTTAAAGACATCTCCAATTCAGTTTCTAATCCTTGATAGGAAAAAACACTTATTTTAAAGCTCTTTCTTTTCTTTTTTTTTTTTTAAAGCTCTTTCTAAAAAAAAATCTGGGTTATTATCAGTTTAATGTATTACACTTAATATAAGGTACAGTACACACACATACTCTTAAATCATTAGTATTTTCAAGCATGAAGCCTCACCACTAGTGACCTCCCCAATCCCTCCCCCTGTCCTCCAAGGGTCTCTTTCTGGCCTCACCTGTTACTAATATCACATGAGTTGGGCACACTGATGACTATTCTGCTTTTTGAGTAGTTTTTTGGACCTTGGCCATAAAAATCTTTCATAGGTTTCAAAGCTAAATATGTGAAAGCCTGTGATGTAGATGACACAGTCCGAAGTATTTACTATTTTCAAGAAAACTTTATGCTGGGGCAGCCCCGGTGGATCAGCGGTTTAGCGCCTGCCTTTGGCCCAGGTTGTGATCCTGGAGACCTGGGATCAAGTCCCACATCGGGCTCCCTGCATGGTGCCTGCTTCTCCCTCTGCCTCCACCCCCGTGCCTCTTATGAATAAATAAATAAATAAAATCTTAAAAAGAAACTTTATGCTTTGATGTTTTTATAACCAAACCTTTAAGTACTGAAAAAACTGCTATTTTTCTGTTTTCCAAAACATGGCTGTAATCCAAGAAGTTCATCAGATCAGTTAAAGCAGAATGTCCTCTGTTCAGTAAAGGCAAATGAGACTTTTTGACTTCAGCTTGGTGCTGAGGAATTTCATTGTCAATGAATTCCTCCCACTCAGTTCTCAAGGCACAAAACTGTATTTCTTGGGTGATGGCCAACTTGACGCACACCAGTTTTCTGTATTCTTAAACGCTCCTTTTTAGGTAGGTTGGTGCAAGCCGCCTTGATCTTTATTATCTCAGAATCCTTCCTAGGCCACAAGCTGGGGTCTTGTCTGCATTTAGAACTTCCAAAAAGATAGTGAAAAATGCCCTTTGTGGGGGGCGTATTATGGAATATGTTAAAACCTTTTATCCCTCCTGTACTGTTTTCTGTATCCAAGTTTTAAGAATAATCCCTTCATAAGTCTTTTTTAAAAAATTTAAAAAGATTTTATTTATTCACTCATGAGAGTCACAGGGAGAGGGAGAAGCAGGCTCCACTCAGGGAGCCTGACACGGGACTTGATGGCAGGTCTCCAGGATCACACCCTGGGCTGAAGGCGGCGCTAAACTGCTGAGCCACCCGGGCTGCCCCCTTCATAAGTCTTTATGAATGTATTTATGTTTTGGTGACTTAAGATTCTTTTGAAAATGTCATGGTAATGTCATCAATTTATTTGGTCAGAAGGATTTTCTTCAAGCCTTGTTCCTGTACTGCTAATATAACTTTATTTATAAATTGGGTTTAGAGGCATGTTTTCTCAGAATGAGAAAAAAATATCAAGAAACAAAGACATTAAGAAATGATAATAGAGGGTAGCTTAAAAGCCCAGAATAATCTAATTTTTGTTCATTAACAGTATCATAGCCATTCTTGTTTTTCTGTATGCTGCTTTGAAATGAGTTCTATGCTTATGATGTAGACAGGTAAAAAATCGGAGAAATTTTTACCATGACAGAAGCTATAATGTACTGTAATAGCTATTATTTTCATCATATTTAATCTCTGAAAGCCACTGGTTTAAATGGGATCAAATTTAGACAATCTAGCCTAATGCTGCAGCTTCCTTACCCAATAATACATAGATGTGTCTAATCTCTTAAGTAGGTATAAACAGTATGTGCTTGCCTGTTGCTAGTATCACTTGAGTCTGGCACACTGATGACTATTATATTATGTTTGCTGAGTAGTTTTTTTGGACTTTGGCCATGGATATCTTTCAAAGCTTTGAAAGACAAATACCTTTAAGCCTATGATACAGATTACACAGCCTGAGGTATTTACTATTTTTAAGAAAACTTTAAATTAATCAGATACTTTCTTTTAATCAGCGCAGGGAAGAGGATTCCTTACACAAGAGTAATTGACTCTATTTGGAGGATGATGTTTATTTATTTATTATTTTTTTAATTAATTTTTATTGGTGTTCAATTTACCAACATACAGAATAACACCCAGTGCTCAGAGGATGATGTTTAATGGGTTATAGTTCAACTGCAGAAACTGCAACTTGTCTTGTTCAATTTGTATAAGAACAGAGGTTGCAGGCTTCTTGTTCATTGATTATGCAGGGATGGGAAGGACCTAACTGAGAGGGATAGTGTCCAAAAAGACCTAGTAATTGGAATGATGATTTGAATATAAGATGAAATGTAGTAGGGCTAAATGGAAATTATTACACTTGAATCTGAAGAGTCAAATGTTCAAGCTGTCCTCAGAAATACCTGCTGAATTAGGAGTGTGCCAACTAAAATAACATAATGAGTGAAATGGAAACAGCTCCAGCTTTGCCAGGGCCAGCTCTGCAGGACCCAGGAGGTAGGCCATATTCATTAGTTACAGGGCTGAGACTCATGGTGCCATCCTAAGCACCTGGAGCTGGGGTTCTCCCCAACCCATATTTCTGTTAACTTAAACTACCTAGAGGTAGCCACTCTAGATGAATTCCACAGGAAGTGGAAACCCAAATTCTTAATCAGAAGTGCTGTTTTAGGTCATGAATAGTTTTGTTCCTGCGCTTGTGCAGGCTGAGAAAATATGGGTAAAGCAGTTTCTGCAGATCATACTCCTTGTCTTATGTTCTAGTCAGTGTATGCTGTGTGTTATTCTAGGAGAATGGCTATTATAATCACCCAGAAGCCTAAATCATTTACTAATCATGCCTGTCTTTTAAAACAAGCCTTCCCTCAAAAATTCTTCCCAAGTATTAGAAACACTGTTTTTAAGAAACTGTTTTGTACATACACTGAGAATTCTTGAAAGTACACCCGAGTAAGCAGGTTGAGCAGACAGGCACTTGCTTGCGTCTTGTATACATGGAGATGTTTCTCACACAGGCAAAGGAATAACACTCTCAAGCAGATGCTAATGGGTGGGCCATTTTTCTTGAAACATACAGCCCTGTCTATCTGGCTTCCCCATTTAGAGGCCTTAAGTACAGAGATACATTTTTCTATTATAAGGAAAACAGCAGTCCAATCATGATGATTGGCACCCAGCTCTTGCCTTCAGGGTTAGGAATTCAATGTGCAGCGGGAAATGGTGGACAGCAGACCAGAGGGGCAAGCTCGCAGCTGCCCTGTACGAAGGCAGGCCCCACGTCGCTGGCTCTTCTTTTTCAGAAATGGCATACTGTTGTGAGGGTATTGTGTGAGCGATTTTAATTTTAACTTTTGTTAAGTTTTTTTCTCATTTAACTTTTAATGTGTCTCAGAATTGTATGACAGATTTTTTGGTCAAGTTGTTTCCATTAAAAAGTACCGATTTAAAAAACTAATAAAACTGCTATACACACACAGCCATACACACACACAAAGACAAATGGTCCACAAAACATTCTCCTTTCCTTCTGAAGGTTTTACGATGCATTGTTATCATTAACCAGCTATTAAATTTAAATTGCCAATTGACACAAAAAGTTCTGAGACCATTCTTCCACCACTGATTAAGATTGGGGTGGCAGGTATTGGGGATAATATTCATTTAGCCTTCTGCTTGGCCTTGCCAGCTCCAGCTGCCTTCTTGTCCACTGCTTTGATGACACCCACAGCAACCATCTGTCTCATGTCACCAACAGCAAAACAGACCAGAGGAGGATAGTCAAACTCTCAACAAACACAGGCTTGCCGAGAACCATATCAACAATGGCAGCATCACCAGATTTCAAGAACCTGGGCCCATCTTCCAGCTTTTTTCCAGAAGGAAGCTCTATCTTCTTCCTTAGCTCAGCAAACGTGCAAGCTATGTGAGCTGTGTGACAATCCAGCACAGGTGCATATCCAGCATTGATTTGGCCTGGATGGTTCAGGATAATGACATGAGCCATGAAACTGGCTGCTGCCATTGGTGGGTCATTTTTGCTGTCACCAGTCACATTGCCACGATGAACATCTTTGACATATGTTCTTGACAGTAGAGCCTACACTGTCCCCAGGAAGAGCCTCACTCAAAGCTTCATGGTGCATTTCAACAAACTTCACTTCAATTTTAACACTGACTGGAGCAAAGGTGACCACCATGCCAGGTTTAAGAACACCAGTCTCCACGTGACCCACAGGGACAGTACCAATAACCACCAATTTTGTAGACGTCCTAGAGATGCAGATGCAAGGACTTGTCAGTTGGTGGACAAGTTGGTGGCAGAATGCAATCCGGAGCTTCAAGCAGTGTGGTTCCACTGGCAATCCCATTTTTATGGGTGACTTTCCATCCTTTGAATCAAGGCATGTTAGCACTTGGCTCCAGCATGTTGTCACCATTCCAACCAGAAATTGGCACATATGCTGCTGTGTTGGGATTGTGGCCAATTTTCTTAATGTAGGTGCTATATTCCTTAACGATTTCCTTGTATCTCTTCTGGCTGTAGGGTGGCTCAGTGGAATCCAATTTGTTAACACCAACAATTAGTTGTTTTTCACCTAGTGTGTAAGCCAGAAGGGCATGCCACAGGTCTGCCCATTCTTGGGGAAACCTGCTTCAAATTCACTAACACCAGCAGCAATGATCAGGACAGCCAGTCAGCCTGAGATGTTCCTGTAATCATGTTTTTGATAAAGTCTTTGTGTCCTGGGGCATCAGTGATGGTCACACAATACTTGCTGGTCTTGAATTTCCACAGGGAGATATCAGTGGTGATACCATGTTCATGTTCAGCTTCAGTTTATCCAAGACACAGGCATACTTGAAGGAGCCCTTTCCCATCTCAGCTGCCTCCTTCTCAAATTTTTCGATAGTTCTTTTGTTGATCCCATCACATTTGTAGATCACACGACCAGTAGTGATAGACTTTTCCGAATCTACATGTCCAGTGACAATGATGTTGATGGGAATCTTCTCCTTTCCCATTTTGGTTCAGGTTTAATGGTGGTTTTCACAACAACTGTGTTTTGGCAGGAAACCCATTGCTAGTGATTTTAATTTTTAAATATCAAGCCAATTAAGAAAATATCATACAAGCATAATAAAACATGTCTGTGAATGGGGTTACAAGTGTCCAGATCACCTGTGTAACCTTTCTACATTATTTTGATGTCTGCAACTTCACGTTAAGAATAAAAGAGAAACTGGACAACAAATATTCCACACCTAGCAAGGAGTTATACTGTCTTCTACAAACCATTCCACAGTGACTTCTCACTTATGCCACCTGTTTGGAATGACCAGAAATCAGCTTGTGGCAAGGACCAGATGGCGCTAGGTAGGGCTTGAGAATGGGAAGACTCCATACACCTATGTGTACACTCTCTCCATTCTGGCAGACTGACCTAAGATCTCAGGAATTTACTTTGCTAAGTTCAGTAAACCAAGTACTAATCCTTTCCTAAAGTACACATTTCTCTGAAACAGAAACACTTGTTTAACAATCATTGGCATGGTTATTCTGCAATCTACATTCAGACAATGATTCTGTGAATCATAAGGTCACTTTTCATCCCCATTCCATTTGTCTCCATGCAAAGGATGCTCAGAGTAACTGACAACTTCAAAGTGTTCCAGAAAACAGGGAACCTGACTAAACAAAAGAGTTGGAGAGAATCACTTGAGGATAAACTGTGCTCTGAGGTCAAAGACTTGTTGGGTTTTACTTTGGGAGAGAAAAAAAATAGGTAGCTCTAATTGGCAAAATAATACCTGCCAACTCTGGACATAAGATCATTGTTTCATTGGAGTGACATCATCATCCATGGTCAAGGCCCATCTTTAGTATTGTGTAAAGATTTCCCCCTCATTTGCCCTCATAGCCCATTTTTAGCCTTGAATGTTATTTGTGATGGGAACACAGTTGTCTTTGTCTCTACAGTCCCCCCTGTGCCCAGCCAGACCTCACATTTAGCAGTGGTTTAGGTAAGGTGGGTGGAATTAGAGAATGTGAGGTTTAAGCTGCATGCCCAGTGGCCAAATTACTTCCAAAGTCTACTAACAGAATTTAACGGGGTATCCCAGTGATTTAAAGAAATCACCCAGCCTTGCCTGATTCACCCTCTCTGAAAGATGGTATACAATTTGCTTTCCAAGCCATCTTCAACCTCAGAATTGTCATATACAAAGGGCCAAAAGCATCTTCTTCAGGACATCTGTTCATTGTCTGAGTTCTCTGGTCATCAGTGTCTCCATGAGCCATGCAGGGGAATTGTAATGCACTGAGCTAATGCCAGTAATGGGAAGAGAGCAAGGTTGGTTTTGCAAAAATGCTGGACACATCAGACTCAAAATTTGGCCTTCTGTTGACCTTTTCCTAACAAGCCCACTCTCCGCCCTGCTGGGTGTTTTATGCAGGTTCCTAAAACCATACAGACATTTAGACGGATGCTGGATATTCTCCTCTAGCTGTTTTCTATGTGTATGTTTTTACCTTTAAACTAAGTTAGAGTAAGTTTGCCCTCTGGGAGAGGGGAGAACCTGGCCTGGAGAGATAGCCTCTTAGCTTCAACTTTCTTATCTGGGAAAACCATTCCAAGGACTGCTGTAAAAGATCAAATGAGATTATATATGTACAGTGCTTGAAAACTATTAGTTTCTTCTTTCCATGTTTGTATTCTCAAGGCTTTATTATAATGCTAACAGAGTTGCCACGTAGAGATACTTGAGTGAAGAAATGAAGTCTAAAAACAAGAAAAGGGATGAGAAGAAACAAGACTACAACATAGATGCACAGAAAGGGTGGGATGAGGAGGAAATGAAAAAGAAAAAACCAGCAAGAAATGAAAAGGTTAAGCAAAAACAACAGAATCTTTCGTGGAGGGACATGGAGAAGGAACAGGTGGGGCGGGGAGGAGCAACTGAACAAAAGAAACCCGCAAAAATAAACTATAAGCACAACAGAGACACATACTTGAAAACTGGAATGTTTGGGAAATAGGATAATTTAACTGGAAGTCCTGAGTGTGTAGATTTCACCAGGAAGCTATACACAAATGAACAAATAAATAAGATTTTTTTAAACCCTTGTCCTAAAAATCTGCAATGTATTAATGCATTTTCCTGACTGAGACTTGATTATTGAGAATATAAAAGAATTAGATGATTGAGGGTAAATGTTTAGGTAACTATTTTTATATTCCATGAGACAAATAATACCATGAGCTGGACTAGGTTTTTGCTAATTGTAAGTCATAACTTGGTAACTTTTCTCTGGAATGAATTTATTTTAATAGCGGAGAATGGTGGAGGGAAGATTAGGCCTGGAATCAGAAGGCATGGGTCCTACTGGGTAGCAAAAAAAAATCTGTAACATAGCTGGTGTGTGTGTGTGTATGTGCGTGTGTGTGTGTATACACACATATAAATTATATATACGTATATAATGCATACTATATTTGCCATATTGCTTCTGGGGTATGCTCATGGGACAGGTTATTCAGTGAAAATCAGTCACAAGTCATCTGAGGCAGCACATCACAGATGCATACACAGGGACTGATGGAAAGGCTAGAGTCTGTTGTAGTTTGAATGGCACATTCTGCTACGCTTATGGGATACAGCTCATGTGATGTCATAAAACCCATATTTAAAAAATGTAATGTAGATAAACCATTTGGTATGTACATTTGTTTCCAGAAGTTGTGGCCAGTCCATGTTTTTGCCTGTCACCTATCAACCATGAAGCTTTGAAGAAGTCAAGCTTGGTTTCCTTATCTAGAATGGGGCTGCCGTTGCCTGCCTTGCTTCCCACACCCAGGAAGATCAATGACTTAGGGATATGCAAGTTTTCTGTAAGACACAGTGTGAAATATAAATGTGTCCTCAAGAAGGGCAGTGATGTGGAAATGCTACCCACATGTTAAAACCCTACCTAGATATTTGTCAGCCTTGTAGTTTGCTTGTTAAATCTTGTACTTCTTCACTAACACTTACCAAGGGGCTCTCACCTAGGGACTCACCCACAGTAAGGACAGTTACTCTTGGGACTATGAACTTGTTCAAAATAATCACTAGATTGAATTGAACCACGAGTACTCTGTTGAAAATTTTAATCCCTCTTTTTTTTTGTTTTGTTTTTATACCTTAGTGAAGCACTGTTTCTAACACAGGAAGATGGTTTCTCATCTTCTGAAGGGTACAGAATCCAGAATGCTTTTTTTTGGCAGTGGTGATGTAATTCCAAGGTAGCACCTCCACCTGACAGGGCAGCAGCTTCCTCACCTGACTTCCCTAATCCACTCTGGCACACTTCAGCCTTTTTTTACAGTAGAATGCGGGAGCCTAAATCTGATGATCCCCACCCATTAAAACACTTCAATTGCGTACCATTGCTGTGAAGATAAACACCCAAGCCCCATACAGTCTGGCTTCTGCTAGCTTCTCCAGACTCTTAAACTTTTCTCCAAGTTGCTTTCTGCACTAGCAGCCACACAGGCTCTCTTCAGTTCTTGCAAAGGGCCATGTCCCCTTACTGCCTCAGGGCCTTTGAACAGGCTCCCTACTCACTCCGCTTCACTGGCTACCTCACTCTCCCTTCACTTGGCTCATATTTGAGATCTCCACTTAGATGGCACTTCCATGGAGAAGTCTTCTCAGAACTGCCCTCCCCATTTGATCAGGTTCCCTTGCTACCATCTTGCGTAGCTTATGGTTCTTTCCTTAATAGCACTTAGTGCCATTTGCACCTATATGATTTTTGATTAATGTCTGTCTCCCTGACAAGATTGGAACCTCCACAAAGGTGCAGGCTTATCTATTGTTCATTATCATATCCACCACGTGGACCACATAGGAGACACTTCGTACGTGACTGTAGAATGAATGATTTTAATCCATTCATAGTCTTCCCCATTGCCTTGACAATACAGCACACATTTACAAGCTAGCTGGTCTGAGGTGTGTACTTAAAGCAATTCTAAATGAGAAGGAAAAAAAAATCTGTTTTAGAGTAATTGCTGAAAGATTACCAAAGATTTCTTTCACTGAAAACAGTGATTTGGTGAAGAATGAATGAAATTTGGTTTTATATTCTAAATGAAGAGCAGATTTATTAGAAAATGATTAGTATAGTTAAATGATGTCCAGCAAAAAAGATCATTTTTATACCTCTGGTTTTCCAAAAAAGACGACTCCCCTTCCACAAATCCCATCAACACACAGTCATGCTTGGCTTGAACATCGGTCTTACTCTATTGGCTTCTTGGGGATGTATGGGGTGACCCATTGTGTGTCTTCCTTTCTCATGCTTTGTGCTTCTTGGGTGGATCAAAATCAACACACGGTGTCAGAGCACAAAAAAAGATACATTCTAACAGATTTTTATTACCTTTTCTTCCGAGTCCCCTGGTTGACAGGTAATTACTCCATCTCTTGATCCTCCTGCAAATGTTGCCTTACAGTTTGCAAGCCACTAATGTCAGAAAGATGCAGACATAGGTAAAATCAGTGATGTCCTGAGAACATTTTTATCATCAATCCTGTCAGAGAAAATTGATTAAGCTTCTAATCACAGTACTATAAAATTTTGCTGTAATAACTTTTTGAAAGTATTTTTTTCTGGTTAAAGATGAACTATTTGAGATTAAACAATCTATTCATATGGGTTCAGTGATGCTCACTTAAATATATAATTTCAGCATTTCATTCATTCCTGGAGGATGGTTTCACCAGACCATTCATTCCTAATTTATGTATAAACTTGAAAAATCATATATACTTAGAAACTTTTCATACGATTGAAATTTGGAGAGAAAACCAATACTTCCTCACAGGCTGGGTGATTCCATGGACCATGCAACCTGACTCATGGCCCACCTACCTCTCTGTTATATTGGGTGGCTTCTATGAGGGCAGGTCTACCTTAATGTAAGAAAGGCTGTTAAAATAACAGCTCAGCTATTTAGAGGTTCCGCCATCCTTAAAGTATCTGGGATAATAACTAATACAAATGTGGAAAGGAACCTCTGAGCACAAAACAGTAAGCACTGAAGAACTGAAATTCATATCTGACATCAAAAGATTGGTTTGTTCACCAAGTATAAAGGAAAGATTATTATTAACTGATGATGGAAAAGCTGGAAAGCCACGACCAATAAAGAGCCCCAGAAAGAGAAGACAATGGGAATTGTTATAGTAGCATGTCAGACAGAACTCTCACCCTTGGATAGGATCATAAAAAGATCAACAGCAACAATAACAACAAACAAAAAGCAAGTGATTTTATAATGAATGTCTTCTGTGTGTGAGGCACTGGGCAGTTATATAGGTTCTTTCTATTTTAAAGGCAATACTGTGTTGTGTTTAAAAGCATGGACTTTTGAACCTCATAGACCTGGGGTTCAATATCAACTTTCCACCTCCTAGCTATTAAGGACAATAATAGCAACTCCAAGGTAGTTGTGAGCATTGCATGATTTAATTTAAGAAATATAGCTCTTATCAGGTTGTTGGACACCTAGATAGGACACAGAAAATGATACATGCTATGACTATTATAATTGTTATATCCTTATAACAATTCCACAAGTTAGTTATTATCACTGTCTTATAGATGAATCTGAGATGAGGAGGTAAGTAACTTATCCAAGGTCACTAACCCTTAAGTAGCTGAGCTGTGATCTGAACCCACGTCCATCTGATTTCAAAATTCATGCCTTTTCTATAGTGTTTGGCATATTATAAGAAGTGTCCCACAGATATTACACACAATTACTTGTCAGAAATCAGGGGGGTTCTGCGTGTCTGGTTTCTGGATCATTTCCGTCTCTAACATTTTACAGTCTAGAGCTATGAAGGAAAAAGAAGAGAGTAAAGAGCAGGAGTTGAGACGAAGAGAAGCAATGGGGTCAGGGAGAGGCAGCTACTGACAGTAGTTAAAAGGAAGAAAGAGCTGAGATCCACCCCATCTAGTTCCAGGTGAGGCAAACAGTGGGAGGAAGTAATTAACAATTGCTAATTGTTAATTACAATGATCTCAGATAAGTTAATGACATTGACAAGGAGATATATCAAGCAGATACCTATGTTTCCCAGGTTCTGGGTAGGGGAATTAATGGGGTTAAAAATGAAAGCTGCGGGGATCCCTGGGTGGCTCAGCAGTTTAGCGCCTGCCTTTGGCCCAGGGCATGATCCTGGAGACCCGGGATCCAGTCCCACATCAGGCTCCCTGCATGGAGCCTGCTTTTCCCTCTGCCTGTGTCTCTGCCTCTCAATCTCTCTCTCTCTCTCTTATGAATAAATAAAATCTTTTAAAAAAATGAAAGCTGAAAGCCTCTTTTGTAGGCATAATTTCTGTATAATCCATACTGTTGACAGTTCTACCACTATTAAATTGGAATTGTAGTCCCTAACAGAGGAATAGATGAAATCTGTCTTCTTCTAAAGATCCTTCATAGATTAACCACAACACCTCCCCAGGACTCGCACTGGTGGGGTTCATTTGATTTTAACTGAATGTATGTGCACAGAAACACAAAAACTTACTGAGAGAGTGGCTTCTTTTCTATTGTTGTAGGTATCCAAATATTCCTGCAGTTCTAAAACACTGAACTTGAGCTTGTCCAGAAGTCCACAAGAAAGGAGCTAAAGACAGGAAAATCATTTGTATATAAGCAAATAGAAACATAACCAGACACAGGCATGGCTACAGAGCTAGAAATGAGAAGTATATTTAGAAATAATGTAAAATGGGGACCAGTGCCTCATTTATAGTGAGTTGTACAATGTATAATTTTGCTCTACTATAAACTGCAATGGCAATTGAATACTAGCTCTCTAATCCAAATCTCCTATGAAAATACCCAGTTTTCTCTGTATCGGTACAGACACTCAAATCTTAACAAGTGTTCTGTAGGAGCCCACATTAAATACATCCATTTTATGCATGAACTGCAGTATCTTCATATAGTAAAACTCCAAGTAGTGTGAAAACAGAACTCCAAGCAGATTTTCAAACTGATTTTATAGTTAATTTGAACTTTAATCATTTATGATAGAATGATTTCTCTTATTGTATTCCTTGCTGCAAGGTAGCTAACTACCAAGTTCTTGGAAAGACCAATTCTTCAGAGACTTTTGAAATCAAAGCACATCTGCATTGGTTCTGAACTCAGTAATTACTCAGCATATGAGGCGGTTCTGTGATATGCATGGGGGCATAAGCCCTCAAAGAGCTCAGCCATCAGGCAGGCTTAGAGTTTTATATTCATAAAGTCATGATTTAGTCAGCCAGAGGATGTTCTAATCAACCCTCAAACTCATTACTTGCAGTTTGGGCTGGATGAATCCCTCCAGGGGGTGATCAGTCTCTATTTGAGACTTGGGAGTGAGGAAAATGAGTACATATCACCTCTGAAGACCCAGCTGTCTGGCCAACCCGGCATTGTGGGGACAGTCTAGGTGAGCTCTAGAGGTTTACTCACCTATTCATGGCTGTCAAAACCAGAGCTATTGGAGAGAGGTGCCAAGGACACAGAGGGAGTACTAAGGTGGATTTTTCTCCTGATTCTCTGAAATGACTTGGCCTTGGCTAGTAACATACAGTCATTTCTATGCAGACTCAGGCCTTTGGGGGTCATGTCACAACATGGCACTGCTCGCAAATACCAACAGTATCTTTCAGACAAACCACAACACAAGGATGCTTCCTGGAGGTTCCACACCTTAGTAAGCTGGGCTGGTCATTTGCCACCAGAGCAGGATTGGGGGTACTCACAGTTTCAGCATCCACAAAGAGTGTAGGGCATTCGGAGCAGGAGGTGAGCATCTGAGAAGAGCTGACAAACTTGGACCCAATTCCCCGGAGATTGTCTCCAAGGTAACTGGCGGCATCACAGGTTAGGAAGCAGAACCTTTTCTGAATATTCTGAAAGGCAGAATAATTATCATTTTTAAAGGGCAAGTTTTAACTTAGGCACTAGAAAAACCTATTTTGTAATCTTTATAAAAATATCAAATGAGCATAGGTCCTCAGGGAGAGGCGGAGGAGATAGGGAGTAGAGTGAGTGTTGGTCTTAAGTAAATCATCACCTAGTGTGGAAAAAATTTCTTCTTAAAGTGTCATTTTCCAGAATGTAGATGCTTCTATAATCTTTAAGTAAATGGTGCTTTTCTTTTTGCTGATGCTCAGAGCTGGTCAGCAGCTTGAGTCCTCCTCACTCATCTGTGAGAAATTACTTAGAATACGTCAGTGCATGCGAGTTAGGAAAAGTCATGGGATGTAACCCTCTTCTGTTCCCCAAGATCACAGCTTCTTGAGAAGGAGCACCAAAATAGTGCTATTCAAGCCTCTGAGAAGTGGAAGTAAATGCTACGTGGGTCTGGAATAATCTCTCCCTCTGAGAGCAAGTCTGCTCTGGTGTCTGTACTCTGTCCCATAGTGTTGCATATGTTGACTCCTTAATCCTCACAACAGGGTAAAGAAATCAAGGTTCAGACATGACTTACCTAAGGTCATGCAGCTAGTAAGTCACAGTGGAAGGGTGAGCCTGACCCCAGAGCTCACATTCCTTCCACACATCTACAAATCTTCCTAGGAGCTAGTTTCTCCTATACTGCCTGAGGACAAAACCAGAATTAGGAAGAATCTGAGTCATTGTGTCTGTGTCAGTGCCAAAATGGGAACATTTTTAAGCCCTTAAGCTTCCAACAAACAGTATCTTTTTAAAAAAATTTATTTAAATTCAATTTGCCAACACATAGGATAACACCCAGTGCTCATTACATCATGCTAACACATAGTATCTTTAACAAAAAGAACACAATATTTAACCAAAAAATAATTCCAGTCCTAGGCATTGGCTTTCCTCAAAGAGATGTCATATCTTTTTGAGTTGTGGAATCTAATCCAGGAGAAATCCTCTCTGCCCCATTGGGAGGAAAGCAGCGTGTCTCCAAACAACAGAAGGCTGGTTCTTTATACTTCATATTAGAAAAATGCCAACTATGTTGCGTATTAATGATTTTTTACTTAATAAATGTGAAAAATTTGGCATAACGCATAGCATACACATGTCTTTGTGGTGTTAAATTAGTTTTACGTGCAGTTAGGAAAAAGAAAAAAACCTGACTGAATGTTAGAGCAGAAAGGAATTAGCAGGGCCATGTTTAGCATTGTACACCTAGTTGAGCAGCAGAGCTGGGAGGAGGATTCAGGTCTGCTAAGAGTTTGGGATTCTTTCCATTTTATCTAAGGATAAGGTGAGGTCTGGGAAGCTCTCTGTCAGGGAACTTTAGAGGCTCTTATAAAGGCAGGTGATATTTAGGGGATATACACTCAGTTCTGTCCTTCCATATAAACACATCCTGTAATTGGTGGCACGGTATGATACAATGACAACATTCTAACAGAGAAGCAGCAGTAAGGACATAAGATGACTGAGACACTGGGAAAGATGTCCACACTGGACCATCAGAAATCAGTTCCTCGCTTTTAGAACCAAATTATTCTGGCAAATACTTCTTCTCTATCCTCTCCAAAACCCAACTAAATACAAGGGAAATGTGGCCTTCAGACTCACGGGAAAATGTTGGAAAACTGAACAGACATGGTGTGGACATAAGAACAGCTTAATAGACTGCATACCTGAAATGTATTTCATTTCCAGCATATTTTATTAATACCTATTTTGTGACTAATATTGCTCTCAATCACATAGCATTGGATAACAATTGAGAAAGTTCTTAAGGCTACATGTGTTATATATATATTTTTAAGATTTATTTGAGAGAAAGAGTGTGCATGAGTGGGAGGAGGGGCAGAGGGACAAGCAGCCCAATGTGGGGCTTGATCCCAGGACTGTGGGATCATGACCTGAGCTAAAGTCAGACACTTAACTGACTGAGCCACTCAGGCACCCCAAGACTAAATGTAATATTAAAAACTGATATAAAAGGTACACATTCGTATGGTTATTATTGCAGATAAGCTCCACAGGGATTCATCAAATATATGAATGGAAAAATAAAGTCCAAACCCAAAAGTGCCCCCTATGCAAGGGCCCAGCCCCACTGCCCAGCTCATGTGACAATTTGCTGATCTACTGGCATGAAGTCAGAGGTCTGTTTAAGATTTTCCACTAAAAAAGATTCCCATTCATTCTTCCTATGTTTATTAAGCACCTATTGTATGTTAGCAACTGTGCCAGCTGCAGGGGAATCAAAGTAAGACACCGTTACTTGCTTCTCTGGGGGAAAGAGACAATAGTAATTTTTAATAGAATGTGACAGGCATGTGATGTAACCGCAATGTGCTTGAGAATACAGGTGACAGGGAGAGAGAAAGGAAGGCTTCATTTGCTTAAGTGAGCTCTAATCAAGGGTTTGCACATCACTGGGAGTACAGCTGAGGGCAAAGGGGAGTTAGCCATGTTAGGTAGAGGGAAAGTATTGCTCAAGACTAGAAAATTGAGCATGAAGAGTATAGTGGCTGTAATAAGAAAAAAAAATACTACAATAGCCAAACTTAAAATATTAACCATTCACCATTATTTTAAAATCGATTTAAGAACAATATAAAAAATAAATTACTTTGTTCCTAAATCCTTAACAAGTAAATCTACCTCATGTGGTAACTTTCTCATGGTTTGTTTTAACATTTCAGTGTGGCCTAACATTAGTGGTTCTGGAGTTCTTATCTCTCAGCAAACAATTGCTTTCTGTCTTAGGCCTCACAACCCCTCCCACTCCCAGTTAATTCCAGACACAACCTTAGTTTGTTCAGTCAACTTTCTAAAAGATTTCACTGAAACTAAACTGGAAACTTGAGAGAGAACAGCACAGTAAAAGTCAATGTGAGAAACCGTAGCTATTAGTACTCTTGGTATATAGTTCTCCAAAAATGGGTCATAAAAAGGGCCATGGGGCTCAAAAGCAGACTTGACTTTTTACAGTAACTACACTGCAGCTTCCTGAATCAAACTTTTTAAGGCAGACGATCCTCCTTTCAATAGAATTCTTTACTTTCCTGCCTTTCCCCCTCTGCCATGGCTCTTCTTGATGGTAATGGACCCGTGAGTGGGCCCATCCCTTGATACCGCCAAGTTACTATCCCTCCCTTATGATATACTCAACAGAACTCAGCCTATAAAATCCTCGTCCATCCATTCATTCGCTCATCACTCACGTCTACTGAAGACGGGAACAACATGGTCCCTTTCTATGTTTCCCTTGTATTATTAGTGGCAATTCTGTGTTGGAAGTTATCAAATACAAGTTTAGAAAAAATGCTGGAAGGAAGGCATTTTCATTATAGGAATATAGGAACTTGAAAGAAAGGAAAAAGAAGTGTGTGTGTGGGTGTGCGCGTGTGTGGAGAAGGCACCCATAATCTCATCACCCAGAGTAAACTACAGTGAATGGCTAGTGTAAAATCTTCACTATTTTATAGATATTAAAAAAAAGAATACTATACCTACTGGTTCTTTAAAGCTAACTTTCTCTTAAACTCTATGGTAACCATGCTTCCATGCCAGTAAAACTTTACTAAAACCTCTCTCTTTCTGGCTGAGTATTAATCCCAGCACTGCCACTTTCTAGCTGGGATCTGCTTCAAATACAGTACACAGGGCCAGTTAACTCCAATGCTGATGGAAGACCTTTGGGTTTCTTAATAACAAGCTGTGTTTCTCTTCTTTTGCTGCCTCCCACCTCTGCCAATCATTTAATGACATTTGGAGAAAGTTCAGAGCAAGATACATAGAGAATCTGAAAGGAATTTGCACACCAACAGACAGGCAGGCATAAGAATAAACCTTTTCACCCATCAGAAGTTGAGTCCCCTGCTTCTCTTTGGTTCAGTAATTGTTGTGTGTTTGGGGATAACAAGTGAAATCTGAAGGCGTCCACACAGCAACTGCTACATTGAGTTGTGGGCAAGATGCCACTAGTGCCTGGCAGAGGGATGGAGAGCCAGCCTGCCCTCTGCTGGCCAAACTCAGTACTGCAGCACTCTGGAGGAAGGGGCACCTGGTTCCCATTTGTACAGAGGTGGGACAGACTAACTAGCCAGTCTGTGGTTCACCCAGGAGAAGCCAAGTATGACCTGTCATGTGTTCAGAAGCATCTACGAGGAGAAGCACATAGCTATGGCTGACACGTTTAAGGAATTCATTGCGGGGGGTTGGGGGTAGGGAGAGAAGAAAGACAATGAAAGGATAAACAAGAATAATGAAGAAAAACAAGAGATATGGGAAGTGTCAGAGGAAAGATGGGATGTGGGATAGGCTTGGCAGAAGACACGGCTCAATGGTCTAGTTTCACGCTTGCCTGGGACTCATGACATCAACCAAAGCCAGAATGGCCTAAGTGAACAGTACGGCAATGAAGACTACATCATGTGGGGCCTTGGCCTTCGCAAGATGAGTGTGAGAAGGTTGAGCAGATTACAGTTAAATGGAATAAAGACTGAAATTAGAGGCAATTGAGGGAGAACTGGAGTAGAAAACAGGGCAAACCTGGAATGAAACCACCACCCCTCTGGAAACCAGAATCGGCTGCCCCCCTATGAGATGCAGTCCTCTCAGCCCGAGCCCCATACCTTAAACAAGGAGGAGAACACATGAAATGTATACACAGCACAGGAGCCATCCGAGTCGCACATAAGCTGGTTGATGTGGCTGCGCCAAGCTTCCTCTGCATCATCACAGGCTGCCGGCTGAAATGCAGCAAGGATGGCCGAGAAGAAGGGCGAGGGAGGGGGGGAAACCCCCCTGTCCCCTTCTCCGAAGCTAGGAAAGATGAAAACAACCCTGTCAGGAGGTGCCATTTCCCTTCTGTACTTGGTCATCTCAGCTCTAGGCCTGCCGGCTGTCCCGCCCACTCTGCTCTCAGGGGTGGCTCTGGGGACTCATCTCTCTTCCTCATCTTCCACATTCTTGTCTGAATCTAGTAGAGAGAATTTTCACCTCTAGAATTTCTGGGACCCCTCCCCTTCTGACTTCCTTTATAGTGAGTCGGGACCTGCCTTCTCGCTTTCCCAGTGGCCATTCCCCAGACACATAAACATTACTTTTGGCACTTTGGCTCCTTTTCACTTTTCATTATGAACCATTAGGACAAAAATTTGGAATCTTTTAACTTGCCCCTTGTGGGGGTGAGTATTAATGACTGCACATGCATGAATGCCCAGGAGGGGAGGGTGGAGGGAAAAAAGGAAATGAAAGGACAGAAGAGCAAGGTGAGGGACATATTGAGGAATGAAGCAAGGAAAGATAAGGAACATGGGTGAAAGGTCAGGTTCTTCTCTATGCACTATTACTTTCAGCTTTCCCTTCCAAGGGCAGATACTGCTCACCATAACAGAAGGTCTTTGTCTAGCCATATCAAAAGCTACTAGTTCTATTACACATTCAGAAGAGAGATACTAGGATTCTGACTTTCTTCTCCAGAAGTAAATCTGTAGCTTTATCACTTGTGATTTATTCTAGACACTGCAATAGCGGTGTTTTGTTTTGTTTTAAGTGGGCTCAATGCCCAGTGTGGAGCCCAATGCAGGGTTTGAACTCATGAGCCTGAGATGAAGAGCTGAGCTATGATCTGAGCCAGACACTCAATGGACTGAGCCACCCTGGCGCCCCTGCATTAGTGTTTTTATCTATTCCTCTCTATTCTTGTTTATTCGTGTTCTCTGGCTATATCTCACTAGTCTCAGGAATACCAGCCACTGAGCTGAAAAGCCACCCACTTAAAAAAAAGTAGGTATGTAACTTATAAAGAGCCTCCTGTTCTTGTCTTTTAACTCAGAGTATAAAGAACTCCTCATTTGCAAAGTCTGCCAGTCTTGCTTATCTTCAAAGCTTGCAAGGCTTGGACCAAGTCCCCAGGCCCTTCTTTGGCTTTTGAGTTACTCTACTAGGATTTATGTTGTTCTGTGTTACTCTCCGGCTTTAGAAGGCACATGAGTACCCCTTTCAGTTTCACCTAAGGTCCTGTGCCTAGGTTGGGGGACTCTGACCAGCTGAGAGCCTTCGGAGTCAGAAGTCAATTTGGACTCTTCATTAGGAAGTCCCAGCAATGCCCATGTGACCTTGCACTTGGGATACAATAGTGAATGCAATATAATGTGCCCAGTACGCTGTCACCACTCATTTCCACCAGGGGCTTCTCTACCTTGCAAGAGTAAACTGGTCCAGTGCTCTATTGCCTTTTTCTTCTGCCTCAGTCATATCCAGGCTAAAGCTACCACTGCATTCGAAAGTTGCTGGGAGTTCATTGACAGAACTAGAAAGATCGTCCTCATGTACGGCCGTGTCCTCTTCCTCCTGAACAGCTTCAGCCTGGAGGAAGAAAAAAGGGAAAGAATCCCCCAGCATGTAAGAATAGATTTGGGAAAACCTATTAAACTAAAGGAAAAATAAAAGAGATAAATTCTGATAGTGAGAGAAATCAGGGACATTGATTTTCCAGCTATAATCCAGTCAGTTTCTATAACTGGACTTGGGATTTCTCCAAAATACTGTTCATTCTTTACCTTCTTTTCCATCTTGTCCACAATAGTTTCCAAAGAGGTTCTCAGGAAATTGCCATATCTGACCCAGGATTATGGGAGTATAAATGCTAATCTTGGAAACAACCACAGAGACCCTCGGTCCAGCCCTCACATTTATAGGAAACTCATGTGTGGGAAAGGGACTTAGCCAACATTGAGTAGATAAATGAGGGCCTCTGGATTCAGAGCTCTTTCTACCATATGACCCCTACTTCTAACGTGAGCCTATCCAGAGGGAACTTTCTGATACAGAATTCCTTTACCTATGGAAACTGGAATTTAGAATCATCAGTGATTGGTATGTAAATGCTCAAGATAACCTGCAGGGTGAATGAGTGGTCCATGGTTGTTCACTGTACCTACCATGTTGACAGGCCTTTCCATACTGGAAATCCTCTAAGGCCCATTTACATACATGCTTTGCTCTTGGAACCCTCCCTCCCCTGGAGATAACGGATAAGAGAGTCTGCTCTTACACTGCTGAAGATGTAGAATGAGTGGTGAAATGCAAGAGCTCTAGGTCAGGCAGAGCTGGGATCAGTGAGGGGCAGGAGACAGACACAGTGAGAGCAATGGAAAAAGAGGCTGGGTTTGAATGTAGGCCAGGAGTAATCAGTTCAAGAACTGACTGTTCTGTAGGAGAGGAAGGAAGTCAACTGGGTTACAGACCAGAAGAGGAGAGGAAGACACGTTTCAGTGAGTCATTTTCTTAAAACCAAGGCAAGGCAAAAAGGGAATATGTATGAATTTGAGCATTATCACAGGTTGCTGTCTGGCCACCCAGTTAGTATTTTGAATCTAGGATTAATAGAGAAATTAAGAGGGGTGTTTAAAGATATGTTAGGGAAACAAGATATCTCATGTCTTTGAAGGAATTGCTCATAAATAGCTGAGTTTCAGAGCTTATCTGTATCTGCTTTTTCCAGCTTTTTAAAACTACAGTGGTGCCATCGAGACTGGCCGCCGGTGACTGGTCTGACTTATTAGTGTACATAAACTTCATCTATTAGGGGAGGGCTGAGTTCTCACAAAAAATGTCCTTTATTTTCCCTCTCTAACATCACAGCTATATCACACATTGCAGAAACCCAGCTCATGTGGAAAACAGAGAGAGCCTTTCAGAAATAAGACTTGACTTTTCCTTGATCAAGTTAGATGATTTCTGTGTGAGTTTATAAATATATTACCACTCAGGCAGTGCTTTCTATTGGAAATCTATGTAGTTTAGCAACCAAAATAGAAAAATTGAGAAAATGGCTATTCTAAGGCTGAGAAATATCAAAATATCAAATGCTAATAACTGCACATTTATGTCCTTTCCATGAAATTTAATTTCTTAATCTTAGGATTCTGGCATTTTAATCTCAGACAAGTTTTCTCTCTGGACCTTTTTTGGCTAAAAAAAAAGGACTGTGCTGACTCTCAGAATCCTGACTGTATTCCTTTTGCACTGAAGTTCTCTTAGAAATAATTCCTCAAGCATCAAAATTTTTAAGTGATTGTGATTCGGTTGGCTGTCCTTTGTTTAAAGTGACATAGATTTCCCTGGACCTCAGATCTGTTTTAAGTGCACTGTAAAAGAATACACAACAGCCAGTATATATTTTTCTCATTAGAAATATCAGAAAGAATATACTTTTATACATGTAAAGAATTATAACTTTCTCTTTCAAACTTGTACTACCATAAGCAAACTCAGGATAAAGGACACCTACTACCAACAGCAGTAGGTTATTTTGGTATTTGTAATATAAGAAAATAAAATTCTATATTAATGGCATATATGTGGGCACTTATTTGAACACAGTGTGAAAGTGGATAGTTTTATGGTTAGGATAGTTTAGGGAAATTTTGATAAGATTGACTTTAAATAAAATATACATTGTTAGCTTTTTAAATACCTAATCTTTTAAATAAGAAAATTATATCCATTACTTACTTTTCTCCTCAGTCTGGCTAGAACAGTTTTGTTTAAATCTGGCATAATATTGTGATTAACACTGAAAATTCCAATAGTATCCCAAAAGGCCAGAATGGAATCAATGTACAAATTGTATAACTGGTTCCTACATAGGAAAAAATTTCCCCAAATACATGCAGACACCCACACCTCACTTAGCATATTGTTTTATAAAAGTCATGACAAAGAACAGCAGTTACCAAGTCACAGCGATCTCAGACCTACACCGATTTGTTTTGCCATTAATCAGCAGTGTTCCTGCTCTATGGAAAACACAAAATGTCTCATTTGACTGAGACCTGAAATCAAATCTCTTTCAACCAACAAGAAGATGGCTGCTCATTTGTAAGGGTAAAACAACTTTCAGGACATAGGCTCAGGTGCACAAATTCAATGATTTCAAAAAATTAAGAAAGGAAAAAGATAAAGATAGTCCCTCCACTTACAGCCCCCTAAGATTTCTTAGAAAATTGGAAGTACTATTTTCTTTAAGAAAACTAAAACCACAATTGCCCAAATCTCTTCACCTTTGAGCCCTCAGAAATCTGCAGATTATTCATATCAGACAAAGATGCATCAAAACTAGCCATTCTGGTGTTGAATGAATGAGGGTCAGCAGGGGTCATGTCACAGGCTGTGGTGAGCGATTCCATGGGATTAGTCTCCTCGGAAGGGGAACGAGTCATGATCTGGAGAGAAAGCAAAGCAAATGACACTGTAGAGTTTCTTAAAAGGCTCACATTATTCTTTACGTAAGAGTACAAACCATTGTCTGAGTTTGTTGTTGGTTGATGGATATTATTTAACGTGCGTATTTCACTCTGGTTAGAACTTAAACACAGCAGCTGGCATAGGGCATTAGGGTGCAGAACACTAGTAAAACACGAACACTCATATTTGCAGATAACCACATCCAGATGTTCATTATATTTCCTAAAACTTCAGATGTCTCAGGAATTTTTTTTTTAAAGATTCTAGCCTAGTAAAAGTTATTTGAGGAAAGTCCAGTCCTTAACAGATTTGATGGTGTTCAAGGCTTCTAAAAAAAAAACCCCAGTATTTGGGTTCATTTGCAACCTATAGACAAGAGGCTTGTTACAATCAGTTAGACACCACCTAACATTTCAGATTTTAGGTTAGCAGCTATGCAAAGTTTCTCTAGCAGCAACTGGAAACCATGCTACTGCTTCAATTACAAAAATAAATCTCCTGTTTCTCATGGTGGGAAGGTTCCTACTTACTAGGTCGGAGTGCTCCAGGATCTGGCTGGTTGTGAGGTCCTCCTCTTCAGAGGATTCATCAGAATCCTCATGGTTCATTTTATTGAGGCTGGGAGACCTTCCTGAAAGTTGGCGCTCCTCCAGAAGCTGCATGTCACACTTGTCCAAACTATCCAGAGAACGCCTGCGCACTCCCCAGTTGAAATTGTCCATACTCTCACCCTGAAATCACACCATCAGCTGGTTTTTATGCCAGAATCTTCCTGCGCTCACACCTTCACACATTCAATTAGTCATAGCTTAGAAATAAATGCTTTCATTATGAACTCTCAAGCTCTCATCTACTTTGGTTCCAAACATTTTGTTTACATGACGTGACAGGTAGTAAAGCGTACTATTTTCACCTAAATGCATATTAAATCGTAGGTAGAAGTGATTACACACTTTTCTTGGGTCTGGTGGGTGATATCATGTTTCTTAAAAGGTGACTTTGGTACACTCTATAAGTATCTAAAAATCTGTAAGAAAGAGACCATTAATATTAAAACAATCTCAAAAGAGGTGTGCCCTCCCCGGCCCGTTTAGTACTGTTTTTGGAAGGAGAAAAGTAGGAGCTATGCTGTAGCACATTCCACATCCTTTGGGTATTAAGTAGAAGAGCATTAGGTAAACATTCCAGCCTGTTCCTGCTACAGCGGTTTTCGCAGATCAAATGCAGAGTTAAAAGAATATTTGATAGCAGCTGGGCAAAGTCTGATAGATCATGCACTATGCAGAGGCCAGAGCAGCATGGCTTAACTTTTGCTTTAGACTCATCTTTAAATAATTGTTCCAACATAGAAAATAGTTGCTTTCCTGGACCAGCAATGATTGACTTGGTACCAAACCCTATCACTGACTTGAACTTTTAATTTACAGAGAACTGTGCTAAGTGGCAATGCAAGTGTTAAGTTGTATCTCAGACTTTCTCTATAGACCATCTCACATTAAGTGTATTTTTCCAGCACAAAAACCTTTCCTAGAAAGTAATTTGGGTTTTATTTTACTCTCTGTTAAAACAGGAATAAGGAAGAGAAATAATATCCAGCTTCTTGATAAGCAAGTTTTAACCTATATAAATAGGTAATTTGAACAAAATCTAGCCCAGATCCTTTCATTTAGAAGTCACTTGAAACACTGTCTGAAGGTTTGTTTGCTGAAACAAACAAACAAACAAACAAACAAAAACCTTATTCTGGTGAGAACTCAGTAAGTAGATCTCTCATATAATGGATGCTTAGCTTTTCTGAAGTCTTTTTTGGCTACTCATGGTAGAAGGCAATAGGTAAGAACCTAAACACATTCTGGATCTGATACAAAGGTTAATGTCATTATTTATCCCCATGTATGATGTTTATAATTGTTCTTTGGACTATTTGATTATAAAGAGTAACTGTATCTGCCGTTTTATCTGTATCTATACTTTTATCTGCATCTACTATGATAAATTGTCATCAAATATTTTATTTCCTAGTAGGAAAGGTTAATTGTTGTGTTGGCATTTTAAAATAGCTATTTCAGTGAAAAAAAAAGTGTGGAAGAGGCAAGAGTTCTGGAAAGAAAAAGAAAATGCAATGTGTAAAGTGAAAAAGATCCAAAGAATAAGAACACAGAGAAGAAGAAAAATGTGCACATTGCTGGAAGAAATATATCAATAAAGATTTAAAGCATAAATCCTAAAGCTGATTCTCTTGCACCAAATCAGTGAATGGGTTGGATTAATTATCTTAGGCAAAAATTCTGGAAGTCTCGCACGCTGAACCCGAGACAGAACCATGAGCTTACAGAGAAATATAGGTGTCTAGGGTCAGGGAATGCTACACTGGGCACAGACAGCTGCTCCTACTGATACAACTACACTCTGATGAAGACCTGAATGAACCAGGCATGAGAACTAGGGGCAAGGGAAGGCTGCTCCTACAGGAAAAATATCTGGATGTCTTTCTAGAGGATTCAGTAGCTCCATCAGAGGCAAGGTGTTGAAACTGTTTTCCTGGTGGTGGCTGAAGAATTTAGATGCAGTAGTGCTATAGTCTAGCTCAAGTTCAAGTGTTTGGTTATTAAAAGTCAATAGTGCTACGGTCTAGCTCAAGTTCACATGTGCGGTTATTAAAAGTCAACCTATAAGGTTAAAAGCCAAAACAGTGTTTTATTGATTATGTCGGATTTTCTATGTGTGAGAAATTTAGGAGATGGCTAATTATTCAAGACAGTCTGCATCTGTCAGTTATCAAACTTAAATAACTACTCAGGATTTATATTGAGATGAGAAAATATTAGTGATTGAACATTCTAGAGATGTTGGAAATAATATTTGAAATAATTTTTTCCATACTAGAATTCTGTCAAGTAAGTACTGTTGAAAGAACATAGGTATACCGTGACAAAATATATTTTCTCAAATATACACTTTCTCAGAGTAAGTCTGACATGACAGAAGTATAGTAGGGTGATCTTAGTTTGCCCATGATGGTCCTGGTTTGTGCCTGTTGTCTGGATGCAATTATTATCAGCACCCCCTTTTACTTGAGAAATGGTCTCATTTGGATGAAACTTTATATAGTCGCCAGAGATAGCTCCTAATGCCTGGAAAGGATCTGATTGCAAGTGTTTGTGGTATATTGTTAGATGCATCTTGTTGACTTCCCCTTTAATACAACACAGCCAAACCAGTTGTATAGCTGCCTTCCCAGAAATTGTAGTGTTTCCACAGATCATATTTAAAACTTCACTTTCTCTCAAGAGATAGACTTATGCAACTTTTAGCCTAGGTGTATCAAGATTTTAAAACTATCTTGTATTTATAGTTTAGAAATTATTTTCCATACTGGCATAACAAAGAAAAATACTTCTTGTATCACACACACCTCAATGTAAATATGCACGCAAATAGGCATACATAATGCTAGAAGGGAGGAAAAAAGCAATTATGTTGTTATAAATCTGCAATGATGCAAAACATCTACTTAGCGTATCTGAGTTAAAGATAGCATCATCTTACCTGAAGTTCCTTGGAAGCAGAATGAATGGACAGAAAAACAAATAAGAGGTCTATTTAAAATGATTATATTAAAGACACTCAAGTGCATTTATCTTAGTTTTAACACAATAGCAATAAACAGGGCTGACAATATAGCCTCCAGTAGATGCAATTAAAAAAGAAAAAGGTAAAGATCTACACAAACCCCCAAAGAGAGAAATCAGTACCAAACACCAGAAATTCCAATCCTCTTAGGGGTGGATAGTGTAGCTGGGGTAAGAAATCATAAATACAATTTCTGAAATAGCTTGCCACTTCAGTGACTGGCAACTTGTGCTCAACACTTTTTTTTGAGGTGGATGCTTACATTTTTATTTGTGAGAAAACGAATGATGGTCATCAACTGGGAAAAAAAAAGGTGGCATCACCTGATTCATCTCACAAGGCTAAAGTGTTTGTGGTCATGATGTGTTCACTGCTGATGTGCAATTAATAGCAAGGACATGGCATCTTTTAAAGATTCTGAAAAGTTCTAAGACAAACCATTTACAGATATGAGTCAACAAATTATGAGACTATTTAATGAAAAGAAATAGACATAAAAAAACTCATCTTTTCTGATAATTGTTTTACTCTAGACGCCAGATATGCTTGGCTTTCTTAGAATGAGAACATGCTGAAATTATTCACCAATGACGGTACAAAGGAACACCTGCTATGTGCCTGACACTATGTTAGAAGCTTTAATCCCCCCATCAACTTCATAGGCAGCTATCCTACCCATTTAATAGATGAGGGAGCCAAGAGAAATTGCACTCACGTTTAAGGGTATGAAGTGAGGTCAGTGGCAGAGTTGAAATTCCAACTTGGACCTGCCTAAACCTAAAGCTCTAGCATTTTTATTCCACCACTCTGTAAACTTGCTAGAAGCCCTTATTATAATCTTACTGGGAAGAAGCAAAACATTCTCATATAGTTTATTTTATCTGGGTGAAATATATATTTTCACACTCTTAAGTTTCTTATAAAATCTTGATCCTGTAAGATAAAATAATCACTATGCTTTTGTAATTCATGCCTGCTAGGATAATAATAGAACACTAGAAGGAAGATGAAGTATTCCTTATTTATTGTCTCTGAAAAACATTAGTATAATATTTATTTTCAAATGAGAAGCACCTCAGATTTTCCTTCCTTTATTTTAACAGAAATCAAATTTGTTAGTTCTGAAATTGTGTCTGATTTCTTTAGTTTATATCACTTCTGCTAGGTCACATCCCATAATATATTTTTTTTTCCTTTTGGCTGAGACTGGAAAATGATGCCCCTCTTTTTTTCATCAAGTTTTTCCTTCATTACTTTAACTTCTAGAGTAAAGAGGTAAGTTTGAATTCTAGCCTAGAAACAAAGATTAAATTGGCGGCCCAAATCAGGGAGGTAATCTTCTGACATTCCATTTAGCTCTGGCTCAGAGACATTTTGAAAGTATTCTAAATGGTTGAATTTTGATTTAGACTTTTAAAAACAATCCTCACCATATTCAGTGATTAATTTTGTTATCACTTATTAAAGTTAACAGAAAAGTCTGCCATACTTTTTTACAGGTTCTAGAATAATTCAAGGTGAAAAGCTGACATTTATTTTAAAGATGCTTTACAGTCAGTGCCTTTATACTCTTTCAGGACTGGGTCTGCTAAACTTGTTTTCTACAGAAAGAACAGGTAAAGAAAACATTCTTCATTCTGAGGACATAATTCTCCCCAGATATCCAGGGTAGGCCATGGCTGAGAGGAACAAAAGCAGATCACTTCTTGGCCTTATCTCAACATAAGAGGATTGGTCTGCAATCATATCCTTTTAGGGAAGGTAAGCAGTGGAAGCACCATTTCTCACAAGTTTATAGTTAGTCAGGAGGCGCCTACCCATCACGGGATCCTATAAACTTTGAATATGGGCCTCCATTTTAACTGTAAGACCGATAGAAAGCCTTTTCTTTGGGAAAATCAGTGCGTTTAGTTAAATGTGAAGCAACACCAGAGCCAGCTCAGTACCAGGCATTTTGACATATGGCAGTCTCCCAGTGGTCAATTTTGTTTTCCTCCATGGGGAGACTATCTACTATCCTACTTCTTGGCCCCAGCTGGAACATGCCCCTGAGCTACTGAAATGAGAGGGTCAGAATGATGCCCCTCCTTCTAATTCCAGTTTTCAGAAGCATGATTAATAACTGAAAGCATCCTATTTACCATAATTATCATTCAAATCCATGAATCTGCATTTGCCAGTTGAGACATGAATTCAGCTGCTCCAGGTGTCTAGGAACCCTAGCTACCAACCCAGAGCAGAGCACGGAGCTCTCCTGGGTCTTATGTCTTGTTTTCAAGTTGTAATGATTTCATTAAACATCACAAAAATGCTGAAGCCCTTAGGCTCCTGTCTCATGTTGGAGCAGGCAAGCTCTGAAGTAATCAAATTAGAGTAATTTTGCTTTTAAAATAATTAGATGCTTAGCATATTTTACCCAGATACCTGAGAACAGGCTCAGAACATGACTGTTTTTGTGATTTTTTTTTAAGTTCACCTTTGGACTGCACATAACACACACACATACACACAGTCTTTGTGTGGTCATTAAATGTCAGATCTTTGCCATTTGGAAATAACTTGGCAGCTTATGCTGTGGACTCAGACAGGAAGGGTGTGGTAACTTTTGCCCAAGTTAAGCTGCTGTACTTTGAATAAGTTGATTCAAAATAAAGTTTACAGCTTTCCAATTAAAGACTTAAAAAACCTCATTATTTAGTGGGTAAAAAGAAACCATTTTCGTTAGTCAAGGAAAGGCTGAGTGGGTTATTTTTACAGAGAATAGACTGTACCTCTCCATCCTCCAGCTCCACATCTAGGAAATCGAAGTCTCTAAAGACTCTAAACTGCTGCTCGCTGTTTGTGTCATCCATGTTCTCCTGCTCTCGGGCGCCGTCCTCAGAAGACACCAAGCTCGTCTGGTGCTCAAGTAGATCCAAGTCCCCACACGATGAAAAAATCACCTACAAATCACAAGAGTCCTCTCCTGAGAGACCAGTCTCCCTCTGGTTGTTTGTGCAACAAAAACTGTAATTGGCTCTTCATGGACCTCTATTTCCAGTACACACCTAATTCCTTAAGTGGGTATTTTTAGAATGTTCTTTTATTATTTATGTTGGACAGGTGCCTTCAAATTAAACTCATTGCAAAGATGCAAGTTCACACAGGAGTCGAGTCACATTGCTGCTGCTTAATGGATGAATACTGGATCCCACCTGGGTGTGTGTTTGTGTGAGTGTGACAACTGAGTTGTGTTCACAGACCAACTAGGGCAGCCAAGAAATTTTCCACTGTTTCCGAACTGAGGTTAGAAATTGTACACATGCACATATATTTCACAAACATACTGTCACATAATATTTTAAAGGCTACCAATACCAAGATATGTTATTGTAGAATGACTTGTGAGGGTAAAGGATTTAATCATTTCAGAGATAATCCAGGAAATGCTGAAGAATAAGAAACAGAAGCCAAAAAGTATAGTCCTTGCTCATTTGAATTAGACGAGTGTCTGAGCAGCCGTGCTTGTAATTTATATTTAAATTCCTTTCCTGTTGATATAAACAGAACAAAACATTTTTTTCCTATTGAGATCTTTTGCATGTTAATCTTTTCAACCTCTCTTCTGTATTTAGGTTCTTTCCACTGGGACATTTTAGCAGAACTTTCTAGAAATGAACTTCAAATGAACCTAAATGTTTTGCTATCCAGGCTCTCCTGCACACAGACTGATATATTTTTTTAATAAATTTATTTTTTATTGGTGTTCAATTTACCAACATACAGAATAACACCCAGTGCTCATCCCGTCAAGTGTCCCCCTCAGTGCCCGTCACCCACTCACCCCCATCCCCCGCCCTCCTCCCCTTCCACCACCCCTAGTTCGTTTCCCAGAGTTAGGAGTCTTTATGTTCTGTCTCCCTTTCTGATATTTCCCACACATTTCTTCTCCCTTCCCTTATATTCCCTTTCACTATTATTCATATTCCCCAAATGAATGAGAACATACACTGTTTGTCCTTCTCCGATTGACTTTCTTCACTCAGCATAATACCCTCCAGTTCCATCCATGCTGAAGCAAATGGTGGGTATTTGTCTTTTCTAATGGCTGAGTAATATTCCATTGTATACATAAACCACATCTTCTTTATCCATTCATCTTTCGATGGACACCGAGGCTCCTTCCACAGTTTGGCTATTGTGGACATGGCTGCTAGAAACATCGGGGTGCAAGTGTCCCGGCATTTCATTGCATCTGTATCTTTGGGGTAAATCCCCAACAGTGCAATTGCTGGGTCGTAGGGCAGGTCTATTTTTAACTCTTTGAGGAACCTCCACACAGTTTTCCAGAGTGGCTGCACCAGTTCACATTCCCACCAACAGTGCAAGAGGGTTCCCCTGTCTCCACATCCTCTCCAACATTTGTGGTTTCCTGCCTTGTTAATTGTCCCCATTCTCACTGGTGTGAGGTGGTATCTCATTGTGGTTTTGATTTGTATTTGCCTGATGGCAAGTGATGCAGAGCATTTTCTCATGTGCATATTGGCCATGTCTGTGTCTTCCTCTGTGAGATTTCTCTTCATGTCTTTTGCCCATTTCATGATTGGATTGTTTGTTTCTTTGCTGTTGAGTTTAATAAGTTCTTTATAGATCTTGGAAACTAGCCCTTTATCTGATACGTCATTTGCAAATATCATCTCCCATTCTGTAGGTTGTCTTTTAGTTTTGTTGACTGTATCCTTTGCTGTGCAAAAGCTTCTTATCTTGATGAAGTCCCAATAGTTCATTTTTGCTTTTGTTTCTTTTGCCTTTGTGGATGTATCTTGCAAGAAGTTACTGTGGCTGAGTTCAAAAAGGGTGTTGCCTGTGTTCTCCTCTAGGATTTTGATGGAATCTTGTCTCACATTTAGATCTTTCATCCATTTTGAGTTTATTTTTGTGTATGGTGCAAGAGAGTGGTCTAGTTTCATTCTTCTGCATGTGGATGTCCAATTTTCCCAGCACCATTTATTGAAGAGACTGTCTTTCTTCCAGTGGATCGTCTTTCCTCCTTTGTCGAATATTAGTTGACCATAAAGTTCAGGGTCCACTTCTGGGTTCTCTATTCTGTTCCATTGGTCTATGTGTCTGTTTTTGTGCCAGTACCACACTGTCTTGATGACCACAGCTTTGTAGTACAACCTGAAATCTGGCATTGTGATGCCCCCAGATATGGTTTTCTTTTTTAAAATTCCCCTGGCTATTCGGGGTCTTTTCTGATTCCACACAAATCTTAAAATAATTTGTTCTAAGTCTCTGAAGAAAGTCCATGGTATTTTGATAGGGATTGCATTGAACGTGTAAATTGCCCTGGGTAACATTGACATTTTCACAATATTAATTCTGCCAATCCATGAGCATGGAATATTTTCCCATCTCTTTGTGTCTTCCTCAATTTCTTTCAGAAGTGTTCTATAGTTTTTAGGGTATAGATCCTTTACCTCTTTGGTTAGATTTATTCCTAGGTATCTTATGCTTTTGGGTGCAATTGTAAATGGGATTGACTCCTTAATTTCTCTTTCTTCAGTCTCATTGTTAGTGTATAGAAATGCCACTGATTTCTGGGCATTGATTTTGTATCCTGCCATGCTACCAAACTGCTGTATGAGTTCTAGCAATCTTGGGGTGGAGGCTTTTGGGTTTTCTATGTAGAGTATCATGTCATCGGCAAAGAGGGAGAGTTTGACTTCTTCTTTGCCAATTTGAATGCCTTTAATGTCTTTTTGTTGCCTGATTGCTGAGGCTGGGACTTCCAGTACTATGTTGAATAGCAGTGGTGAGAGTGGACATCCCTGTCTTGTTCCTGATCTTAGGGGAAAGGCTCCCAGTGCTTCCCCATTGAGAATGGTATTTGCTGTGGGCTTTTTGTAGATGGCTTTTAAGATGTTGAGGAATGTTCCCTCTGTCCCTACACTCTGAAGTTTTGATCAGGAATGGATGCTGTATTTTGTCACATGCTTTCTCAGCATCTAATGAGAGGATCATATGGTTCTTGGTTTTTCTCTTGCTGATATGATGAATCACGTTGATTGTTTTACAAGTGTTGAACCAGCCTTGTGTCCCGGGGATAAATCCTACTTGGTCATGGTGAATAATTTTCTTAATGTACTGTTGGATCCTATTGGCTAGTATCTTGTTGAGAATTTTTGCATCCATGTTCATCAGGGATATTGGTCTGTAATTCTCCTTTTTGGTGGGGTCTTTGTCTGGTTTTGGAATTAAGGTGATGCTGGCCTCATAGAACGAATTTGGAAGTACTCCATCTCTTTCTATCTTTCCAAACAGCTTTAGTAGAATAGGTATGATTTCTTCTTTAAACGTTTGATAGAATTCCCCTGGGAAGCCATCTGGCCCTGGACTTTTGTGTCTTGGGAGGTTTTTGATGACTGCTTCAATTTCCTCCCTGGTTATTGGCCTGTTCAGGTTTTCTATTTTTTTCCTGTTCCAGTTTTGGTAGTTTGTGGCTTTCTAGGAATGCGTCCATTTCTTCTAGATTGCCTAATTTATTGGCGTAGAGCTGTTCATAATATGTTTTTAAAATCGTTTGTATTTCCTTGGTGTTGGTAGTGATCTCTCCTTTCTCATTCATGATTTTATTAATTTGAGTCTTCTCTCTCTTCTTTTTAATAAGGCTGGCTAATGGTTTATCTATCTTATTAATTCTTTCAAAGAACCAACTCCTGGTTCTGTTGATCTGTTCCACAGTTCTTCTGGTCTCGATTTCGTTGAGTTTGCTCGAATCTTTATTAACTTCTTCTTCTGGGTGTAGGATCTATTTGCTGTTTTTTCTCTAGCTCCTTTATGTGTGAGGTTAGCTTTTGTATTTGAGTTCCTTCCAGTTTTTGAATGGATGCTTGTATTGCGATGTATTTCCCCCTTAGGACTGCTTTTGCTGCATCCCAAAGATTTTGAACGCTTGTATCTTCATTCTCACTATTTTCCATGAATCTTTTTCATTCTTCCTTAATTTCCTGGTTGACCCTTTCATCTTTTAGCAGGATGGTCCTTAACCTCCATGTGTTTGAGAACCTCCAAACTTCTTGTTGTGATTTAGTTCTAATTTCAAGGCATTATGGTCTGAGAATATGCAGGGGATGATCCCAATCTTTTGGTATTGGTTCAGACCCGATTTGTGACCCAGTATGTGGTCTACTCCACACAGACTGATATTAAATAAAGTGACCAATATGATTTTCTTAACCATTATATTGTCTGGTCTTCCTTGAAAAGTAAGCAAATCATTTATATGCATTTAGTATAACAAGTATCTCTCAAAAGTAAAAAAGAATGAATAGGTTTTATTTTTATTTTTTAAAAGATTTTATTTATTTATTTATTTATTTATTCATTCATTCATTCATTCATCCATTCATTCATTCATGAGAGACACAGAGAGAGAGGGACAGACATAGGCAGAGGGAGAAGCAGGCTCCCAGTGGGGAGCCCAATGCAGGACTTGATTCCAGGACATGGGGACCATGACCTGAGCTGAAGGCAGATGCTCAACCACTGTGCCCCCAGGCATCCCGAATAGGTTTTTTTTTTTTTTCCGAATAGGTTTTAAGTATACTTTTTTTCTACCAGTGTTTGAGAATAGTCCTGTGATTTGCATTACATTCTCATAAAATGGTCCATGACACACAGTTTGAACAGGGATTGCAAATGGCTCTATGAGGGGAACAGCACCGAGAGCCAGGCAGCTAGTTCATAAGAGATGGGGCTAGAATTCAGATTTCCTCAGTTGGAGGCTCCTTTTCCCAGTCAGTGGTGTGTCTCCTATCTGTAGCATGCTCCAGATAAACATTTGTAGCTACAAGAGCCTCAGCACAGAAAGCAGGCAGTTTGGATCTGAGCAGGAAGTACCAGCCAGAATGGCAGTAGGAGATGGCCCTCTCTGGAAAGCTGCCCTGCAGAGGCAAAGTGCCCTTGTTCCCCTTCCTCCCTCTGCCCCTGCTACTATTGCCTTGTTCCCTCCCCGCTATGTAATGTCATGGGAGCAGTAACAAACCTTAACTGATCAATAACATGAAAAAGGTGACTTCGGTGGAAGCCGAGCTCAGCTGCTGGCTGGCTGGGGCACATTTCCCCAACGATATGAAACACTAATCTGCACTTGAGTGAATATATATGAGCCTCTAACATTTCACCTGCTCATGAATTACACTAGTAGATTCATTTTGAGATTGGAAAGACAGCTTCCCAGAACAACTCTTTGCTAATTCTTAATCGATTTGGGAAATTATTTAGTTTGCTATTTAGTTTTTTTGTTGGTAACAAAGACACAAAGATGCTGAGATATAGACAAAATAAAAATACCCCGTGAAACTAGACCCTGAGATTTTTTTTCCTTTTGCTACAACAGACTCCCAGACAACTTGAATTTTCTAAATTATTTAAAAGCTTCAGAAGCTAAATTCTAATACTGTGATTATTCATTTATTCTAAAGCCCAATGGCATGTTGTTGTTTTAACTGTAACACCAGTGGATGTTTAAAAGAGAAAAACCCCATAATGATATATCATTATTTCCATCCCTATTGTGCATAAGTAAAACAATGACATCACAGGAAGAGGTATGCATACACAGAGCAAAATTACACTGCAAAGGAATGTATATTAAATATGGTAGTGCAGGAGAGAATGATGTATACATATTTTAAGGATGTCTGGGCATATTTATAAAAAATTCAAGAAATATTAAACAAGGAAAATATTTGCAGAAACTAGAGCAACAAAATCATTCATTGTTTCTGAACTAAAGGACGTTAAAAAGCATAGGGTGGAGAGAAATAATGTATGGGTTTGATCTAGATGGTGGATATCATACCTATAATTCACAGCAGACTTCTTTAAAGCTAAAAGAGATCAAAGGTAAAAAAAGATATGGTACCAACATAAACATGATACATGACAGAACTTACTGATGGATTTTTGCTTAATCCTACTTCTTGGCCACACAGAGAAAGGACGTGCACCAACTTCTCTTTTGTTCTCTTCTGGAAAAGAGACACACAAACACATTTTAATCACGGGGTCCTGTGATCAAATCTGCTCCAATACTGTAAGCCATTAGCCACATAAGACTATGGTCCCTGGAATGTGGCCAGTGAGAACTGAGATGTAAAATACACAGAGACTTGGTATGAAAAAGGAATGCAAAATATCTCATTAATAATTGCAAGATATTGGCTGCACATGGAAATAATATGAAATATATTAGTTAAATAAAATGTTATTAAAATGATTTTTACCTGTTTCTTTTTAATTTTTTTTAAAGTGACCATTAGAAAGTTTAAAATGAGGCACACTTTGTGTTTCTACTGGACAGTGTTGATCTAAGCTTTCCCAGGGAAGGGGGTGAAAATCAGCCCCTGGGTTCTTCAGCAGATACTCATGACTCCCCTTGATAATCTTTTCTTGTCTGTTACAACTTTCAGCATTAGAAATGCTTTCCTCATACCTACATTAAATCTACTATGTTCTAACACAAATCTATTTTCCTCAGACTGTCCATGGACACCATGAATGGAGTGTGTGCCTAGGAGACAGCAGTCAGAAGGGCTACTGGAAAGCAAAGCATTTGTACATCTTAGACTAAGCGCAGGCCTCCCAGATGTCCATTCATGGAGCAGCAGGTAGATCTGACTACTTTCTACCCTCTTTTTTCTTCCTGACTCCTTAGCACATTTGCAAATCTCTTCCCTCCTTCCTTCCCTCTCCATCAATGTAAGAATTTAGACAATTTTACTAGTTGAAAAAGCAGTGTGGCTTGAGGAAGCAACTGTAAAGGCAGATTCTGTATTCTTGTGCAGCCCTATCATGTAGAACTGGTTGGGAGAACTAAGGATGCATTGTTTGGAGAAAAGAGAACTCATTTGGATGAGTGGCAGAGAGGGTGGGGTTTCTTTATCCATTTGAAGGGCTGCCATGTGTAAGAGAGGTCTCATTTCATCTAAGTCTTAAGAGAACTAGGACCAATAGGCTGAGGCAGCAAATGTCAGACTTCAACTCAATGTAATGAGCTGTTCCAAGATAAACTAGGTTCCTTTGGAATGCCATGAGATCCTCATCACTGAAGTGTTGATGCCCAGAATATGGGCAACGTCAGGATGGTGCTGGAGGAAACCCTTATCACGTGGGCATTTGGGCTCGATAGGTCCCCCTGAACTCCTTTCCAATCCTGGAAGTCTAGAATTCTATACCTGAGAATACTGAGGCCTTTTCCAGCTTACAGGAACAAGAACATTGGAATTGGAGCCTGATGAAGTAGAGGATGTGCTCCTGGTAACGGCCATGGCCCTGGGCTTCCCATCCCGTCCAGAAGAGTTCTGTAGCTCATCGTATCGCCTCCCGATGATTGGTGTCTTGACAAAAAAAGGAATACAAAAGTTCATGTTCTATCTGTTTGATAGTTCTGTGTACTATGGGAGCACTCTACCCAGCAGCAGCCAAGCCCTGCTTATTTGATTAAAACTTAGACAAGTTCAGTGTCATAAGTAGGCTCATTTTCCTGACGTTCAAACACATTCTAAATCATTTTACATCTTCAACATTTTCCTACCCTCGATAGCAGCTGAAAACAAATCAAATTGCTTGTTCTTAAACATACTCTAGAAACCACTGATAAAGATTAGAAGCAAAACATTCAGGAAAGCAAATAGTTTTCAGATATTTGAGCTTAAAAGAATTCCTTATCGTTATAACCAGAGACCAGAGTTCCTTCCTTCTTCCCAACCTTTAAATCTCAGTTATTTAAAAACTCATTTAAATTGGTTATATCTTTTCAGTATTTATTTATTTATTTATTTATTTATTTATTTATTTATTTATAGATTTTATTTATTTATTCATGAGAGACAGAGAGAGAGAGAGAGAGAGAGAGAGAGAGAGAGAGAGAGAGGCAGAGATACAGGCAGAGAGAGAAGCAGGCTCCATGCAGGAAGCCCAACGTGGGACTCAATCTCCTGGGTCTCCAGGATCACACCCGTGGGCCGAAGGTGACGCTAAACCGCTGGGCCACCGGGGCTGCCCCTTTTCAGTTATTTAAATGAGTGAATTCATGGCCAGGTACTTGGGCAACACTTTAGAAGTTTATTTCCCGAGAATTCCTTTCTCATGCTGGTGTGTGGTGGCTGGGTAGTCAGCCTTGCTGCAGAACCCTGTTTGTGGGCCTGCTCCTCTATCCCCAGGTGGCAGACACCAGTTGGAAATTCTTCATCTGGTTCTCCAGCTTTTTATTCTGGAGCAGCTTGGTTCCTGGGGTGTGCAGCCGACTGGCTGCTTCTTTTCTGTGCCCCTTTCGAACAGAACTGACTTCAGTCAAGGAATAAAAGTAGCTTTTCCCTTCAGCAATGTAAAAAAATGTTAAAAATTTAAAAAATAATTGATTGGATACCTTAATATCATATACATACTAAATACAGATGCAGGAATCACGAGGGCAGCAAAAGAGTATCTCAACCTTGGTACTGAAGGGGCAATGAGACCGTTGTGTGAAGTAACCCAACCTGGCTACAACCTACTTAATAGAGCAAATAAGTTTCACATAACCAGATCTGGTTTATTATTTCAGTGAATTTATTCATTCAGCAGTTCTGAAGAATATTTGTTAAGTACCGTTCTTGTACCAGACACTGTACCAGACCATGGTTACAAAATGGACAGAAAGTAGTTTCTGCTTTGGTGAGGTTATGGGGTATGGGGTACACGAGACAGGAAAGTAAAGTATTTGCACATCTTAGACTAAGTACAGGCCTCCCAAATGTCCATTCACGCAGCAGCGGGTAGACCTGGCTACTTTCTGCCCCCTCTTCTCTCCCTGACTCTTTAGTTTGGTTCACTGGTTCCTTCCCTCCTCCCTCCCTTCTCCCTCGAGGCAAGACCTTAGATAATTGTACTGGTTTAAAAAGCAGCATGGTTTGGGGAAGCAACTGTAAAGGCAGATTCTGTATTCCTGTCAATCTCAGTCATTTGCTGGTCTGGCTGGGAGTTTGGACAGCAAAGTTGTGGATATAAAGATAGGACATGACACTGTTGGGTAAAGAAGGAGTGAAGGTCATGCTTTAAACATGCTTAAGATCATTCTGTTTTAAAGTTATCTTTTAAAAAAATCCTTTAAAAAATAACGGGTGCTCACTTCTGTTTTTAGAGGCTGTCAACTGAGAGCCCTAATGAATATGACACTTAATGTGTTCTTAAAAAAACAACCTAATTTAGGCCTTAGAAAACTTAGTTTGAAATAAACATAAAATAAGTGTCTCTTTCCCAGGCAACTAGTTGTGATCTTTGCTATTAATTCTCCCTACTAAGGTTGACAGAAACAGATAACATACCTCTGAAATATCGAAGTGAAAGTCTAGGGTTTTTCCAGGTAATTCCTTAGAGGCACTGGTCCACACTCGATGTATTTCTATCTTTGAGAGGTCACTGTGCTGATAGGAAGGTAAAACGAGGCTGGCAGATCGTGACACTACCAGCTTCAGGATATTCAAAGCTTCTCTCCAGTGAACACTCTGAAGGGAATAAAACATTCAATGATCAGAAAAAATTTCATTAAAAAAACAAAAAACAAAAAACGAGTCTACTGCTAGCAACTGAACCTTTTTAAAAAAACATTTAAATTCAATTAATTATCATACAGTGTTTTATTCGTTTCAGAGGTAGAGTTCAGTGATTCATCAGTTGTGTGTAAGACCCAGCTCCTGAAACTTCTCACGACTAGTCAGAATTCCCTGATGGAAAACAGTGCTGCAAATTCTATCTTACGTAAAAGGCGAATGACACAAAAATACAATTTATATGTAAGAGGGGATACATTTAGGAAATAAGCAAATAAAAAAATAGCAAATTCTGTCCATATTCAAATAAACAGAAGTTTAAAATGACAAGGTACCATTTTTGCCAATAAGGTGCCTCCTCCATTTGAACAAAAACAATCCCCAATGCATTTATGCTATTGACCACTCACTCTTTCTCAAAACTCTCCCTGATTCCAGCTTCCAGTCTTCCTTAGTTTTGCTCCTACTTTTCTGACTCCTCTGCTTCCTTTGCTCCCTGGGCTCCTCTTCTCACTTCATACCTTCCTCATGATCTAACCCAGGACTCTGGGAGGCATGGTTAGCTCCCATCTTTTCATCTTCTGTATTCCTGCTGGCACTGGATCAGCTGAATCCTCTCTGGCCTCTGCCTGGACTATTTCAATGTCCTCTCAACTGGTCTCCTGGCTTGCGGCCTCTACTGAAGTCCAGCATACCCACCCCAACTACAGTGATCTTTCTAGAACTCTTCAGACCATGCCCCTTCCCTGCCTAAATTTCTTCAAGGGCTCCCTCTGGTGGGCATGGTGGAGTCCACACTCTTTAAGCACAGCCTACAGGAGTAATATCCCCCACCCCAGGCTGCCCCTGGAGATCTTCACACTAGGCAAGCTCTCTTTGCCATTGTGTCTTTACTTATGCTATTCCCTGTCCTGGAATGCCCTTCCTCTCCTTATTGGCTTATTACAGGCCTACTTTTCCTAAAAGACTCACTTTGTTTTGGAATCTTTGTCTCCCTGACAAATCCCAGGCCAACTGGGCTTCTCCCACAAAAATACTGAGCATAGATAAGTTAACTTGATAAAAGTTATTATTATTATTTACCCAGCCTTTGGAATAAGAGCACATGAAATAAACCATATTTCCTTCACTGTTAAATTCTGTACAAGGGAGGTCATGATTTGAATGTGGAATTAGCCATCATTCAAGATAAGATATCGAATAACAGAGATAGCCCACAGGCCTGAGTGAGAATAGGCAGCCTAGTAAAACAATTTTTTTCTTTTGATCAAGGGCACATGATTTGTAGAAAAATGTGAACCGAACCCCTGGCTCCCAGGACTTCCGTGAAGTGAGAAAGTGTTACTGAATGCTTACTACCTGCATAAATGATTTTTGGAGAAATGCAATTCACAAAATAGAAACTAAAAAAGGCTTGGAATCATATTTAGCAGTAAATAATTTCTGCAAGCAATGTGATGTTGAAGTGACAACAGGGAAAAAATATCTAATTTACACTGTATGGCTTTGTGGATGATTTTAACCAGATAGAATCTAGCATCTGCTCTTGAAGTCTGCAACTCACAGAGTACACCCCTGCATTTGTTTTTTTGTAGTATTTTCAACACATTTATGCAAGTTGTTTAACCTGACTTCTCTCAACTCTAAAGGGATCATTTTAACCCCTGAATTAACACTTTGCATGTGGAAACACCTGGCCTACAACCTAGCACACCTAAGTTCCTTCTCTCTTCTCCTTCTTTGAAATAGGACACTACAGATTCAACCCTGCTGGCCCCTCCCAGCCAGGTGTTTGCTTTTAATACCCAGTCTGTAGGCCCCAAGAGGCAGAAACACATCCGTTGAGGGCTCAGAAATGCACCAGAGCTTGTCCTGTCTTTCTTCTTACTGTACCACTTGGGGTGTGGTCAACCACCACAAATGACTGCTCTCAGTGGGTTAAGGATGCCAATAAATGAATGTGCAGCCTGGCACCCTGATAACTTTGCAGCCAAGTACAAGCTACAAATCTCCAGTCTTTCTAGAATGACTCTCTGGAAACATCCTTGTTCATAAGTGAAGTCATCCAGATACTCACTTGCACATATTTTTCAATGGTCTTCAGAACTTCCACATTAAACTGCTTTACAGGGACGACTGACAAGTCCATGTAGCTGAGGAGACTGTAGATCACCTGGAGGAGGGGCTGCTGCATACTGGGGAGACCCTTCTCCAGCAGCTGTGGGAGACAAGGTACAGTGTCAGTTGGTGTGTGACACCCGCCTTTTCATACAGAAGGACCAGTGTCTCCCAACACCTTTATGATTGCATTTTTCCTTAGAAAGGAATGGAAAATCCTAACCACTAAAGAAATGAAGATATCATTAAGGGTAATGTAGGGTACCTGGATGGCTCAATTGGTTAAGCATCTGCCTCCGGCTTGGGTCATGATCCCCAGGGTCCTGGGATTGAGCACTCAGCAGGGAGCCTGTCTCTCCCTCTCCCTCTGCCCCTCCCCTTGTCCCCTACTCATGCTCGCTTGTACTCTCTCTCTAATAAATAAATAAAATCTCAAAAAATTAAAAAAAACCAAATGCAATGTAAGTACACCTGAATATATAGATACAATATTCATAAATGGAATACACACAAAATAAATCTCAAAAGGAAAGCACCAAATACCACTAATTATTGAAAATTACAAATTAAGACAAAAGGCACAAGTTATTAGTTATCAAGCTGGCAAGGTTTCCCAAGTGATAACAGTCAGTATTGGTGGGGAGTAACTTGGATAATTCGGCAATTGACATCAAGAGTACTAAAAACAGTTTATGTCTTTTGAAATAGTGATTATACTTCTAGGAACTTTTCCAAACCTAGAGATAGACACTAAGATTTATATGTGAGATTTCACCAAAGCATTATTTTTAATGGTAAGACACCCACAAAAAAAACTAAACAAGAAAGCTCTATAAGCAGTATAAATGTTCAACACTAGGGAAATGGATAAAAAATTATGCTAAATTGTCTGATGAAATACCACATAATCAAGAGAATGACATTTTTAAAGACAGTAAAGGATATCAGATAATACTAAATAGTGAAGGAAGAAGGATATACAATTTCTGTATAATAGATGATGTCAAAGTCTAAGTGAATGGGTGGGTGTTACATGGAAATAACAATGGAAAGAAATTGAACAAAATGCTACCAGTATTTCTCTCTAGATAACTATTTTGGGTGATTTTTCTTATCTCCCCCTCCTGTTTTTTCCCCCCACTTCTCTGTACCTACCAAATTTTCTTTTATGGACATATACTATGGTATCAACAGTATTTTCAAAGAAGAAAGCAAACTAATGAGAACATTTATGTGACACACATCATGATCAAAGGTTACTGTTCCAAACAAAGAAATATAGAGATAATTCAAATAAATGTTCAAATTCCACATCAAAAGAGGCCAAAGGAAACAACTGAGCAGTTAAAACACAAGGAAATGAACAATTATGCAAATCTATTGTGTGGGAAAATGAACACTATTCTTAGAAAGGAAATACATAAAGGGAATAATTTTAAAGTTTTAAACAATAAGAATATAAAACTGAAAAGAGGCATAAAAAGGATAATAAAATATAGCGAGGATGTGGGAAACCAGGTTTATACACTGCTGGCAGTATTGTAAATAGGGGAAATCTCTGTCAAGGCCAATTACCCAAATGTGTAGAGAACCATAAAACACATTCATGTACCCATGCCCTCAACCTGGATAAGTTACTTTTGAAAACACCACCAGAAGAAATAACCTGGATATTATCTGATAAGAAGTCTACATAAAAGGTCCCTTTGTGATAGAAAAAAAAATTATGAATATAAGCAACAGGGGAGATGTTTAAGCACACTGGGTTACAATAACCTGTTAGAATCACAGTTGTTGAAAGTGACACTATATGAGCTATGCCAACATATGAAAATACACACACAGAATTAATGTCACATGAACAGAGCAGGTTGACAGGCAATACTGATCATAGCTACCTAAGATTATACGTATGTGCCTGGCCAACACCTGAAAGAATACATGAGTACCTGAAGTAGGAGTTAATATGTACTATGCTTGGTGGGAAGTTAGGTTCATAATAAGATTTTCAGTGACAGTTTGTGACAAAGCCTGAAGAGGACAAATTAGGTAATCCATTCTCATTTATTTATTTTCATTGTGGTAAGATGTATATAACATAAATTTGCCATTCTGACCACTGCTAAGTGTACAGTTCAGTGGCATGAAGTGCATTCGGACTGTTGTGTAACCATCACCACTATTTATTTTCAGGATTTGTTCATCATTCCAAACAAAGACTGTTAACTGTAAAATGTTAAGTTCCCATTACTCCCTGTCCCCAACCCCTAGGGATCACTATTCCACTTTCTATCTCTACAGATTTGCCTATTCTAGGTATCCCGTACAAATGGAATCCTATTATATTTGTCCTTTTGCATCTGGCTTCTTCCACTTGGCATAATGTTTTCAAGGTTCATCCAGGTTGTGGTGTGTGTCGGTGCTTCCTTCCTTTTTTGTCTGGATAACATGTATGTGTGTATCTGCCACATACCATTTGTAGTTTTGAAACTTTTGTCTAGTGATCCGAACAAGTCTTATCTTCTTGCTAGCTTACGCTTCACTTTTAAAATTGTCATCATCTGCCTTTGTAAGCAAGGGCACTGGTGTCAGTTATCTGGTACTTCTTACGAGCTGAGGTATGTGTGTGGTTTCTTAGTAATTCTTGTGGGGACAGATGGGACCAAGGTGATTATCCAAAGCCACAGGGTGGCATTTAAGAGGGGCTCCTTAAAGTGCCAAAGATGGGGTGTGGAAAAACCCTTGGCTGTTGACAGTCTGAATGCAGCTATGTTTTGCTGACCCAGATTGCAAATCAAAATCCTGCAAGATCAACTATCAGTGTTGATAAATGGGGCAAGGACCCTCTCTACCAGGTACAAGGGTGCAGTCTTGCGGAGCCTTGCAGAGAATAATTGATTCTCTAACCTATCCGCACCCTGTACTCATGACATAACTATAAGAAAAGTTAGAATGTACTGTCCTCATCACTTCTGAAAAGGCCCTAGCGAGAGGTATGCATGCATGTCCCCCAAGGAAAAGCAATGGTGAACACGCTAAACCAAGGTGGCTGTTTGAGACCATTTCTCTCATAGATTTCATGACCTTGTGTATTAAGGTAGTGAGTGGCCCGAGGTGCTACACAGAATACATTTCATCACTTGTCCAATATGCTGTGTATTTCCAGCATCAATGGACACAGGGCCTTGGAATGAATGTACTAGAAACACACTTGTATAAGGATGAAAATCCCTTTCCATTTTTAAAAACAAACTTAAAGATGAAGATAAAAGGTTTACTTCTAAATATATGCTTTGTTAAGTAGTTCAGAGCAAACAACCATTAAACATATCAATCCACATAATAACTTTTTTTTAATAAGCATTTTTTTAAAAAATTTATTTATTCAGAGAGAGAGAGAGACTGAGAGGCAGAGACACAGGCAGAGGGAGAAGCAGGCTCCATGCAGGGAGCCTGACGCGGGACTCAATCCTAGGTGTCCAGGATCAGACCCCGAGCTGCAGGCGGCGCTAAACCGCTGCGCCACCGGGGGTGCCCACACATAATAATTTTTTAAGTAAGATTTGAACACCTGGAGTAATTAGGATAAAATTTCCCCATTTCTGGAATGTACTGGCAAGCATTAGCATAGGAAAAAGAAGGAATTTAAGTTTTTGAGACAGGTATAAAGACTGGCTTTGCCACTTTAAACATATATGGCAGATTATTTCATCTGGTTTGGCCTCAGATTCTTTGTTATGATAGTATTTGAATCACTGAATTGTTGTGAGGATTTAAGATGATTCCATACAGCATCTATGATAATATATAATAGACAATAAATGAAGATAAGAGATTATCCATTCCATATAAATATTTTATCCATGAAAACTATAATAGGCTTATCCTTAATTGAAGAGCTTACCTCGGCCAGGTAGGTCACCATATTCAAGGTAATGTCGGCAAATGCTTCATGAAGGTATCGGCAGACCACATTGACCCATGTGGCACAGTCCCTCGTGTAGCTGTGTGTTTTATAAAGGGTCATGACGTGTGCAAGATTGGAAAGTTTGGGGTTCTTCTCTTCCAAACACACCTTTTAAGAGAAGATAATAAATTAGGGATAAAATAGCCTTATGAATAGGAAGATGTGTTAGCAATTTTGCTATAAGATATGCCTGCAATTTTGCTCTGGAATCTGGAAAACATATTGATACTTTTTTTTTTTTTTTTGCAAGCTGCAGAAGTGCTTATCTTAATAATTAGCTAATAAGATTTTCACAGATTCTTTCCACTTGTCTTATCAATAATGAAGCCACAAGACAATGTGCATTAGCTACTCAGAGATATAAATTACCAGCCATATCAGTTATGATTTTCAGGTTTTGTGAAACTCATTTCCCTTTTGGGGCAATCTCTGTTTAGCATTGGACCTTCCTGAAGGCCTGTATGGATCCGCCTGAGTATGGAGCCAGAAATCATACCTGAGCAATCCTTTCAGCTATATCCTTGCAAAACTGATTGGGATTTTCAAAATGCTGGATCAGCTGGGGCAGGAGACACAACACGTTCAGTGGAAATCCTGGATCAGAGAAGATGCAGTGGACATACTGAATATGGTGCATTTTAACTGTTAACAGTAGGAAGGATATTGCAGATTTTATGCTAAGGTGATGCAAAAGCAGTCTTTTGAACAGTTTTACTATGTCTAACACAAAATCCAGGAAAAAAATGTACAACCACAATGACACCAGTTACAGAGGAGGCACTGAAGTAGATCTGTAATTCTGAGACAGTGACTGTATTGTTATGGACTGTGAAAAGGATGACTGGCACAGATTTTAAAAAGCAGATTAAAAGGAACTGAAGCTCTGGTTTAAAACTTTTATAAAAAACCATATTTTAGGATGTGAGGGCGATCTGGCTGCGACATCTGTCACCCCATTGATCGCCAGGGTTGATTCGGCTGATCTGGCTGGCTAGGCGGGTGTCCCCTTCCTCCCTCACCGCTCCATGTGCGTCCCTCCCGAAGCTGCGTGCTCGGTCAAAGAGGACGACCATCCCTGATAGAGGAGGACCATTCTTCGGTCAAGGGTATACGAGTAGCTGCGCTCCCCTGCTAGAACCTCCAAACAAGCTCTCAAAAACCATATTTTAAGAAAAGCTTGTATGAGAAGACATAGGCCAACCAATTTAAGTCTCACTCATGTAATGTATCAAACAGGCTTTTTAAAATGCTAAGTAATGGCTTAGTACCATCATGTTAAGTTCTACCTTCATGAAAAGAAGTCTGGGCCCCATGCCATGGTATTAAAAATATGGCTGGTGATTTGGCTTCATTCAAAATGATGAAATCAAGAGAATTTTCAAGAGGTGATAAAAAGGTAAGAAAACAAAAAAGATTTAGGAATTAAGAAAAAAAGAGCAAAAATGTTTTATTTGTACAAGAATAATGGAATAAATTGACAGTGTCTGCAATTTCATCTGTAAAGCACAAAGAAATAACTAATATATTGCTTCTGCCCCTTTTACGCTATTGCTTTAAAAATGTCTTCTACAATTTAAATAATTTTAAGATTTATATTATGTATAGTTTTGAAAGAAATGACACTATTCCCAAAGAACCATTTCTAAACAGAATTGTTGAAAGTACGAAGCCCATTATCTTATTACACTAAATGTAAACACAACCACTTCCAGAACTTCAGGAGAATGAGTGATGTTGGCCTTACCAATGGCCTGGGATGAATCCACCATGGATACTTTGGATACTGGTGTGAGCAAACTGAAAAGCTGCAGGGTCAGGTCAGTGGTGGTGAGGGAGGTGAATCCTTTGAGCAGCAGCTGCTGCAACCCTGAGAAGTCTGACCACTTCAGCTGTGCCTGGAGTTTCTCAAGTTTTTCTCGGTTCTCAACTTTATCAAGCGGCATATGAGCCAGTAGTCTGTTCAACAGCCTTAAGGCCATTAGGTATTCAAACTCAAAATCTGATTCCATCAAGGCCACTGTGACCCAAAAGATGGTGGCTAATAAGTTCGTTGGATGATTTATGTGTGACGGATCCGAGAGGCTGTCCTTCAAGGAAGATGAACTTCTGGTTTTTGAGGAGAGGCCTTGCTGGGTACAAGCCTGAATTCTATCCAGGGTGGCACTTCTAGGTGGGTCTGAGGATCGGTCAACAACTCCAAACTTCTTGGGCACAGAAAAGCTTCTTTGATGCCGGCTCCGTTCTGTGGTTGTGGTGTTGCCACTGGCTGTCCCAGGGTTTACATTTAGTTGTCCTGTGCTCTTTCTGCTTGCTGTTAGTTTAGTGCTAGAGCTTAAATCTGGTGATGAAGAGCTGGGTATAAACATAAAAAATAAAAAAAATTTCAACAGAAAGCCAACATGCTTCAGTAAAGTGCCAGTCCTTTTAAGATTCACTGACAAACAGTAAGGGAGAGAAATCATTCTTTGGAACAATCCTATCTATTATTTTTTCCCCATACCCTTAAACCTACAGGAATAAATTTTCTATTCCTAAACTTAAAGTTATAAAAAACAAAACAATGAGAACCTTCACCAACAAAGCAACAATCAAACCTAATAGTGACTTACACTTACTGAAAAGCTAAAGGAGAGCAAGCAGTTGGTGGTAAAGTTTACTGATCATTCATTTATTTTTTTGTTTGACTTTGGGCAGGAGTAATTTAGAAATAAAATATTCCTGATAGGCACAAAGCTTAATATTCTATTAACTGACCGATAAGAACAGAAATGAAAAGGATATTATCTAGAAAGAAAAAAGTTAGTAACTGCATCAAAGGAAATTTTTTATGCTTATAAAAAATCTACAAGGAATGATCTCTAAGCCCATTTCAGGCTGAATAGATAAAACTCTTTATCAACATTCTTGCTAAATTCTTACTGACTTAGATAAATCTGTAGGTTTATATAGAAAAATATGAATGATGTTAGGAATCATACTAAAATTACCTATCCATAAAAAATGCTCAACTTAAAAATGAAACAAGGCTCAGTGTGATTTATGATAACATTACTGACTCAATTTCAAGCAAAATGAGCTCAATTATATAAGCAGAATACAAAATTGTGAATGATTTGAAATGGGTAATTAAACATTGGCAGGAGCAAAGGAACAAAAATAAAAAAGAAAGATCTAAGATAGGAATTTATTCAAGTAAAATCAACATTAATTCCAGCTGTTTTTATAGTGCAGGTTCAGATGAGTTTTGTAGATATTCATTCAAAAAATAATATTTAGTTTTGGTTTCTATCTACAATGCAAAAAGTAGGATAGCTATTATATAAAATTTGAAAAAGTACTCAGAGATATAGAACAAAAAGTGAAAAAACAAAATATTTCTATTTTTTAGAAATAGCATTTCTCCTCTATCTTCCCGATGTTTAAAAATACTTATACGTGTATATATGAGTGTGCCATAACTTTTTTTTTAACTAAAGAAAAAGTACCAAACTTTTCAAACATCAAAAACTAGATTTTTCCTTTGGACTTTGCCCAAATCCAGGTATCTCTCAAATATTCAGTCCAGCATATTTGATTTCAAAAGTCATTAAGCTGCTTCTCACCGAGATAATACCGTTAAGAGATCACTGTTCTTCAAGCAGTCAGACAAGTTATCCACGGCAGCTTCCAACGTAAGGAGTGCTTCCATTACATAACCCTGTCAGACATGCAAAGATAACATTTTGTACTGCTCAAAACTCCTGTTCACATCCTGAAGATAAATTTAATTAAAGCAAACTTTATTCAAGTCTAATGTTAATACCATTGAGTGCTAGACAGTCATTGCTACTTGAACTTACTGAGTCTAAAAACAAATTTTAAGGGCCATTTAGGAAATTCAGATAGCTTAATAGTAAGTAGGTAATCACAAAGATTTATTTTCTTAGATATGAGGTCCTGAACAGATTAATCTCATTTGAAATCCAACAGGGGGAGGGCAAGGTTAAAGGGACAATCATGGCTCCTTGCTGAGGGGGATGGTAGGCATTTGAAATGCAGAATGGCAATGTCTGACCAGAGATTTAGATATGAGAAAGGCTGGGCCTTAGTGGCATTTTGAAAAAAGCACATCCAACGGCCAGAAAGAGGAAAAGAGGCTAGAGTTAAGAGGTGTTCAGGTCCCTTGGGATAAATTAACTTTTCTAATGGAAAACAAAGGAAAGAAGGGCTTGGCCCAAGCTACAGAGCCAGCAATGTTCTTTGCTTTCAATCTGCTCCCCAGGCCTTGGGCTCTACCTACAGAGTCTTCTTGTGGTACCTAACTCTTCATTACTTCCTTCAGCTCTTCTCAGTGTACTGAAGGCTGGCTATACAGAGAAGGGTAATGCTTTGCAGAGATACAACAGAGATCCCTTCTCAAGGTGGGGAGACTGCATCAGTGCATCCTAGGTTGGTGGCAAAAAGACAAAACAATACAAATAATTCCTCAGTTCTCTGTCAAATCAAACCAACAACAAAACCACCAAGAAGGAGTCTCCAAGGGCTTTTCAGTGGTTGGCTCAAGAAAACAATATCCACTGGATTTCTAGAACAATGCTCCTTGAAGTATTTTTTGTAAATATAAAAAAGCTAACCTCTAAAAATTTTTAAAAATAAATTGTATATTCCCAAATGGTTGGGATAATTGGCAAGAGAAAGAAGGCTCAAAGGAAGCTGTTAGGCCTCATCTTTGACATGCAAGAATGAGAATGACTTCAGTGGTCTTTCCTTCCATACCTGAATCTCATCTCCATGTTCTCCAATCACCTCCACTAGTCTGGAGAGAAGATCAGACAAGGCGTGTGCTGACAGAGGTTGCTTGAGTGCCCGGAATATCTGGAAAGACCGTCCAGCATAGTGCCTCGAGGAGCTTGCAAGGGCTGTCTGCAAAGCAACTTCACTCAGGTGTTGCTCCAGATGGAAACCTAAGCACCAAGAGGCCACAGGTAGGTCAACCGGTACTCTGCAAACCTGGGGCATCAATGCAAATCAGGCCACCTGCACAGAGCTGCCTCCTGGTGATATTGTCCATTTTAAAATAAAACAAAATAAAACCCCACCAAATTTGGATAGATCTTAAAGAGGCATAGTGTAGTAGAAAGAATCCAAAGTTTTAGAGCAAGATGGTCCTGGTTTTGAACAAGGGGTTTTGGGACTCTGGGAAAGAAACGTATTCTCTATGAGCCTGTTTTCTTATTTTTAACTGGAGAATCATAGTATCTATCTCCTAGAGTTGTGGAAATTCAACAATTTAAAACATGCTTAGTATGGTGTCTGATACATAATATCGACTTACAAATGTCTTTTTGTTTATTGCACTGCTATTTTTTCTACATTGTTCTTCTGAACTACTTTTTGCAGGGAATACTTTCAGTCCAGTTTTCATGAGAGAATTTGTTATGACCAAGTTTTCAGAGTACTTGTGTACGTAGAAGAAAGCTGTTAGTGGATCTAGTCAACTCAAAACACAACCAAAGCCCATATCAAAGTCATCGCTCTTCAGAGTAGTCTATAAACATGCAGATATTGAAATGTAAGTGTTGCCAAGTAGGCAGCCATCGTTTAAACTCTAGTCTGAATATAGGTTCTTCCAATAGCATGAAGGTCATCTTAGTCATCAGAAAACCACTTGAATCAGATGGAAATAAAAATGTAAGGCAAAGTGCATGATTGAGTTCTGGGCCACGATCTGTACTCTCTGCTATGTCTCTCTGCAGGAGGAAATCTGACTACAAAGTCAGAGGACATGATGAAAATAGTGATTTTGACTATCTCTGTGATCTAGAGGGCTCTGTGGTATATTTGATCATCACATAAAAATGAATCAGGAGGGATAATTTAATGTCATTGTTCTTAGCTGCTGCCTGGCTGTTTGACCCTAGGGACCTATAGACTATATAAGAAAATGTTCCTGCAGAGCAAACAGAGTCCTGAAAAATGGACTTAGGTGTGTATATTCAGGGTAGTAAATACAGGATTAAACCCATACAGGCAGTTCACAATTTTTGAATGGATATTTTAAAACAGAATTTGTTACCTTTATTTTATTTTCCTACTTAATTTTATTACGTGTGGGGTCAGGACCTCTGTTGATTAACAAAAACTTAATTAAATCACAATAGGCCTGAAGGGCTAGAACTATCCTTGCAGGACTCTAGAGCACCAGTACAACTCTGACAATGTCCTTAAAGAAAGGCTATTTGATGTGTCACACAGCACCCTGCATTTCCCAGGCTTTCCTGAGGTTAGGTGTGACCTCACGTCTGAGTTCTGGCCAGTGGAATGTGGGAAGAAGCATTGGATGCCATGTTTGAGCCTGGCATGCTGGAAATTCCTCCGGAGTCATTCTCCACTCATGCTCTTCCTCCACTGGCTGGCTAGATGAGGAGGGTTGAGGAGAGGCCGCTGAGCAACGGGAGTGACAGGGGTGATGCGGGTGACAGACCCACAGGTTGGAGAGTCTTTGAAGCGCCATATGGAAGGCCACTGGAAAAACAACTACACTGATTCATTATGTGATTCAGAAGTAACCTTTTCCTGTGTTAAGCCTCTGAATTTTGGGGGTTGTGTTTTATACCAGCTATGCTACCCTGACTAATACAGCGTTTCCATAAACACATGTATTGTGCTACAGTGGAAATGGCAGAAAGCAGGGCTGTACGGGGAAACCAGCACCCTCTAAGGACACAGTAAAGGGATTCGTGTGTTTTCTCATTTTTCTTATCTTCATATAATCAGAAGTTTTAGACAAATTAATGTCTTACACACAAACAATATACATTTCTTCCTTTGGGTTCCTTTCAATTATTAAATGACTTTAAGTGAGGGAAATACCGATAGAAAAGGTCTTAATATTCCAAAAACATTCCAAAGGAGAAACTCAAAACAAGAAATGTCAATCCTCTTTCTGAAATGAGTTTTTCATGTTAGTTTAGCAGTATTTTTTGTTTTTTCAAAAGCACCCTCTGATACTGAGAAGAGATGTGGCTAATCTGGAATGTTTTCAATTGTGAGATGTGCTAATTATCAGAGCAATGGGGAAAGCCAGTGAGCTATCTTTCATATGGCCAGCTTGATGTGGGGGAAAAAGGTAGGGACAGTTGTTGCATCATGCTGGGGAATCAAATTTAGATTTCACACACAAATCAGCCCAGGCCAAGCTGAATCTGAATGGTATACAGCTGAGGGCTTAAACATCATGATGCTATGATAGTGTAAATAAGAATCACACTGTGTTCAGAATACTGAATGATCATTGGTACAGGAATTATTAGCAAATACTTTCAGAGTTAAAAACATTTGATCACAAGATACTGTTTTTTAACTAGTTTTCAAGTCTCACTTTTTCTCAGTTGAGTCTTGATACAGTCAATAATTATTACTCATGTTCTTTTTTTTAGCAAAATTTTAAATTTGAGTATACTTGACATACAGTCACATTAGTTTCAGGTGTACAACACAGTGATTCAGCTTCTCTATATGTGATGCTCACCATAAGGGGAGCTTCCATCTGTCACTATTACAGTATCATTGACTATATTCCCTATGCTGTGCCTTCTATCCCTGTAACTTATTCCTTCTATAACTGGAAACCTGTATCTCCTGCTCCCCTTTACCCATCTTGCCCATATCCGTATTCCCTTCTCTCTCATAGTCTTCAGTTTGTTTTCTTTATTTATAGGTCTGATTTTGCTTTTGTTTGTTTATTCAGGTTTTGTTTTTTAACATTCCACATATGAATGAAATCATATTGGATTTTTTCCCTCAATCTGACTAACTTCACTTAGCATAATATCCTCTGGGTACATTCATGTTGCCATAAATGGTGAAAAAAAAAAAACCACTCATCCTTTTTATAGCTATATAATATTCCATTATATAGTAAGTTTATTATGTATATTATATATAATGGAATATATATGGAATGAATATATATCTACATTTATATACATACATACATACCACATCTTCCTTATCTATTCATCTATGGATGGACACTTGGATTACTTCCATATCTTGGCTATTGCAAATAATGCTACAATAAACAGGAGGGCATGTATCTTTTCAAATTGGTGTTTTCATTTTCTTCAATTTCTTTTTGGATAAATGCTCAGTAGCACAATTACTGAATCATTTGATATTTCTATTTTTAATGTTTTGAGGAAATTCCATACTGTTTTCCACAGTAGCTGCAACAGTTTACCTTCCCACCAACAATACATGAGGGTACCTTTTCCTCCACATTCTTGCCCACATTTGTTATTTCTTGTCTTTTTGATTCTAGCCATTCTGACAGGTGTGAGGTGATATCTCATTATGGTTTTGATTTGCATTTCCCTGATGGTTAGTGATGTTGAGCATCTTTTTTTTTTAAAGATTTATTTATTTATTCGTGATAGACAGAGAGAGACAGAGAGAGACAGAGAGAGAGACAGAGGCAGAGACACAGGAGGAGGGAGAAGCAGGTTCCATGGCATGAGCCTGACGTGGGACTCGATCCCGGGACTCCAGGATCGCGCCCTGGGCCAAAGGTAGGCGCTAAACCGCTGGGCCACCCAGGGATCCCCTTGAGCATCTTTTCATATGTGTGTTGTGTCATGGCCTTCTCTAAATAAAATTAATATTATAAGGCATAGTTTAATTCTAATGAGGTATATGAAGCAAGGAGAACAGTGACCTTTGGGAATTATTTGATAGAATATAATGCAAGAATATGTGACATTAACAATCATTCAGTTAGGCACATCTGAACTAAGCCTCAAAGTTCCCCTATGAATATTCTTCTGCTATCAATGCTAAATGCAGAACCACACACACACACACAGACAGACACATACACATATATGAAATGTGTGGTTATAATGGGAAGAATATGTTCCATTACAGAAAATGTTGTAAGTGACATTTGGGGAAATAGGATAAAGTACCTGATTTGGAGTCTTTAAATACTGATACAACATGACGTAGAAAATTAGTGAGCTGTTCAGCACTCTTTGAATTTTGATTTTTGGGTGTGATGTCTTCATGGCACCAAAGTGGACCAAATGCCCTTAAACAAAACATACAAAATGTTAAAAAATATAACTATATGAATATAATAATTTTGCATTTTTAAAACCATGTATGCAGTTGTAACTCCAAAGGCGCAGTATGGATTTTTAAATTTTACTGATTAATGTGGGGGTAAATTTTAGTCTTATAAAGCTTAAGAGCATACTCTTATGTTTTACTCACAAAATGAAAACCTCACAAAATTCACTCACAGAATTAAAATCTCTCAATTCACCAGAACAGTGTTTCCACATAATAGATACTACATGTTTGTCAAAATAAAATGTTAATTTTATTTGTACATTTAGATTTGTACATTTGTACAATCTATTTGTACATTTTAGATTTGCAGAGATGATGCTTTTATCAGAAGCATATCATTAGGCTGCCAAATATTGTAGAAACAAATTAAAGATACAGCCTCTGATAGCTACTTGGTTTTCAACAAGAAGAACAGGATGCAGTCAGATGTGAGAATTTCAGAGAACACTCTTCTCAACACATGGTACTGACAGTGTTGAGTGGTAAGCATACTTTCATTCTCCACAAACCATTCAGGTCTTTGAGATACCCTGGTTGTAGGCACTATCAACCCCTTTTGAAGCTTCCTGTTCATTAAATCCTATATTGAACTGAGAACTGCAAAGAATACTCTGAATCATTAATTGAGGAAAGAAAATGCTTTTTTCCTTTTTTGCACTAATTGGTGCATTTGTGGAAGACAGAAAAATTATGTCGGTATCAGATAACATCTATGCAGACTACACTTTGGGATTTAATGCACTGAGAAAAGATAGCACTCCTCCCCCCATACAAAGATAAGCATAGTTTTCTTAATACAAATACTGGACCTTGGGGTGCTAGAAATTCTGAAGCTTTACAAACTAAATTGTTCATCAGAAGAACCAGAAGACTTGAAAAAACAGGATTGCTTTCAGTCTTTCTTGATTTTGATCATCAGTTGGCTTCCTTTCCTATCATGCTTCCTATTGTTTCTGACTTCCATTTATAAATGACTCTGGATTAAATGAGCAGACAATGATCCCCTCTGCAGCTGCTCCTGGGTCGACTGTGGCTAATATATTTGGTTTCCAGAGTGATGTTCTCTGCCAAGTCTCAGAACTCCCAGATCCTGGCAGCTCTAACAGACAATTAAAGTCATCCCTCACCGTGGGGCACTACTGTGTCCTGCCTCCATCTGCTGTGTTGTCTTTGTACGTGAAAATTCCTGCCCATCAACTGTGCCAACAGTGGGATCTTAGACAACTTCTGCCAGGATCTGCCTGGTACACAGACTATAGCAGATACAATTTATCTAAAACCATGGGCTTGCTTTTCCACCTGTGTGGTTTAAATGTGATGACATTTCCCCAAAAGACCAACCCAGAAACAGGCCCCTGTGTTCTGACCCCTCACTACCTGGTTGTCAGAAACTCAATCAGCTTGTTTGCTTTCTCATCTGCTTCAGCAGTTGTGTCTGCATCCTCTACCTCCTGGGTCATCTGAGGGAGGTTCCCACTGCTACCCCCCAGGCTGATGCTGGACGACGTGGAACTGGAGCTCAGCCCCGAGTCTGGCACTGGGGATGACTGGTCCTCTCTCAGGAAGTCAAAGCCACCTGGTAGGACAAGAAAGTCATGGTAGAATGTGCTAGGCAGGGTGCTTAATGAGGTTAGGAGGTGAGCAAACAGAAGTGTGTAGTTATTTAAATGTTTTGGAGAAAACATTTGATTTTGGCTGTGGTTATGATGAAATGAGGCTGATATTCTTTCCTTGCTTATGGAATAGTTGCACTGCCATGTAAACCAGAGTGTTTTTGGTAATAGGAGTGTGATTTGCTGTTTTCTACTCTGAAGTTTGAGTTGATGCTTTCCACAAAAGAAGTGGTATGTGTGCATATGTGTGGATGTGCATATGTGTACATGCATCTGTGTGCACCTGCACACACGTGTGGATAGGCCCACAAACATTTCCACTATACATCTGGATTCTACTGTACTGTTCATAAATTATTCCTGGGTATTAGACTACTTAAATCGGTAAAATGATACCATTTTTGAGGATACCAGCACCTAATAATTGATGAGCTCTACATAATATTTTGAGTAAATGAGTTTAAAACTGTGACTATTATGTGCATATTAATGTTTTAATAAATTATATCTCATCAAAGAAATATGGTATAAACAAATACTATGTTTTTTTCCCCACCTCATATTTAGTTATCATTTTATATCTCTGGGTATGTTGTTGGTTTGAAAATGTATATACATAACCATCTCTTTTATCCTACTTAATAATCATAAAAAGTCCATAGTTCTGGTGTATCTGATAGATACCCTGAAATAGGAGTGAGGAGCCCTAGGCCTGAATATCATCTTTGCCATTTACTATGCAATCTCAGGGAGTTTATTTTATTTTTTTTAATAAATTAATTTTTATTGGTGTTCGATTTACCAACATACAGAATAACACCCAGTGCTCATCCCGTCAAGTGTCCCCCTCAGTGCCCGTCACCCATTCACCCCCACCCCCCGCCCTCCTCCCCCTCCACCACCCCTAGTTCATTTCCCAGAGTTAGAAGTCTTTATGTTCTGTCTCCCTTTCTGATATTTCCCACACATTTCTTCTCCCTTCCCTTATATTCCCTTTCACTATTATTCATATTCCTCAGGAAGTTTATATAACTTCTCTGTACCTTGATTTCCTATTATAATAAGATTAAGACAATAATTTCTATCACACAAGTTTTTAGTTTGGATTTGAAAGCAACCATAGTTGAAGCCAGGTGTTCAATAACTATTAATAAATGTTTATGAAGAAGAGACATTTTCTAAACTCTTTGTATGCCTATTCCATGTATGCTACAGATTCAATCATTTTAGCTATCTGCTGTCTTGACTATGGTATGTTTTGTTTTGTAAATCCTTACTTTATGCCACATCGGTTAGTATAGTGAATACAAAACTGATGCACTCAGAGGTATACAATTTAATGGACATTATACTATTCTCAGTCTAAGACCATGTGCTTAATGGAATACATCCTTATACTGGGGAGTTAGGACAGCCAGAGGTCTTCAGATTCTTTTAATTAAACACCTATAGTAAAGAGAGTTTTGTGTCTCTGGCTATTAATGGGTTCTTTTCTTTTTTTTTTTTTTAAGATTTTATTTATTCATTCATGAGAGACACTGAGAGAGAGGCAGAGACACAGACAGAGGGAGAAGCAGGCTCCCTGTAGAAAGGATGCCCTGAGCTGGAGTCAGATGTTCAACCACTGTGCCACTCAGGTGCCCTGATGGGTTATTTTCAATAACGTGCAGCTTGTTTTAAAATAAAGGGCTTAAATGAAGGTCGGTAGTCCCTATGTCTCAGACTTAGTGACTTCCTATTTGTTTTCCAAAGAAATATCTTTTTTTTCCCCAAAGAAATATTTTCATGTCTGTCAAAGGACAAGAAAGCACTGAGTGTAAGGCACATCCTTTTCAAGATTATGAATAAAATACATGGTTACACAGGAAGTACCACACCATATCCAGTGCCAAAATTATGTACAAAATATTCAGGAATGCTAATTCATTATCATTTTAGGATATATTAAATGTTTCGATTCTAAATGAAAACCACTGGTCAACCCTTTGGGGAAAGTTTTCATAAATACCTGGACACAGCAGAATTTGACTCAAACATGATTCAGCTAATGCTTCCTGTTCCCATTTCTAAGAAAATTTTGGTTTCAAAATAGCAATGATTCTTAGTAGACTTCCAGTCATGGTGCCTTCCAGAAAAGTCAGTAACTTAATAAAGTGAAAACTCCCCCAGGGAAGCTGGAAAGTACACAAATGATACATCTGGCACCCTGGCAATGACCTGCTCTCAAGGTGATGGAAAAGGTCACTGTTTTGTGGATTCTCATCCTTCAGTGTTTGAGACTGATGCTCTTGGCCAAAGGACATCTTAATTTTCAGTGTATCAGTAGGAACATATTTAATGAGAGTAGCAACAATAATAATAAGGAAAAAGACATTTGAAAGTATTCAATAATGAAGAAGGATTTTGAGAACCAAGTTAACCATCAGGTGAGATGGTGCATATTTATCATGCTGCTACTTGCTTGCTTGGAAAGTTGGGAGGTGATCACACTAGGGGAGTTAATTTGGGCTCTGCCAACACCCCATCTTTGCATTTGTGATTCTGTCTCAGGCTCTCTGCCACTCCTTTTGTTACCTGTGTAGAGATACTCTGGTTGATAAGCTGGCTGAACTGTTAGAGTCTTAGCTTCGCCCATCTCTCGAGTCTGTAGGAGCACAGAAGCAATGGTATGAAAATTGCTGTTGCAAGAGAGGGCAATCAAGAGGTGAAGAAGCAATTTTTTGCTGTGTTCAAAGACTTCAGGCCGGTAGTGGTCCAAACCTGGAACAAAACAGTGAAATCGCTTAGTACAAACAAGTTTTAAGCTTGTTTAGATTCCAGGGATAGTAAAGATTCCAAGTCACTCAGGAGGAACATGTTAAAAGAATGTTCGGTTTTCTTTGTTATTGTTTGTGTTACCAACATAAAGAAGTTGGGCTTAGGAAAAATAGAATGCTTTATTCCTTAAATCAAATGTTCTCATTAAATGCTGATAGATGGACTTTTCTTGACCTCTCAGTAGCATTTGACATGGTTAGCATTCCTTCTTCCTGGGATGTTGTCTTCCCTGGATGTCTCTGCTAACTGAAGGATTCTAACTTTGTTCATCTTTCTGTAACTAAACTTCTGAGTCTTCCTGGCTTGTTCCTCCTTCCCTTTTTTTTTTTTTTCTCTACAATTTGGCTACTTTAAAATCTCAGTGATGGCTGGCTGTGCACTATATTGTTTCTCTCTGTGCACCAACAGTGTCTCATGGCTTGAAACTAATCACAGCTAGCCAAAGACCCTCAAAGAGCCCCAACCTGTTTTGGGTATGTTTATAACATTAGAGAGGTACCACTCTATAGTGCAGTAATAGGACAATTTTAAACAATGGCTGATCAACTAAAATTGCAGAGCAGATGTCACATAGAAGCAATGAAAAATGGAAGAGACTAAATATTTCAGAAATGAGGAAAGCAGGATGTAAATGTAAAAGAAAAGCTCTCTGGATTACATCTATAGGTTTTTGACCCTATTGGCTAGAATTCCTCTTAGAGCCAATCTTACCTAAGAAGACAGCATGAAGTAATAATGGTAGATGAAGAGCCCAATCTTCTCTCACACTGTGATCCACCACCATCTCAGTCATAAAAATAACAGCAATATTGCACCTAATCAATGACATGATGAAATTAATGTAACTTCTGAAAAGATGGAAATACATTGATAAGTTATTAAGTCATAGTTAAATACAACCTGTAAGCCCTGCTGAAGAATTATGTAAGACCCTTGTTCCAGGGAAATGGAGTTTAGTTTCTGACATAGCACAGAACTCCACAAAATGAAGAAATGTTGGCTGAGCTGATCATACCACAAGGAGTCTTACTAGTCATTTGGTAATAAGAGCTGAGGGAGGAAGAGTTACAGCCTAAAAATCATCACAGAATGCATATTCATATCCAGATTGCATCAAGGAAAAATTTTATGTAGCAAGGGCAGCTTTGCACATTGGTTAATATTCAACCAAACTCTACAAATATGCTGAGAGCTGCAATTCAAGTCGTGCATGGTCCCTCTGATTTAAAGTTCATTTCATTTGGTGGGACCTGGAATGATTTCTCTCTTCTCATAGGAGTAAAAGTCCAGCCAAAGTTTAGCAGTCATTTTCCTCTACCCACACATGCCACTTACCTGTGGAGGGGACCCCGGGGAGTGATGGTTTCTGGAAGATAGTCAACCAGAGGGGCCCAGCATCCTCCAGTACAAGGCATGGGAAGGGGCTGTGGCTGTTTGGTCTCTGTAATAGTCAACAGCCAGCCCGTATAGGGAGAAATTGGGTCATCTATAGGGTGAGAAAGACAAGCGTGTGTTATTTTTAGGAAGAGATGATAATTGTTTTCCCTATTTGGTGTTTGTAGAGTCTTACAAAATTTAGGCTAATAAAAATAACTTTCTAACCATCCCATTGGGTGAATATAAATTATAGGATCAATGGGTTAGAATTACTTGATAAGATTTTTTAGTTCCTTTATTTTTTGATAATCTAATATATAATTATGCATTATAGAGCAATGGAAAATACAGACGCACAAAGAAAACACTAAATCATGTAAATCCCCACCACTGTGAGAACTTGGTCTTACTCCAATCTTCCCCATTGCAATAAAATGTAATTCCATATTTCCATTTTGCTCAGGACAGGAGCCTTAGAGCTATCCCTGACTTCTCTGTCACATCTCACATCCAACTTATCATCATCATAATGATGAGGATAAAAGTAATAATAAAAATAATAACATAAAGAGTAAACACAGAGTACTTCCTTTATACCAGGTACTGCTCTATGTATTGCACATCATTTTTTTAAAGATTAATTTGAGGAGGGAGGGGCAAAGAGGGGGAGAGGGATAGAAGGAGGAGGGGAAGAGAGAGAAGAGAGAGAGAGACACTGAGTCTCAAGCAGACTCCCTGTTGAACTCAGAGCCTGACATGGAGCTTGATCTCAAGACCCTGAAATCACAACCTAAGTTGAAATCAAGTCAGATGCTCAACCATCTGAGCCACCCAGGTGCCCCTGCATTGCACATATTCATAGCCCAAAAATAAGTGCCTCTTATTGCTACTTTACAGAGGGGAAACAGAGGTTAGGTTACTCGGCAACTAACTGAATAGTGAGCGCTACCTTCAAAACAAATCCAGAATAAGACCACTTTTCACCATCTCCAGCACTGCCAATGTAAGCCACCACGTTCTTTCACGTGGTGACTGCAATGGCCTCCGTACTATGCCCTCCTTCCATCCTTGCCCTTCTACAGCCTGTTTTCCAGAGCAGCCACAGCAATCCTTTAAAAACAGAAGTTTATTTATGTCTTTTTCTCTGCTTGACACCCTCCACTGGCTCCCTTTTCTATTCAAAATGAAAGTCCAAACTCTACACCCTGCCGTTTAAGGCCTTTCAAGGTCTTCTTGCTGTTACTATCTTGGCTTGTCTCCTACAACCATCCTCCTTGCTTGTACCACCCTGGTCATTCTGGCTTTCTTGTAACAACAAGTGTGATCACTGGAGGTACTGTCCAGCTTCAAGGCCTCCATGTCTAGCATTCCCTTTGGCTGCAGTGCTCTTCCCTGGAGAGCCTGTGGCTCTTTCACCTCACACAGGTCTCTACTCAAGTATCAGTTTATCTCAGAGGATTTCCGGGACCACTCTATTTAAAGTCCTCCCCCTATGCCTCCCCCCCACCTCCCGCCCCGCTGTCATTTTCTAACCTCTCATCAGGGTTTAGTTTTCCTTCCTGGCACGGATCACCCATTCACTGACTCTGAGTGCCTCCTCCAACTCTCATATAAACTCCACCACCCCAGAAACTTTATTTTGTTCATGGTTTCCCTAGTACCTAGAACAGTATCTGACATGCAGCAGGGAATAAAATATTTTTTGAATGGATGACCTCCTCAACATATCTTTAAAGTAAACACAGCAGCGAATTTCAAAACAACGAACCTTAAGCCTGAAGGAGCTAGAAAAAGATCAAACCCCAATCCGGGAGAAGGAAGATGAAATCATAAAGTTAGAGAAGAAATAAAGAATATAGAAACTTAAAAAAAAAAAAAAGAACAGATCAATGAGACCAGGAGCTGGTTCTCAGAAAAGATGAAGAGAATTGATAAACCTTTAGCCAGACTCATCATGGAGCTCTTTCTTATAATGCTCTCAGTAGAGTCCAGGGGCATTCAAAGACAAGCAGTTCCACTGGGGGCCACATGAGTCCAGTAGATGGCTTCAGACAAGCTGGCTCAATACTGGGATAGCTTGTAGTGTATTAAGAAGAAGGATGTATTAGATCATCTTCAGGCAATTTCTACCATATGAAGTTTTTCTTGGCAGCACTTTTAAAAGGCAGTGAGAGGTAACAGATTGGAGGCTGCTGGTCCTATGTAGAATGCTGGTCTTCATGGTTAGCAGAGCCAGTGGAGGGGGTGTCTTCCCATTGTGAAGATTGGGGCTTGGAGCAAGGGCAGGCATGAGGACACAGCCCATTTCTAGGATGTCAGAGAAGGGAGTTTCCAGGGGTAAGGTCAGGATTTGCCTCAGAAAGTAATTGTTGGTTCTTACTAACACACCAAAAATTGAGCAGCTGGAACCCTATAAATTCTTGGCCATTGACCTTGGCCACAACAGGTTTAGCCCAGAAAAAAATGTAAAGTATATGTGACAGCTCTTCATCTCAGACCTCCCATTAAATTACCTAGGGAATGTTTCACTTTCAGCAAATTAATGTTTTGAGTAACCATCTAGGATAAGCTAATTGCAAAATTCACTTGTAAGTATTCAGCTGCTCTATAATAAACTTAAAAGGAGAGCAAAAGTGGGAAGAATATCAAAGAATTAAGAAAAAAATAAACTTGTGAGATTTCTGTTAGGAAAGGATATACCTTCGTTTCAGTGATGTTCTCAGATACACATCTGATCAGCAAAAATGTGCTGGATTTTTAGTGATTGGATTAGGAATAAGTTGGCCTGAAACTGCTTTTCTACAGTTAGGACTCAGCTGCTATCTAGCTCAACTAGTTTTATCCTTATTATAGGGTTAAATACACCAGCATACGGCCTTGGAGAATAATCCAGATATTATAAGTTCTAAAAAGGCTTACATAATATTGGTAGGAAGATCTTTATAGATCTAGGCCTAAATCCTGTTTGTTTGGTTGGTTGTTTTTTTTTTTTTTTTTTGTCCATTTTACTCAAGATAGTACAGGTGTTTTTTTTTTTTTTTAATAATAGAAAATACTCTCAAGAGGCTGTACACAGTCCTTTCATCTGGGTAAACACAGATTATGAAGCCCTGGGGCACTAGGTCTCTCCTGATTCCTTCTTATTCTTCCTATCTTTACTGATCTTCCCAGGAATTCAGGGAGAAAACAATTGCCCTTAACATACACCAGATGCTTGGCCATAAGGTTTTGGAATTGAGCCTACCAATCTTTGCTTTTCTTATGGCATACGCCATTTCCCCCACTGTGTAGATAGAACCAAAAATACATCAGGGAGGACCCAGTTACCAAAGTCATAAGGGGATTTGTGCCCTATTAAATGTGCTACTTCCTCCAGACAACCAGAGTTAAATTCCCTTACTTAAACACCTGAAAAATGATCTTAGTATATATTCTCTGGGTTTTTCAGTGATGAGAATATGTTTTGAGTAACTCAATTGCATTTTCTCTTATAATGAATAATTTAAAATATAAGCTCTCAGTTTCCAAAAGACATGCTATGAACTCAAATTTCTCTGGTCAACAACTGTATCCTGTAAAGGATATTACTGACACACGACTCAACTGAAAGCAAATTCTTTTTTTTAATTTAAATTCAATTAGCCAACATATAGTGCATCATTAGTTTCAGATGTAGTGTTCAGTAATTCATCAGTTGTGTATGACACCCAGTGCTCAGCACATCATGTGGCCTCCTTAATGTGAATTCGAATCCTGTACCAAACTTTTGCCATTAAAATGCTGTTTATGCTGGCACAATAAATTTATCACACAACATTTCTAGGTGAAATAGAGGCCATGATGATAACATTAGACTTCTTTTTATGACTTTCATAACTATTCACTATAGGTTTTTTCCTCTTCACAAATATTTCTATTACTTTTTCTTTTTGTCCCTTTAAGCCAGTGATATGAGTTTGTATAATGACATAATTATCTTGTTTTATTATAATTATCCTCTGAAATTCACTATTTATGTATTTTCAAAATGATTAAAATTACTTTATTATACCATTTCTATCAAAGTCTATGTCCTGGACCTAGAGCAAAGAGACACACTTTAAAAGAACCAACTGGCAAAGACAGCAATATTCTTGATGCAAAATCCACAGTCATAGAGTATTATGTTTTGTTATTATGTTTGTCACATTCTAGGGTGGAGGGAGGGTCAGGATTTGATGGCTTCACCTTTTCATGATGCTTTTTTCCCCCCTTCATTCTGAGTTACTAACTATTGCATTGTAACCAGGCTTTTCTTGAACCACAACTCTCAATTTCTCAATGACTACTCTCCTCATCTGTAAAATCTAGTCCCATCTAAAACTGATGGTCAGTACCCCTGAGATTTCAGACATTCAGTGTTTGGATGGTATGGTCCTCTGATGGGGCAAAGAAAGAAAAGAAAATACAGCTTTATTATCCCTCAGACGTATGGTCCTAGTAAGAAGCTATTTAAGGACATAGTTGAAACTCAACCTAAGTTAAAGTATGGCAATTATTTGTGGATTTTAGACATCCTTCCAATTGGTATTTTCAATGCTGAAGAAGGGCCATTAAGAAGCAGAGTCAGGGCAGCTGAAATATGGTGTGATTACAACTATGTAGGTCTTACCCACTTTGTACATTTTCCATAAAACAGAACAAATCAGAACAACAGCTATAGCTACAAAGGTCCTATGCATTGACAAATGAACCTAACTCATGAAATACCATCATATTTACAATTTCCACAAAAAAAAGACAGATAAATAGTTTATCTGATTTCCTCAGCATACTGAAATGTCACAGGGAGTGTTCTTTGGTTCCAGAATTTCTGCAACTTGTGACCAAGTGATGTCCTTTACCTGCCCAGTATCCACAGAAGCTGTTCAGGCTTACACAAAATGAATGAATGCATTGACCTCTTTGGTGTTCCCACCTTCCCAGGGTATGAAGAAATTCCTGTGACAATTCTATCTCCTAGTTCAGTGAGGTTTTCACTCGGCTACTAGGACTATGCCATTGAAAGATTCAATGTGAAAACAGATCCTACCCTGGGCAAGCTGACTCACAGGGCTTAAAGGTCAAATCCATTCCTAAGATAGTTTGAAAAAATGAACAGCAACATTTGTTCTCTAACAGGGCAATTCTTTTTTTTATTTTTTATTTTTTTTAATTTTTATTTATGATAGTCACAGAGAGAGAGAGAGAGGCAGAGACACAGGCAGAGGGAGAAGCAGGCTCCATGCACCGGGAGCCCGATGTGGGTGGGATTCGATCCCGGGTCTCCAGGATCGCGCCCTGGGCCAAAGGCAGGCGCCAAACCGCTGCGCCACCCAGGGATCCCTCTAACAGGGCAATTCTTTTTTTTTTTTTTTTTTTTTTAAACAGGGCAATTCTTAATAGTGTTTTCCCACCTGTATCACCAAGGAAAAATGCCAAGAATATAAACATACAGATTTGGGCAGTAGTTTGAAGTCTTCTAATTTTTATTTGTCACCATGTGGCTTTTTATTTTTAAGGTGCTAACTATGCTCACCTGCATAGTTGGATTACATGGTTACTTAATATCTTTAGGTCTTTTCTGAGTAATTAGAACAGGAATAATCAAAATGCTCATTTTTCCACTCCCCAACCACCTGTATTCCATCTGAACAACCTGCTGGTACTTACTTTTATCTTCATCATATGATCCTCCAGAGCTATTGCTGTATCTTGACTCTAGGCGGGTGTGGGCTCTGATGACGTTACTAAACCTTCAAATACAAGAACAACCATTGGAAATACTGATGTGTGTATGTGTGCTGTTGCTCATGAACACATACCACTATTTAGTGGCTGAGTTTCTGGCAATATGTTCCAATGATGCTTTTCTTAAAGGAATACTGTAAGAATTGTACCTGAAGCATTTTGTTCTCCTTGAGAGGGCCAGTGCTCACCCTTGCTCAGAAGCACAAGTTCAAGCCTTGCCAAGATAACTATTTTAAGGGTAGTACTTGAATGGAGCCAGAAAATAACATTTGTTTGGAAAGAAAATGGGAATGACACTGAATAATTTGAGTCCTTTATTCACTGAACAATTTGAATCCCTGATTCACATGGTAGCCTGGCAATAGGTCAATAAATAGTTGCTGATTGATTAAGTCAAATTAAATACAATTGGAGATATACAAAAATGATTTCATAACAAATCTTGGACTTTATCAGCTTTACAGTTTCCCTTAAAAATGATCTGAAGATTTTCCCAAACTGAAACATCCAACTATAAGATACTAGTTATTATATTTCTACCTTGAATTTCTAGGTTGTCTTGCCTTCCCTCTTCAGGGCACCAAAGGCTTTCAAATCAATAGTATTTTTGTCATCTAAAGGCCTACAATGTAGGGCAAGGATGTGGTTGAGGGGAAGTGATGATAAAACGTTGTCTATGTTTATTTTATATAAAATGATACAAACAGGTTTCATCATATATATATATAGAATATATATATATATTCTACAATTAAGAATTGTAGAATGGATGACACTCCTTCTCTTTTCCCTTGAGATACATCTAAAGCAGTGTGAGGCAGAGGTTATGAAGCCAAGATGAATGAGAACAGCAAGCCCCTTCCATTATATATATGTAGTCAAAGCAAAGAATTAAGGCTCTATAGAAAAATCTGGGAAATTCAAACCATAGCAGGTATGCTCCCCTTCATTACTGACAAGTGTTCTGCCTTAATTGACAACAGATCAACACTTATTTCCCTCTAGAACACTGGGGAATGCAGGGCTATAACTGTCCTCTAGTATGGAGAAAAATATATGCTTTAGGAAAAAGCACTGGATGTGTCATTAAGATTCCTACCTTGTATAACCTCAGAATATTGAGGTTCATCACTGAGTCATCAGTGACTTAGATTTGATGAACATGGAAATGTAAGACTATAATAACTTTAGTTTTATTCACCTCTTAGATGTTTATAGCAACTTTTTCTTTCCCGTGACAGAGACTATTTTCCCTAATAACTCTGTATTTCAAGCTTTATTGTCATATCTTTTGGGCTATTGCTTTGTGAATCCATAAAACAGAACAGCTAGGACATCTGCTCAGTCTGTCTATATCAGACTGAACTTATGAAATTAGGAAAGTGACAAACTTATCACTTTTTAAAAAGATTTTATTTATTTATGAGAGACACACAGAGAGAGGGGCAGAGACATACGCAGAGGGAGAAGCAGGTTCCCCACAAGAAGCCTGATGTGGGACTCGATCCCAAGACTCCAGGATCACACCCTAAGCCGAAGGTGGACACTCAACGGCTGAACCACCCAGGCATTCCAACTTAACCACTTTTTGAAGATGTCCTTTAATCATACTTGTGCTGATTAAATGCCAAGTAAAAAACAATGTATGCTTGAGACCAGACCTCATTTAGCAAGGAACAAAATCAGGGAAATGAAAGAATTCCACATCTGGAGATTACTATGGGACAGAGGGCTCATGAACCATATAGTCTATGCTGGCCTTATAATCACGTTCTGGAAGGACCAGGCAGGAAAGAATTGTAGAATGGATGACAATCATTCCCTTTTCCTTTGAGATGCATCTAAAGGGGTGTGAGGCAGAGGTTATGAAGCCAAGATGAACAAGAGCAGCATGCCCCTTCCAGACTATTCTCTTTACTCTGGGAAGATCAAAACTATAATGTAATAAAGTGTAAGCTTGGGTGGGGTTGAGGGAGTAAAAACTTCCTCTTAAGAGTAAAATCTGATATTTTGCTTTGCTTTCCTGACTTGAAGAAAATAATTTTTGGTTTAGGGTTCAGAGGAATTTGAAGGACAAAATGTTTCTCTAAATTTTCTCTTGCTGATTTAGCTCAAATTAATACTTAGGCAACTTTTTGTAGATTATTAATCTCTACCCCTGTGTCAACAGAGATTACCAGAAATTTATACATGTGAAGCTTATTGCTTTGCTCCCTAGGAAAAATCCTTTCATGGAACTATAAATTTATCAAATAAGCACTTATTTTTTTTTTTTTTAACAAATAAGCACTTATTAAGGGTTGATGTACTGAAAATACTTACGGAGTTTGGGTCTGCATATTTTACCAACTGCTATAAACAGCTATTTTAATAAAAAATGTGTTCACTTGTTGTTTAATAAAAAATCCTACACAATAAATCCTTCTTTGAATTTAGGGTAGTTTCCATTAGTAGCTTCCAATGAATCATTTTCATTTATTTTTACATATTGAAAGTTATGAAATTCACTGTATTCTTCTTTGTTACTTTGGTTATTGAAGAACTCAAGGTTAGGTTAATATTAACTTTTACTAGTTTTCCTTAATGAGAACTTGAAGACTTTTGACACAACTATCTTCCTCTCCCCTTAGCTTGGCTCTTATTCTTTTATCATTGTTTTAATGGTACCAGACCTATCCAAACATTTTGTTAGTAGATATGATAGTATTAAATAGTGAAATACATCAAAGGACCATTAACCTAACCAAAAAACATGGCATCAGGACTGCTTTTTTGCACAATTATATGGCGCCCTCTGGAGTCCAATAATGTATTTTGGTGACCAGTACCCCCAGGAGTTGGGTAACACAGAAGCCTGGTCAGTATTTCTAACCAATTGTATCTGTAGACTCTTTGCCTACAAGGACTGTAAAGAACAGAGTAAGTAACTGTCTTCTGTAATGGGGTTAGCAAGAGGGGCAAGATGGTGTTTGGACAGCTTGTCTCTGGGGCTGTGAAATTTCTCCCATTTTCATTCACATACTGAATAAACATCAAAGAATTCCGACTATGTGCAGCATAGTAGGCTAATCATTAAGGATAGCAATATGTATACAAGATGTATGGTCTCTATTTTCCAAGAATGAAAATCTAGTGGTTGAGAAAAGCATGTGTACAAGTACCTATAAATCAACCTGACAGGGTCTACAAGGAAGGAACAGTAATGAGTAGTTCAAGAGACATATGGTATTTTACACTGAAGGAGCAGTCTACTTTCATAGAAAAGAGAGAATGTATTAGAGAAATAGTGCAGGTGGGGTATAGGATCAATAGAATAATGGTATCCTTTGGGATAAAATATTCATATATGTATGACATATGTATATAAATATGAACAATAAAGCTATAGGTAAATAGATATAGCCATTATGAAAGAACCAGATATATATAGCATATATATAAAAAAAGTGTGGGTACATACTGGCTTTCCAATGGCCAGCACTGACAGAGGAGGAAAGCAAGAGTTAAACAAGAAAGCCTCTATTGGAGGTGCTCTCTGGTCTTGATATTACAGAAATGACTGACTTAATTTCAAGAGCCACCACTAAAAACTTGGGAAGGACACTCAGGACTCTTGTCCCAAAGGGGCCTTTGTAGTAAGATGTTAATATATAGACATGTATCACCTTTCTACCCTAAATAAAATTAAGATGGAAAATTCAGTCTAGACAATAAATGATAAAGAATGTTACACACCAACTAGAAAGAAGAAATATCTTTAGAGAAATATAATGTGATTATTCACCATGAGGAAGTTTTCCAAAGAAGGTACTAACAAATACAGATTAAAAACATGTTAATATTCTTGTATTGTCACTGACATATGGAGTATGAATACCTTTACTCATTTCAGAGTAAATTTATATTCTAATAAAGGCCTTCAGAGAGAAAGGCCTTTATTAGACATCTGTAAAGGACGAGGTCTATGATCATGATCCACTGGGTTTGGGCTTTTAGCCTGAAGGAAGGCTCATGTGGATGAGCATCTGCCTAAAGGCAGTACAGCAACCCAGGAATGAATGTACTGAGGAATCTGAGAAGGGCCTGCATTGCAAATGAGCCTTCAGAACTCCACAGGCAGTCCCTCTTATGTCAGATACCTTCCACCTGCAGCCCCCCTGCCATATTACCATGCACAGGATGAAAGCCTGAGGATGGTCATGAAACATCTAGAAACATTTTCATTATGTGATCTATTGCATTTTCTCCATTATGAATTTGTGAGTATATCATCCTTGCCACTAGTTTCTTAAGTGAAAGGGCTCCTCAGGAGTTTTCACTAGAAAATGCTCAGCCTAAGCAGTTTCAACACTAGGAGAATCATTCTAATTTTTATTTCATTTTTTAAAAGATGTTATTGATTGATTGTGCAAGTCGGGGGAGGGGGCAGAGGGAGAGGGAGAGCATCCTTAAGCAGACCCCCCTCTGAGCATGAAGTCGGAAGCAGGGCTCCATCTCATGATCCTGAGATCAAGACCTGAGCCGAAATCAAGAGTCAGATGCTTAACTACTGAGCCACCCAGGTGCCCCATCTACTTTTTGTTTTTTAATTTGAGTCCTATTTCTTTCTTTTTGTTTGTTTCTCTGCTCTTCACAATTAACTACAGGAAACAGCGATGCAGATTTTTACTTATGAGTAGCTTCTGGGCAATGTAAAGGGGCAAGAGAAATACCATTAAAGAGCTAATGTGAAGGGGATAGAGGCTTCTTTTAGCAGAAAAAGGCAGTGCTGTTAGTTAACCAAAATTGACAATGTAAAGATTAAATAAAAATTATGACATTTCATTTAACTCACCCCCAGACAACTGCCCAATCTCTAAGCAATCATTCTGCAATCAGATTTGAAAATTTCACATGGAAATTCCCTCTAATTCCAGATGGTCTGTGCCCTCTAACAGAACAACCAGTGGTTTTTAGTAAGCCCTGCATAAGTAAGTGGGATCCAGCCACCAGAATGACATCCCTCTTAATCTTTCTCTCCTCTGGCTTTTCTCAGGGAGAAATCATTATCTTTAGGGATATACAGAGCAGAATCAGAGTCACTTTGTGTTTCTAAAAGCAAAGAAGAATTTAATTGTATATGTATAATTTATGAAACACCACAAATTCTTACTGATGCCTTTGTATATTGCTAAAAGTTATACTGGATATTAAGCCAAATTTGTGTACCAACCTCTCATCAGATTCTTTCAGTATCTTGCTCTCCTCGGCATCTGGGAAACTGTCCTGGCCAGCAACCACTGTGTTGCTGCTGGAAGTGGTTCCTATAGGTAGGATTAGAAAAAAATGTAGGGGTAAGGGTTTAAACCCAGGTCCCCAGTAATTACAGCGAAGGATTTCTCATAAAATCTCATGTTTGAAAGATTCCTTACATCTTCTATACAATCTCAAACATTCTAAACAAACTTCTACGCCCACAGCACTGAAATGAGAGAATCCCAGACATGTGTTATGCTCAAACCAAATTCCTTAACTCTCTTATAAAGTGAGGCTACAACATTCTTGAATCCCCTTCTTCCTGACCACTTAGGTAATGAGCTTATTTATAGTGGCTGACCCTGCCACTTACTGCTTTAGTATTTCTGGGTCCAGGAGTTATTAAACTAATGTTAGTGAAGCAAGTCCAAGTACCTAGAGTTTCTGATCCCTGGGCCACTGTTACTCTGTGAGAACATGTTCTGGCAGCAGGCGCAGGGCAAACAAAGGGCATAAGAGACCAGGAGACGAGGGAGATTTGAAGGTGGTTACAATATTAGGAAAATCAAAAGGAAGGAACTTAAGGAGGATGCTATATATTTCATAAAATGATGCCGAGAAGCCAATTTATTGCAAGTGATAATACCATTGAGCATTTTAGTTAACCCTGGGAGACTATTAGCCAAGAAAATTCCATAGATACGAGAAGGAGGGTCTAGAAATGAGATTCCTAAGTGATTGCTATGTCCTGCCAGGGATCAGTCTAAAGTATAAAGCTCCATGGCTTACCAGTACCAGGTCACTGACTGATGGTCACCCTTCTAAAATGATTTTATTAAACAACAATGCCCTTGAGGAATCTCAGCTATTTTGAATCTATCTTTTTTTTTAAGATTTTATTTTATTTATTTAATTGAGAGAGAGAGAAAGAGGGAGCATGAGAGCAGGCATGAGCAGGAGGAGGGGCAGAGGGAGAAGGAGAAGCAGACTCCCCACTGAACAGGGAGCCTGATAGAGGACTTGATCCTGGGACCCTGATATCACGACCTGAACTGAAGGCAGACACTTCTGCCTGAACCACCTAGGCGCCCCTAAAGCCATCTCTTAAATGAAAGTTTATACAGGAAGAAGAAAAAGTAACACACACATACACACTTATCCCTTCAGTGCTCTCCATTAAGAAAAATCCAGAGATCCAAGACAAGATGCCCACCCAGCTGCCCTTCCCCTACCAGAGGCTGCTGCAGAGGCCTTGCTGCTGGCTGCAAAGCGGTAGAAGGGCGGGTTGTCACAGTGCTGGACAATGGGGTTTACTGGCTCCGTCTGCTGCAGCTCAAAGAGAAGCTCTTCCATGGTCTGAATGGTGTTGTTACGGCACAAATATATCGCCACCTTTTTAATCTGAGAAGAAACACAGAACACACGGGATGTCTTCTAGAGCCTCGCCCACAAGAATGCTAGACTGTAACCTATTCCTTTCAATGAATGTGTCATCCTCAGAGCTGCCATCCTGGTGGCTCAGCTTTGCAGTTTCCTAGTGTGAACCAAAGTGTTTGGATTAAAATTTGCCTCTCTTCACATGCATGTCTGATAGGGCCACTTGGTGAAGGCCTGAACTTCTCTAGTGGCCAGGTTTACAAAACTTATGGGGCACATGAATTTTCTCTAAACTGCAAACTTGCCACCTAAGGCCTTATCTAGAAAGAATTTTATTTGTACAAACCGTGGGAAAAACTGCTAGTTATTTTTGTTTAAATAAGGAATCCAGTCCCCTGCTCTTCTCTACTCCCCTAGAAAAAAAAATTTAGCTATTTGTATGGTTTTAAATTTTAAAAACAACTCTGAATTAAAGCTCTGAATTACTGTGGCCCTCACAGTCAAACCTAAGGCAGGGAATCTGCAGTAGGGCTTAGGTGGTTCAAAGAGGCAGGAAGGCAGAAAGTCTCTTGGAAGATCAAACAGCACACAAATGCCAATTGAGTTAGGGTTTAAAAAAATGCTGTTGTCTCATTGATCATATCGCCTTTATTTTATTTTAAAGATTTCATTTATTTATTCATGAGAGACATGCAGAGAGAAGCAGAGACATAGGCAGAGGGAGAAGTAGGTTCCTTGAGGGGAGCCTAATGTGGGACTTGATCCCAGGACCCCAGGATCAAAACCTGAGCAGAAGGCAGACGCTCAAACACTGAGCCAGCCAGGTGCCTTGATCATATTAGCTTTAAAGACAAACACTAAATATCATATATCTCAGGAAGATTTCTCTCTTATTTCTCTCCTACCACTTACATGTGAAGAGAAACACTTGGATACTCTCCATTTTTATTTTGTTTTAAGAGCATCAAGATGTAACCATGAAACATTCTTATGAGCCATAATACAATGTTTTGCTGAGTTTCCCTTACATATTGGGTCTACTGTTTACAGAAGGCAGCTTTTAGTAACTGTTAGGAAAATATCTACCCCTTAATTCATAATAAGTTTCTGCATCCAAAGGCTTAGAAAGATGATGACAGAGGTGTCACAGGACACTGCAGCCTGCTTCCCAGAGGGCAGAAGGAAACTTTTTATGTAATATCTAGGTAAGCTCACAGGAGATTAGGGTGATGGACAAAATTTGACATCTCCATTTTCCTCAGTGCCAAGAGCATATTGTGACTTGTTGCAAATACAACTGACAGGAGCACCGACTCCTGAAGTCTGAGGCACACTTACGTAGGGCAAGAGGAGCGTGTCACTGCTAACTCCACACAGGCTGATCAGGAACTGCAAGGTGATCCTCAGGTTGTTGCTCCATTTCTCGTTGTTGGCTAACGCATTCCAAGCATTTTCCATTTCGGGGCCAGGAACTTCATCTCCGTACTAGAACAAATGAGATAAACATTGGCCCAGGAAGCATGTGGGGAAAATGTCAGGATGCAAAATGTTTGATTAAAACTTGTTATAAGGGTCATTGCTATCTCAAAATCCTAAGAAGGAGTAGACTTGGCCAATCCTCAGAAAGAGGCCAATTTTCAGTGATTTATAATGCACCAATCAGTAACGTATGTGCTTATTCTCATGATTTTTAATATGTTAGGGTTCTCATTTTTCTTTTCATTATTACCTTTAAAAATCATGGTAAAGTACACATAACATAAAGTTTGCCATTTTAAGCATACAGTTCAGTGGTATTAAGTGAATTCACATTGTGGTGTAACCATCACCATGGCCCATGCCCTTGTCATGCGATTTTTTAATGGTCAGTGCTATTCATCCTGAGTTGGCAGCACAGGGTTTGGTTAACCCAGAGGTTTTCCTGGCTGACAGATCCATGTCAGTGAGGCACGTATTCTCTGAGCTTACCTTGGCTGTCATGTACATGAGGTTGTTCAGGACCAGTGACGTAGCTTCAGGGGAGCCCCAGCCACTCCCTCGCAGCCCATGTGAAGTGGTGGCTTCTCCTTCCCGATCCTTGACGTCATCCTCTGGGCTGCTGGGGCTTGACCCTGGGAGGAGGAGCCTGCTGTCCACCAGCTCAATGTTGTGCAGCCAGGGCAGCAGATAGGTGAGCATGATCTGACGCCCATTCGGATGTGTGGTGGGGAATCGCTGGCTGACTTCTAAAGCGAATGGCAGTAACACAGAGCCCTATGTTACCTCATCAAGATAAACTAAGATATTAACATAGATCAAACAGTGACATCAGTTTATAAAGCATTTTCATATACAGCAGCTCCTCAAGGCCTCAAAATCTTAAAACTGAGGCTTGTCCTCAAGCATCTTGCATCTGGCACCCTGGGGAGGGACGTCAGAGGGCACAGTGGGGAAAGCATGGGGCTTGGTAAAAGTGGGGTGAGGTTCAAGGCTATGGGAGAGGTGCAGCACAGGGCCCAGAACAAGGGGCTGGGAATCAGAAGGATATGGGATTAGATCCCAGGTCCTCCACATACCAGCTGCATGAAATCTGTGTTAGTTACCTAACCTCTTTATTCCTCAGTTTTCTCATCTGTGGAGTGGGACTAGTTGGGCTTCTGTGAGGATTAAGAGATAGAATCACAAGGTATATTATTATTATTATTATTAAAGATTTTATTTATTTATTCATGAGAGACACCCAGAGAGAGGCAGAGGGAGAAGCAGGCTCCCTGAGAGGAGCCTGATATGGGACTCAATCCCAAGACCCTGGGATCACGACCTGACCCAAAGGCAGACGCTCAACCACTGAGCCACCCAGGCATCCTTTATATGGTATATTATATTGTCAGCACAGTGCTGGTTATCCAGTAGGCTCTTCATAAACAGCGGTTAGGACTATTGTAACAATGACTATTATCTTTCTGCTATACCAATGTTTTAGCAGATGTCCTCCACAAACTCTTAGATGTAAAACAGAAGTGAAACTCCAGGAAGAACAGACCAGTGTGTGGACTCATGTTCATGGTATCTACTTGAAAACCGTCAACTAGGGATCCCTGGGTGGCGCAGTGGTTTGGTGCCTGCCTTTGGCCCAGGGCGCGATCCTGGAGACCCGGGATCGAATCCCACGTCGGGCTCCCGGTGCATGGAGCCTGCTTCTCCCTCTGCCTGTGTCTCTGCCTCTCTCTCTCTCTCACTGTGTGCCTATCATAAATAAATAAAAATTAAAAAAAAAAAAGAAAACCGTCAACTATGTGGAGGTGCATGCTCAATGCTGCACTTCATTTTATGAAATAAATGAATTAAAAGGGTAAAACGGGACATTCAGTCACCATTATTCTCTCTGATAGCATTTCTGCATTGTTTCACTGCCAGCAGCATTTAATTTTATGATCTGAATAAGCTTTCTATAGAAATAAAAGCACAGCATTACCTATATGTTCCAAGCTGCTTGTAATCTTTTATTTCTAACATCTAGAGAAGAAACGGTTTTATCCTAAGGGAAATTTGAAAGCATGGTCTGATGCACTTGTTATTATCCAGTGTGGCATGTAATCTCGTTTGGAGGGCTCTTGGCTGCTAAACAATAGAACAACACAGATGCCAGGAATTACACCAAGATAATCCACTAGATCCCTGAAACAGTAGCCTTAATTGACTTGGCCCTTTTCCTAAAATTACAATTTTTTTTAAGACTATGAATATATTTAATGCTGTGCTACAATAATCAGTGTTAAGCTGTGATGTTCCCCATAGCTCAAAATCTCAAAACTCACTTAATTTCTATACTTGATGGATGTGATAACTGCTATCATGAACTTTCCTGACACATAATCAGATCATAGGACATTTATGTATTTGACATACGGGGACTTTTCTGGGTGCAAGCCATTGTGCCAGGCACTATGGAGCCAGTAAGGACTCAAGGTTCAGTTCGCATCCCTGAGAAGGAAGCTCTGAGCAAGTTATGTTGACAGGTAAGCCTGGGGCAAGGTAGAAAGTGACAAAGGAGACAGAAAGGAACAAACAGTGATGTAGAAGTTCGGTGGAAGAAAAGGACTTCTGGTCATAGGGATTCAGGGCACTTTATGGCAGAAGAACTATCTTAAGTCTGCTAGCAAGGATCGGGAATTTGGAGGGGAATAAATCCTTCCAATCAGAGGGGCAACCACTATTAAAAATACATCTTTTAGCAGTGGCATAAAAACCTGTAGTCCCTTTTTGTTCTTTTTTGTTGTTAATTTTTTTAAAAGATTTTATTCATTCACTCATGAGAGACACACAGAGAGAGAGAGAGAGAGAGGCGGAGACACAGGCAGAGGGAGAAGCAGGCTCCATGCAGGGAGCCTGATGTGGGCCTCAATTCAGGGACTCCAGGATCATGCCCTGGGCTGAAGGCAGACGCTCAAATGCTGAGCCACCCAGGTGTCCCTGTAGTGCTTTTCTGAAGCAATGATTACTTTCTAACATATCATATGATTTGCTTATTTATGATGTTTATTACACCTTGACTGTCAGATCTAAGGTCCAGCTGTGTGAGAGTGGGTGGGGGGGATATCTGTCTGAAGCATCCCAGGCACCTAGATCAGGGCCAGGATTGTAGAAGTCTTTCTGAAGGGAAATGAGGAAAAAAATGCCACAGGCAGGCAAACAACCCCCATGCACTCCTCCAGAAACAAATTAAAAAAAAAAAAAGAGAGAGAGAGAGAGAGAGAAGATGTCAGTGGGCTGCTCTGTCCATTTTCTGGCTCCTCTGGGAGGGGCCTGTGCAACTCACCTGGCTATTTACAAGGAATTAACTCATCTGAAGTTACAGGCAATAAAAAAAAAAAATCTCATCACAGGGTTTTTAGTGGGAAAACCAGTGAAAACAAGAGCTAGAAAATCTCTATAACACCTACACTCAATATCCCAAGCTGAGCTCATGATCTCTGCTTTGTCCTTAGCCTCCCCTTCTCACCGGATTGGCTCTTGAGGTGGGGTTATCACCTAATACCTCCCAGATATCATACCAGGGACTCCCTTCTCTATACCCTGCATGGTAGCCCTTGACTCTGGTCTCCTCTTTTTACTCCTACAAGCCTCATAATTTCCTCCGTGGAGCACTGTCATTGTTTCTCAACTGATCTCTCTTTTTAAATTTTTTTTATTTTTTTAAAGATTTTATTCATTTATTTGGCAGAGAGAGAGAGAGAGAGAGAGAGAGAGAGAGAGCACAAGCAGGGGGAGTGGTAGGCAGAGGGAGAAGGAGATGCAGGCTCCTCACTGAGCAGGGAGCCTGATGCGGGGCTTGATCCCAGGACCTTGGGATCATGACCTGAGCCAAAGGCAGATGCTTAACCAACTGAGCCAGCCAAGCATCTCTGATCTTCCCTCTTTAGACTGGATGTTCTTTTATCCATCCTTCACATACAGTCAGTCTTTCTAAAATGCATTCCAATCTTGTCCCCCCTCTCTTGTTTGAAACTATTCAGTGGCTTTCAGAACCCAGTTTGTTGGACACCCTCCCTGTTCCCGGAGCTCTGGAGATTTCAAGAAGCACCTAGAGATCACCGTCCTACAAACTACTTAGGGCACAATGCTAAGCCTTCCAAGATTTGACTTCCATTTGTCTGCCCATGACCGACCATCTCTAACTTTCCCTTATCCCTGCATGTTGTAGTAGTCAAACTGACCAGTACATAATCTCTCAAATGCAGCATGTTATTTTATACCTCTAAGTCAACCCACAAGCTATTTCCTTGGTCTGTAATACCTATCTACTTGCCTACTGTAATGTAAATTACTTGTCTGCTTTGCAAATTTCTACTCCTCTTTCCAACTGCAGCTCAGGCACTAACTTTTCTGGAAAGTCTTGCCTGATATTCCTGGCCCACTAATTGATTATCCCCTCATCTTCTATCCCATACACAGAATATGCTTTTTATTGCATTTGTTGCTCTGTATCATAACCATATGGTTGCACATCTTTTTTTTATCACTAGATTATGACCCATTGATGGGAGACAGATGTTTTATTCATGTTTGTGCTCCCAGGACCCAGTGACTGGCATATAGGTGGCATTCAAATCTTAGTTGATGTGAATAAAAATACATTTTAGTTTTCCAAGAAGAGAACTAGTTTATCAAGAAGGCTTTTCTGGAGTTCCTCCACTGTTTCAGGCATGAGGCAATGATGTGACTAATTCTTTTCCAGATAGATGGAGAGGTGTTCATAGTAGAAACAGATTTTCAATTAGGTCTTTTTTTTTTTAAGATTAAGGTCTTTTTTTTTTTTTTAAAGATTTTATTACTTATTCATGAAAGACACACACACACACACAGAGAGAAAGAGAGAGAGAGAGAGAGAGAGAGAGAGAGAGGCAAAGACACAGGCAGAGGGAGAAGCGGGCTCCATGCAGGGAGTCTGATGTGGGACTCGATCCCGGGTATCCAGGATCACACCCTGGGCTGACGGTGGCGCTAAACCACTGAGCCACCCGGGCTGCCCTTTTTTTTTTTTTTTTTTTTTTTAAAGATTTATCTTAATGGTGGAAGGCACAGAGGGAGAGGGAGAAAGAGAGAATCTGAAGCAGACTCTCCACTGAGTGCAGAGCCCAATGTGGGGCTTGATCTCATGACCCTAGGATCATGACCTGAACTGAAATCAAGAGCCAGATGCTTAACTGACTGAACCACCCTGGTGCCCCAGATTTTCAGTTAGGTGTTAAGAAAGACTGGAGTTAGGAAGGAGAGAAGGGCCATTTCTGGCAAAGGGAAGGGCATGCACAGAAGCAAGGACTGACAAAAGGGCCTAGCTTATAAAAGATCAATTGAGGGATCCCTGGGTGGCGCAGCGGTTTAGCGCCTGCCTTTGGCCCAGGGCGCAATCCTGGAGACCTGGGATCGAATCCTACATCGGGCTCCCGGTGCATGGAGCCTGCTTCTCCCTCTACCTATGTCTCTGCCTCTCTCTCTCTCTGTGTGACTATCATAAATACAAAAAAATTAAAAAAAAAGATCAATTGAGGTGAAAGTAGAGGTTCTTTGATGAAATAGCAGAAAGCAAGTTTGGAAGAGGAGTTTTTTGTTTTTGTGTATGTTTTTGTTTCCTTGTTTGTTTGTTTTTAAATTGGTGAAGGAGTTCCTATTATTTAATGTCACTAAGCCTTCGTATCTCATCTGTAAAATAAGAAGGATGATTATAGTCATGATGGTCGTGGTGGTGGTGGTAATTCCATGCCAGAACTAAGGTAATTGCTTGCGTTTATCAGCTTATTTTAATCCTTGCACCCTCTGAGGTAGTTACTACTACAGATTAAGAAATGGAATATAAGAGGTTCCATGACTTGTCCAAGGTCAAACAGCCAGCCAATAGCTGGGCCAGGGATGAATCCAGGATGTTAAGCCCAGAACCTCATTTCTATCTACTACCAGATGGGGTTGTAGATATCAAATGATAAATGAAGTATACATAAAATGCCTAGTATATACCACTCAATGGATGGAAGCTGTTATTATCAGCAGTTATTTTTAGGACAGCTGGGCAGAGAAGTTTGAGCAGAGAAGTGCTGTGCATATTTGGTTTTGTGTAGTGGGTGGATTGCAGTATTGAGGACTGCAGGCAGAGGATGTTGGGACAAGGGTGTGTGAGGTGACTTATGAAGATCTGGACTAAGGCCCTGGTAACATAGATGGAAAAAGAGGACCAAGTAGGGAGACAAAAAGCAACCTTTGGCAAGGTGTTCCTTAGGCAGGAAGTTAGTTGACAAATGTGATTCTTTAAAAGTGGATTTTCACAAAAATTACTCACAAAGACTACTTCTAAAAATGTACTAAAAATGGAAACTCTCAACAACCTATGTATGCAGCAACATACAAGGTACAAAACACCATCACCATCACCACCAAAAACAACTTGCAGCAATTTCATGAATTAGAAGTTATATCATGCATATTTAATTTATTTGGGAAATTTTACACACATAAGGTATGTAGAAGGACTAGGACTAATCTAAACATCTTTGCATTTGTCCTGTGTTTATTTTAGATAAAGTTATGCTATTTTAAATAGACACATTTTTTATATTTAAGTATATTCCAGAATTTACTTTTACACATAAATGTAATCAGTCCAAAGCAACTGTGATCTATAAATTTAGCATTAATAATTTTGACTCTAAAATGATCCTAGACTTGGAAAAGGAAGATCCTGGTCTCCCCATTCTCTTTCTACCTTCTTGAAGCCTGTGGGAGCCTGCTGGTAACAGGACCTAAAATAACAAGTATATCTGGAAGGCTGTGGTCCAAGGCCATTTTCCATTTTTGCTAGCTATAATAGGGGTCTCTGGAACCAGAAGGAACACACAGCTCTTCTTATGATTGAAGAGGTTTATGCTTGAGATGAAACTAAATTTTATTTAGGCAAGAGATACTCTTATGCGTACAAAACAAAGAACAACACAATGATTCCTAGAGGCAAAAAGAACAAAACCAGAGTAACCTTGGGAAAGCTAACTCTTGCTCATGCAAACAGCTGCATGGTTCAAGCCAAATTCTGAAGCAACCTTCCTGTGAAGGCCCTTGGACACAAAACCTACATGATGCTGTACCCCTCAAGGATTTAAGCTTACTGAAAAGTAAATAAGTAAAAATGTTGATTTCTTCTCTTGTAAAAAAATAAAATAAGATAAAATAAAACAAAACAAAGGGAAGACGACTTAGTGCAGAAATGATCACACATGACATTGCATGGTACCTGAGAAGAGTGGGAGGGTGAGCTCGGGGTACATCCTGGCCAGTTCACACGACAGGAGGGCTAGGGACACACTGTAGAGCGGTGGCAGTGGGCCATGTGTTCCATAGAGAATACTGCCCGGTCTCTGTTCAGCTATTTTCTTTGAGTATACGAAAAGCTTTGCTTCAAGGATCTAGAGAGAGGTAGGAGAGTGAGAAATGATATGAAAAAACATCAGCTAGCTGTCTCAGGAGGATTTATGTTTCATCAAGTTTCGTAGTAACCAAATTAATGAATGCATATTTTAATTAGTATTAAAAGTAAAGCATCAGTTAGTTCCTGTGTTTATAGAAGATTATGTAACGGTTTTCTCACTCCTCTATCTCCCCACCCAAGGATATACAGGAAGAAGCAACAATCCGAGTATCGACCACCCTTTCTCTGAAGTTTCTGTGTAAGTCAATGGTACGTGCCTGCATGAGCTGCATGGAGATTTCATAAATTTCTCTGTTGGTGTCAGAGGCCTTGAACAGAACAAGGTTTAACAGCGTCACTATGTCGAAAGGATAGTTCCTAAAACAAAAAACAAAAAAACACAAAAAACAAACAGTATAGTTTATGAGACAGCCTGATTAGTAGTCTTGATAAATCATTACCTCTCAAAATTCTAGATGGTGAACGACCTCAGTCACACTTACTGATGACATTTTCATGCCCATTTGGTCATTGCACTGCACCCCTCATTCTTTTGCTGTTTCTTTTTCTTTTTTTTTTTTTTTTGAGAAGAATAGAAATAGCTCTACTTTCATTTAACACTGAATATTGTTGCACTGGGCTAAATAAGCACACAAAAATCTATCTAATGTAAATAGTTTTTAATGAAAACCAAATAAAAATGGAAATAACGGAAGAAAATATGTCTACATTTTGCAGTAGCTCACTGATTTAATATTTTCATTCAATCCATCTAAATGTAGCAAGCACAAACACACACATACCAGAAACAGTTGCACAGTACTGATGACACTAAGTTAGTAAGGCTGGTGTCTTCCCCTGATAGAGACTTACTGTATAGTTAGGAAAGTAATCTATGCAGTCTAGTTAGGATGAGAGTAGCTACAGCAGGCTACAGAATCCCGATAAGGGACACCTACACCACCTTGGTGTTAGGGTAGGTTTACAAGGGCGAAAGACGTAAACTGAGATTCACAGAACCAGAAGTAAACTGAGATTTGCAGAACCAGGAGACATTGGCCAGGCCATGCAAAGGGTAACATGGGGGAGTGTTCTAGGCAGAGACAACTGCCTTTTGAAAGATTACAAGAGTGAAACAGCAAGATTCCTCTGTAAAAGAAATTATATCTGTGTAGCCGACTGAATGAAAGAATTAGTAAAGGAACAAAAGATGGGACTAGGGTGATAGGTGGGTTCAGAAGATAACCAGCTTAAGGACTTCATCCTAAAACTTAAGGAGATCAGAGGAGTAAGGGAATGACATCATTTTTGAAGAAGCACTGTGAATGCTCTGTGGAGAAGGGATTTGTGGGGGGTTCAATATTGGGAGCTGTTCTAATACTCCAAAGGGGAGCTGATGAGGGTTTGAATTAGGGCAGGAATGGTAGAGACAGAAAGGAGAGGATAAGATCTGAAAAACACTAAGGAGATAAAATTGGCAGGGTTTGGTAAGTGACTGAATGCATGGGATGGAAGCTGGGGAGAATGGAGCACTGCAAATAGGTTATGTGGCGACTAGGAGTAATCAAATGGAATGTGGAGCTTAAATTCATTTCCTTTTCTTGCTAATAATACTCCTTAAAGATGATTTCTGTTTCTTAACTGTATGTTTTTTCTTACAGTGGAAGAAAGGTCATAAATAGAAAACTTTTGGTGAGATAAACAATTAGGGAATGGTCCATAGTAGTGAGTGACTGCTATTTATTTTGAGGCAAACTTCAGAAAGCAGAAGATGGGTTGGAGGTGGAAAAAAATTGTTTTCGGGCAGCTTGGGTGGCTCAGGAGTTTAGTGCCGCCTTTAGCCCAGGGCCTGATCCTGGCGACCCGGGATCGAGTCCCGCGTCGGGCTCCCTGCATGGAGCCTGCTTCTCCCTCTGCCTCTCTCTCTCTCTCTCTCTGTGTGTGTGTGTCTCATGAATAAATAAATTTAAAAAAAAGGAAAAAAAGAAAAAATTGTTTTCTTGTGGGTTCCTTTTTTGATTCTATAATATAATTACAATTGTCTAACAAGTTCTGTTTTGTTAGAACAATCACCCTTTTAGAAAGGCATAATACTGTTATGAATCTATGTCCATCTTACAGTAAGTTTAATAAGAGACAATAGTTAGCATTGGTTAAATATATAACAAATGATGGTTTTCACTTATTTTTTATATTAATCAAATTTAATTTTTTATCTTACTAGTAATACATGAATACAACTTCTTAAAAAGTAGAGCCAAGCAACACATAGAACCAGAAGATCTATTCTAGAGATGGTGCTGGCAAGTTGGTGCTGGCTGTAGGTAAGTGTATAAATTATGGAAATGCCTACTTCCTTTCTCTCCCTCAACCATTAGAGGCATCCACCTTTCTCTAAGTATGTATATAAATAAGTACACCTCCCCATTACACAGGACTGTCAATATAAAGGTAATTATACTCTCTATGTGTATTATGTGGAGATTAGCTTTTTCAGTGAATGAGGCTTACCCCCAGTGTTTCTTAACAGCTGCATAGCATTCCATAGTATGGTCATATCATAAATAACCAATCTTGTTGTAGATGCTGTGATGTGCTATTTGAATCCCTCTTTCAAGACTGAGGCACTCAATCCTCCAACTAGTGTTGAAGGCTGAGATCTCTGGATGAATCCCTCCCTGGGAATTGCCATCAGCCAAAGAAACTGGCCTAGGTCAAGGTCATGCCTATAGCCAGCAGCAGCCCCTGGGACAGGTTGAGGTCTCTTTTCCTCTGCCCAGTCCTACTTCCTTCCCTGTCCCACAGATACTGATCTCAAAGGCACCCCTAATTAATGTCCAGCACTCAAATCTCCATCCCAGAGTCTGTTTCCTGAGGAATCCAGCTTTTGACCTGCAGTATCAGACATTTAAAGGTTATTTTCATTTCACTGTTACAATGTCTTTCACTGTTGATGTTTTTTAAAAGATTTTATTATTTGTTTGAGAGATAGAGAGTATGAGTGGGGTGAGGGGCAGAAGGAGAAGCAGACTCCTCACTGAGCAGGGAGTCCAGGGTAGGGCTTGATCCCCGGACTCTAGGGTCATGAAGTGAGCCAAAGGCAGATGCTTAACTGCCTGAGCCACCCAGGCACTTCGTTTTTCACTGTCGTAACACCAAATGTGCAAGTACTTCTTTGGAAGGGATTTCTAGAAGAGGTCATGTAGGGCCAAAGGGCACATTTAAAATTATGGTAGATCTTACCATATTGCCTTCCAAAATGGCTATACTGTGCTCCAAAATGATTACTTTCCTAGAACTTTTATTTTTAAATGAATAAAAAAGCATGAGGTTGATTTGTCAGATGAGAAATTAGGGAAAGCCTCCTACATGCTAGTGGTGAGGATAATGAAGAAATGATGGATAACATTTATGTTATGCCCTGCCTACTTTGTGCTGGTTACTCTGCCAAGGCTTTTACCCAGATTTGTTATTTTATCTTCACAACAAGCTTAAAGGCTTAGAGACGTTAAGTACTTGCCCAAGTTCATGTAAATAATGGAGCCTAGACTGCATTTTGGGTAAGTCAGACTCTAAAGAATTAACTTATCCACAGTACTATCAGCCTTCAGGAAAGTCCGCAGTAGCATATTGCATAGCCAGTCTAATTTGGAGTTCTAACAAGCTGAAGTAGCTGGAACGGACTGGGAAAGTAGAAAGGATGCTCCATGAGCCCCACAGTGGCAGTGATATCTTCTCTATGTTGCTGTCTCTAACATGGAGATTTTTTTGTGGTTGTTGAAATATTTTATTTATTTATTTGAGAGAGAGAGACACACACACAGAGAGAGAACACACACATGAACAGGCAGAGGATCAAAGGGAGAGGGAGAAGACTCCCCACTGAGCAGGGAGCCCTATGTAAGGCTCCATCCCAGGACCCTGAGATCATCACTTGAGCTGAAGGCAGATGCTTAACCTACTGAGCCACTCAGGCACCCCTCTAACATGGGAATTTAACACATATACATTTTTATTTAAAAGAGCACTGATTGGAATTTAAATAAAAACATGAAGAAAGAAAAGCAACATTGGAAAATAATGCTGGATCATTGGGGATTTAAAGGCAGGAAAAAGGAAGACAAAGTCTCCTTCCTATGCAGGACCATGCACTTGACTATGTAATTAGGACATTCAATTAACTGCTTAGGACTGAGCTATGAACTTGACGGAGAACAATACTGAAAGAAATAACAACAGAGATACAGAAAATGAAAGAAACCCAGAGAAGTGAAAAATCAGAAAGATCTCAAATGAGTGAAGGAGTACAAATAAACATCTGTACTTAGATGTTTAAAATAGGCTTAGAAACAAAGTCTTATGCCATCTAGTATTAGATGATCCAACGCAGGCAGTGGAAGGGTAAAACATAAAGACAGCTGTGATCATTCGGAATAAAAATCAAATTGTAAAATAAGTAGGAAAGGCAGATACAATTCAGAAAACAAGCAAAAAAAAAAACAACGTTTTTGTTTGTTTTTTTTGTTTGTTTTTGTTTTTTTTTTGTTTGTTTGTTTTTTTAGCCTAGAAGAGAGGAGAGTTTGAAGAATTTGGAAGTAACCACTAGCTCTGGCTTATGTAGAATATGAAATGACAAAGCTCAGGATAACTTTGAGGTCTTCTGGAGAGAAACAGATTTCATTAGTTGACAGAGGGGATTACATCATACTTGCTTCTAATAGCTATTAAATAATAAGAGTGTTACAGAGTGCCTACTATGGGCTAGGCCTTAGGTCAAGATATTGGATTTATATTTCACAGATATCTTTCATGCTTCGATATACAGATCCATTTTTAAGGGTTTGTTTAGAAATGCTGTAATTTATTTACTCATTCACCTATTAATGGACTTTAGGTTGTTTTTCACTGTTTTAAAATACAATAGTAAACAACTTGCATGCATTTTTGTACATGGTTGCAATTCCTGAGGTTAGCCTGTACCGTATTAAAAGGAAAGATGGGTTTAATTTAATCCTTAATGTAATTGTACTATCGTTCTCATTTTACAGATGAGTAAGTGTTTAGAGAAACTTGCTCAGGAGCACATAGCTTGATTAGAGGAAGACCTAAATTCAAACTCAAGACAGCACCTTTCCTGAGCCCAGATTCCTAAACTCTGTGCTCTCTTGAAATACTCCTGCTGACAGACAAAACCAAATGAGGTTATCAGTATCACCAGCGAGCGAGTGTGATCAGGATTCATGAATCATAAGCTTCCCTTGTCTTCCTTGGTAATAGATAGACGATATTTCCTTACAATAAGTGGGACATATACTTTTAATATATTAGTTTGCTGGACCTGATTTAAATTAGGAAAGATTGATTAAGAAGTTAGCTTAAGGCAAAACAGACACACAAACAGCAATGGCAACAAAAATCACCTCCAAAAATAAACCCAACAAAATTCTTTATAAATTAAAACTCTGATCTTATATATAATTCTAAAACACTTATTAAATATAGTAGTATGTTGGAGGGTAAGAGTAAAAACAATGGAACTCTCAAGTATTTAATTAAATGTGAAGAGAATTATGTTAAGCCAGTAATTAGAAATGGCCTACACTTTTAATATAAAGCATACTATTTACCTTAATTTAGAATGTTGAAAATTCACTTAATCTCTTTCTCAATTTCTTTATCTGTTCTGTACTTATTTATTTTGGAGTTGAGGGGAAGTTAATAAGAATACACACAGAAGTCAAATTGTTATTTCAGTTAATGCTGCCTGACAGGTGAGCTATTTCCTTTTGTGCTAAATTATAGCATTGAGCTACATTTAATAGCTTTTAATAACATACAAATATATTTTATAGAACATTCTTTAAAATTAATATTTCCAGATCTATCATCACTTTCTCTTTTTATCCTCACTTCTATGGGTCCTATTCAAGATCCATGCTGACTTCCAAATCTCTCAATATCACTAGATATATCAGAGTTATAGTTACAGTTTCAGTTTTGACTAGATTCCAGCAAGTTCACAACACACACACACATACACTCACACAGGTCTAGAAATAAAAGAAAAAAAAAGTATGGAGAGAACTATTTTTACTCATTATCAAGTCTGATTAACACAAAAAGTGATACATGAACTATGCAAAAATGGCTAATTTCCTCTTCTAAAACCAAAGGTAGAAAATTTAATCAAGAGCGTTTAAAAAAAGTTCAATTTTTTATGTATTTCATAGTCAATTGTAAATGGTTCCTTAATAAATGAGTCTGGTTATAAACTGTCATATTCCATAAAAATAAATCCAGCATATGCTTATTTCTATTTGAAAAGGAAGAGGTGATTCTTTACTTTACAAGAAAGTTTCTTTCCTTTAGAGTATGCCTTGTAGGAGTTACTGTAAGATAATTTGAGAAAGTTAAAATATGACCCAGTTTAGGTATGACTTTTCAGGAACATATTATTTCATAACATAAGGTATTTTGGTGTTTTTAGAAGTAAACTTGTGGAAAACAAAGCAAAGGCAAAAACACCAGAATTGCTTTCAAAAGAAGTACTGAAAACGTAAGTGCAAAAATTATTCAAACAAATCTGGAGGTTTATCTAGACTACTCAGACTGAGGATTTATGGGGAGAGAGAGAGCAAATTTAAGCCACAGCTGAAATTTTAAATTCTGAACATGCCCTGTGGTAACAAATGACAGAAGGGCTGGCTACTGTCTTAGTGGACAGGTTGTGGCCATGTCATTGCCTGGCCTGCAGGCAATGGTGAGGGTTGTGAATGTAAGTTGATATGAAGTATTTGTCTAAGAAAGCAGAATTGTTTAGAATGATATCTTAAAAAATATAAATGTGAGGAGTTTTATGATGTAATATTTTTGTGCCTGGAGATCTTACTGAAATTGAGACTATACAGCTAAATTCATAGACATTTATTTGTGCTCCCTAAGGAAAAATACTTAGACTCATTCAGAGGAATGCAGTACAATATTTTATGAGATGGCCATGCAATAAAATAAATTTGACTAGGATAGTTCATGTCGAGTTCACTGGGAGAAGGGCAGCGAAGAGAAGAAAATTTTATTATTTTAGTTTTTGTCAAAGGGATCTATGGTCCAATCATATTCTAAATACATTTTCAAAATCAAAGAGTCATGTAAACATGAATTTATTTTTAAAATGTCAAAATATCTGAAAATAAAAACACTGGAGAGAGGGATTTTTGCAAGAAAAATACTATATTGGTAATATTCTATAGGTATACTATTATTTCATAATGTTAACGTCATACAATAAAATGATGGCAAACAAGACAGTTTAGATTATATTCATCTGCTGTAACTTTCACAGAGATTAAAGCATGTAATACACATTCAACTATTAGGATTATAGAAAATGTAAACTTTAGAAGTGAAATGTTATCTACTATCTTTAAAAATGAAAGATAAAAATTTTAAAGAGAAACCTCTCTCTTGAAATAGCATGTTCATTTTAGGTTTATTGAAAGTAGAGTTCTTTTAATATTTGGTTCTTATTAATTTAGAACAGAATAGGTTATAATAGGTCCAAATTTAAAGCTAATTCACTTTATTCCCTTCATCCGGTAGCTCAAGATAGCTATTTAAAATGTAACATTTAATTAAAAAAGAAAAGAAAATCGATAGTCTATATGAGTCTTTTCAAAAATTAACTTGAGCAGCCTTCTCTCAGTTTGTAATATATAAGCTCTCTCTTGGGAATAGCGTATGTACTTTGCAGTCTTCATTAACCCTTCGTCTTAGCTATGAAATTATTTCAGTGAAATAGTAAGTTATTTCACTTAATAAATTACAGTGCTGAATGACTTCACTGAGCGACTAATTTCCATAACTAGGAAGGGTGGTTTTACAAATATCCATGGAACTCAGGGGGTCACATTTTCTTTCCTTTTCTTCCTTTCTAAAGTTTTGGGCAAGAGAGATATAATATTCATTCATTCACTCATTCATTCATTCATTTTTTAAGTAGGCTTCATGCCTAGAGGTAAAGCCCAACACGAGGCTTGAACTCACAATCCTGAGTTCTAGACCTGAGCTGAAATCAAGAGTCAGATGCTTAACTGACAGGGCCACCCAGATGCCCTCTTTTACTCTCTCTCTCTCTTTTTTAATGGATAGGTGTAACATTTTTAGACCACTTCCTGGGCTCAGGATGGCTAAAGGATTTACAGTTCACACCTGTCACAAACATTTCTAGAAATTCCTTTAAGTCCTTTAATGTACCTTCTTTATCATTTTCAAATCTTGTTCTCCTTTTTCTCTGTGAATTTCCAGGCAAATAAAAAGATGGATGCTGTAACTACAAATCAGTCTTCCAGAGAATGAGAAAAATCATTGTAGCTGCAGACTTACAGGGAGTGGTCTATCTGCTGGAGAAATATTGGCCATTTTGTATTTCCTTAGAATTTACTCTGCTCAGGTAATTGCAAAAAACAGTCAGCCCTCATATTCACATCTTGAAGAACAACCTTCATTGTACTTGCCACTGACTAATATCTTTCACTTAGCAAGAATTCATACCTGCTTCCACACACAGTTGCTATGGCTTTGAAGCAGCCAGATGCGAGCTGGTAGGAACCTGTGTAACATCGGTCAATCGCCCAATTAAAAAGATTAATTTGGTCTGGATTAAGTTCCAATAGCAAGACGACAACTTCACAGCCAAGCTGATGAACCTGAATACATGGAGGAAAGCAATTATTCATGTTTAATGAAAGGTCATTCCAGGGAAAGATACAAAATCATGCTTGGCCAATATAAACTGGGTAAAATGAAAGTTTTAATTTTTTAACGATTTTATTTTTAAGTAATCTCTACACCCAGTGTGGGGCTCCAACTCATAAACCCCAAGATCAAGTTACATGCTCTACTGACTGAGTCAGCCAGGTGTCCCTTCATCTTAATTTTTATTCCATGTAGTCTTTCTTAAAGAGGATGCAAAGTTGCAACTGAAAATTGAAATGTATGCCTAAACTAAATTGGACTCTGTGTAAATCTGTCATATACGGTTCGCTTATTCTTGATTTTTAATTCTGAAAAGGTAACAAAGACTTTGTTGGCAGTGTTTTCTTATTGCATTTAAAATATTTTTGAACAATATGTGTATTTTGTTAAAAATTAAATATACACAAGGATGGTCTTTATGTATGCAAGTCTTTGAGGAAAAAAAATCAGATTATGTTTATGCAACTTGATTACAAAGCTTAGCTGGCAATGTTTTAAAAAGAAATGTAGTATCAATAAATCCTCCTTGATAAGAGACTCTCATATGAAATGATCATCATACTAGATAGAATTAATAGGATCCTTTACTGACATTTCCTGAAGCTACTGTCAAATACTGGATGGTCACATTTGTCCAGGAGAAGCCTAGTGCCTGGAGGCCATATTCCCTTCAGGGAGTTAACATCTTCCTGTCTCCTCTTTCCTTCTTTTGCCAGGTGCAACCAGGTGGAGAAGGAAAGATTCTGGCTCTTTTTTTTTCTTAATTAATTAATTAATTAATTAATTAATTTTTGCTACAGGGTATGGGCTAAGATAGAAGCAATATTCTAGTTGGATGGTCAAACATCATCAGCCTAGTTCCCCATAGGCTTAAGTAATTAGCAGCAGATAAAAAAGCTAATGATACTATTACAAAGGACTTAAAAATAACATTTCCTTAAAAAGTTAGTTCTGACTTGAAAGAAAATCAGCAAGTTTTTATTTAGCTTTAGAAACTTTATATTGAAGTGTAAGATACATAGTATACAATTCACAACTTATGAGTTACTATAACTGAACACACCAGTGTGAACACCAGATTACCAGTACCACTGAAGCCAGCTTTATGTACTGTCCTATCACTTGTCTCTCTCTCCTTTTCAAAAGGAACCATTATCCTGACTTCCACCACCATTGGTTACTTTGGGCTGTTTTAAAACTCTATGCAACGGCATCATATAGCATATAATTTTGTGTCTGTTATCTTTCATACAACTCATGTTTGACAGTCATCTATGTTCATTCAGTTTCTCTGTTGCATTCTGACAAATGATTATTTCACAATGTATTCATTCTATACTGAAGGACATCTGGGTTGTTCCCAGCTTTTGACTTCATAACACTGCTTTGAACAATTTTGTATGTGTCTGATGTTGTACATACTGGACATATGTTTTATGAAATATATATCTGAGTATGATGCAATCAGTTTTACAAGGTAATTATTCTGATTTCTACCCTCTGTAGCTTTGTGTGAGAATTCCTATTGCTCTATTTCCTCACTGACATTGTTCATCTTTTTAATAATAATAAAATTGATGCAATTTCTTCCTTAAATGCTAAATTCATCAGTAAAGACATCTGGTCCTAAAGTTTTCCTTGTGGGAAGATTTAATTACAGATAAAATCTCTTTATCACTTAGATGACTATTCAGATTTTCTTTTCTTCTTGGGCTGTGTTTTTCTAGGAATCTGTCCATTTATCTAAATTTTCAGGTTTATTGACACTAACATGTTCATATGTTCTCTTTTATTTTTAATATCTACCATTTGTAGGGATGTCCCCTTTATATTTCTGATGTTGGTGACATATGTCTTCTCTCTTTCTTGATCAGACTTGCCATGACTTAATTTAATTAGTCTTAACAAATTTAACTTTTGGCTTAAATGATCATCTTTATTAATTTTTTCTCTTTCATCTCCATAATTCCCTTCATTATTTTTTTTTCAGTTTGATATGCTATTCTTTTTATAGCTTCTTGAGATGGACACTTAGGTCATTAATGATCAACCTTTTTTTCCCCGATATTTCCTCATAATTATCACTACAATTTGTATAAAAATTTATTTTCAAGTCTAATCCTATTCATATCCTCTCCCATTTGCTTCAATTGAATCCTTCATATATGTGGGCAGTTACAGAACAATCTCCACTTCTAACCTGAATTTAATACCATTTTTTAGAAATATGATCAGTAATGGCAAGTACCTTTCATGTGTTAAATTTTCATTGCCTAGAAATCTCAAAATTGGCTGTCTACAATAGTCCTAAAATGGAAGGCCTAAAGAAGTCTTAGTGTTTATTGAATTAATGTACCAATTATGTGAATACCAAAAAAAAAAAAAATCAACCTTTTTTTTTTCTAGTATATATACTTAAGGCTATACATTTCATTCTAAGACTTTATTTACAGCCCACCAGGTTAGAATATAGTATTTTTGTTATTCTTCAGGTGAAAATAATTTTCAGTTTCTATTGCTACTTGTTCTTTGACTCACTAGTTATCTAGAAGAGCATTTCTTAATTATCTTATTATTGATTATTAGCTTATTGTCCTTGTGATTAGAGAAAATAGTCTGTATCATTTCAATCCTATGACCTTTGTGGAGACTTGCTTTCAGGCTGGTTAGTGGTCAACTTTGTGAATAGGTTGTGTTTTTTATCTTGATGCACCAGTGTAAGATGGGCAACACAAAACCTATACTTCTGTGACTGATGTGTGAAGATTATGTTGTGAACAATGCTTGTGCACCTTAGTAACCTGATCAAGGCAGAACACCCTAGACATTTAAAAACAATGTATTTGGGATCCCTGGGTGGCACAGTGGTTTAGCGCCTGCCTTTGGCCCAGGGCGCGATCCTGGAGACCTGGAATTGAATCCCACGTCGGGCTCCCGGTGCGTGGAGCCTGCTTCTCCCTCTGCCTGTGTCTCTGCCTCTCTCATTCTCTCTGTGTGACTATCATAAATAAATTAAAAAAATTTAAAAACAACGTATTTTTGGCTAGTACTTACTCGTAAATCTTGACAAGCCAGAATGTTGTCAAGCCACTTATACAGGTAGCCATCTGGAGAAAGGCCCACGTTGTCAAACACAGGGCCACAGCACAATACTGCTGACATTGCCTGATAACAAAACAACCAAACACAGGAATGAAACCTGTAATGATCTAATAACATGCAACTGACTTCCTGAAACACAAGTACCAGATTTATAAATGATGAGGATCTACTAAAGCAGTTTTTTCACAAGATTTTAAATTATTCCTTATTAGATTCAAGAAGAAGGGCGATTCTCAATTCTGGATTTTTAAAGAAGAATTAAAAACCATAAAAATTTAACTCTATGGACATAAAATTTTATGATTATAACAAATCTTTGTGATGAAAGAGTAAGATATGACAAAATTACCATTTCACAGGACTTAAAATTTACCTTCAGTGAATTCAAGTGATTAAGTTCTGCTTGTCAGGTAAATATAGCTTTTCAAATTTTGCTTTGATGATAAATATTTGACTAATGTACTAAATTGACAAACCACGGAAAATATGGAAATAGATAATTATGATTCTTAGTCAAAGAAAAAAATTAAGAATATAGACTTTTATTACTTGTAGGAAGAGAGGAAGGGAATGTAAGAGAAGGGGTGATCTTGATTAACTTTGTAATTAGTAGGTCAAAATGACTATGAGGGCCATGGTTTAAATCATCTCCATTGAGGCAAAGTCATCTAGAGAGTCAGCAAACTTCCAGTATATACAACAGAGCTGATACACAGTTTTTTCAAGGTAATGAGGCTATAAGGAATCATGCTTGTGAAAAATTTGAACAGTCCTAGTAGTGTGGAAATTTATTTTTGGGAGTCTTCTAAAATAGGAGCCTAAAAAGAGAATGTGGCTCTTGCTAGGCTCTGCACTTGAGGTAACATACATATCTTTCAGGTTGTAAGTTAACTGACAAGGCAGTTACTTACAGGGTAGATAAGTAGAATTGTGTGTTCTCATGCACTCAATAAAAGTAAGAGCTTGGAAAAGTTTTGTATTTTGAAACAGAGAGCCCAACTGGAATATTTACATATTTATACAAGCCATCTGTGTGTATGTTTTAGAATTTAAAAAATCAGCTTATGTATTTATAGGTGAGAGTGTTTGTTGCATATGCAGGTATATTTTATCATATCATATTAGTTATTTTAACTTTATTTAAGGCAAGGTTATCAGCTTAAGGAAAGGTTGTTAATTTAAGGAGAGACCATCGGTCTGACAAGTCATTCCCTGAGACAAAGATGCCCTACCTTTAATGCACAATACTGGTATCTTGTAATCTGATGATTTCTATCACTGTAGCGATCCAGAGGAGTAAACATAATGCTGAAAGGGCCTGCCCACTGGCTAAATAAGATGAAAAGATGATGCCTCAGGCTCTGCTGGGGAAACAGAAATCTTCGGTGGTGAACTAGAGAGAAAAACACAGAATTAAGAGTCTACTAGACTGAAAAGTATAGTGAATACAGTTTATGTCAATATTATATGTGATTCACACATTTTGAAGAAAGGAGTAATTTTATTTCTAACTCAAGTTTTCTTTAGGTAATGAAACAAGTATTTAAGAAGTCAAGCCTAATTTTCTCTTTAAGTGTATAGTCCTCTCCTCATGCTGCAATCAATGGCACCTTGTCCAGAGTGGGAAGCAGAAAGAAAAAGTGGACTCACAGATACTGCTTTCTAATCAGTGTCTAGGAAAACTGCAACACCTCCCACGCAACTGCTGCTCACATAGCAAACGTTCTCTCAACTGCTGCTATCCGTCTTTAGAAGTACTGTGAAATATAATGTATAGACTTCTATTCTAAGCAAACATACTTTAACTGAAGAAGTCAACTCAAATCCTAACTTAGGGTCATCCAAGAGGAGGAGGATTGGAAAGAAGAAGGTTTTGCAACACAGAAATAATGAAAAAGTAGCACCAGTTGCATTGTGGCCTTTTGTAATTGTGTTAACACTTTTAATTACAGTAATTAATTTTTACACCAAACTGGTCAGCTATTTTTATTCTTTATGCTTTTATTAGATGAAAGGGTTTCATACCCATTTGCACTATGAAAAAAAACCAACTCTCAAGAATATAATTTACTGAGCTGAATATAATTCTATAGAATGTGTTGCTTTGGATAGTCAAAAGGAGGACTACTGTGGGGTTGGATCAGATGTTCACAGATGAGCACAATGAGAAGGAAGAAATGAAGCCTCTGTGAATGCTCCCCCTGAATTACTTCCTTCCTACAGAAATTGCATAGATTTATTTTCAGATGGGAACCCAAACAAAGAATAGAAATAATGGGATAGGGGCACCTGGGTGGCCCAGTTGGTTAAGTGTCATGAGTGTCAGCTCAGGTCATGATCTCAAGGTCCTGGGATCCAGCCCCGTATCAGACACCCTGCTCAGCAGGGAGCCTGTTTCTCCTCTGCCTCCCTGCTCATGTTCTCTTTCTTTCACTATCTCTCTCTCAAATAAAGTCTTAAAAAAATAATGGAATAAGCACAAAGCCAAATTTAATTCCTATTGTTCCCTTTCCAACTCTGCGCTGAATAACCACAATCTGTTCTCATGTCTATCCCCAAGTATTTCAAAATAAATGAACAACCCCATCCCAGACCCCACCCTGTATGGAGGCCAGCAGGATGAAGGAGGAAAGCACAGCAATGAGGAACACAAATGGTTTTTCAAGCAAGGAAGGTACTTTGAAATGACGCATCACTGTACCTGGAACGCACTGAATCAAGTTGGCGACCATTGCACTAAAATGTGCCCGGATATCTTTAAGAATTTCTACTTCTTTGTCATTTTCAGCTTCTAGAAGCATGCGGGTCAGGTCCACATATTCTAAGAACAAAGCTCCAAGAGCTAAAGTATCTCGTTCTAAGGCTCCATTTGTGCTGGAATAATAATAATAATAATAATAATAATAATAATAATAATAATAATAAAGAGATTAAGCTTTTAGATGATTAGTCTTTATGTCAAAGGAGTACATGCTTCATGGAAAATAAGATTCATTGTCAATTCATGTGCTAACTTTGTTCTTGACCCATGGGCAGTATAAATAGAATATAAAAAAAACACCAAGAAGAAGCCTTTTTTGACTTTCCTGAGTAAAGTTAAAGGTAACATCTTGAAAAAGATGTAAAAGTAAGAAAGCAAGCAAGCAAGCAAGGAAGAAAGAAATACAGGGAGAAAGAGAGACAAAAGGGACAATTTGGTGAGAAGAGATGAACTCATTAGAATTTTCATCCTACCTGTCACTTATGACACCCGCATCAGCCAAAAGCTCAAAAATTCGAAGTAGTTGTAGCCTTAACAAGTCCCGCCGTTCTCGGCGTTTTTTGTTCTGTGTGGAAAGAGGTAACACCACTTATGCATGTGGGCAAAACAATATTAACTTTGTTTTGGGAAACTGTATGAAAGAAAAGCATCATCTAGCTATTTTCAATTCCCTAAATGTAAAAGACAAAAGCCATCTTTCCTTCTTCTAAATCCTTAGAGAAAATGCTTGCTATTACAGGCTATAAAGGAAACAGATCCTAAGTAGGTCAGTAAATATTTACAAGGTGGCAACATGGAGAACTAACTAAACAGCCTCATTTCCTAGGTGCTCCTGGCATCTACTGAAAGACAAAGTCCCTGAAACAGCAGGAAGGGATAGTGGACATGAAGAATACCACCAGTTCTGGTCTTGCAAGTCACACTGCTAAAATTCTGCTACTTCTTGCAGCTTATCTGCTATATGGAAAGCTTCTTTTTCCATCTTATTCTTTATTTTTGTATCCTGCTACATCATAAGTTTGTCCTTTTCAGAGTTCACTTCAGGGAAGATAATGTTGAGGAAAATTCTTCCTATGCTAGATGAAACAAATACTATTCGTGACCATCCAACTCCTTGTAAAAAATAATAAGCTAAAAAACAAAATTCAATCAACTCAAACCTCCTGCAAAAAAGAATGTAATATTTTTACATACATATGACTATTGAGGTTGTTTTGCCTTCATGAGTTTGGAACAAAATATTTAAAAAAGGAACCATATTACCCTAAATAAATGCTGAACAATAATAAAAATAACAGAAGTTAAAATATTAAGATTCACTGTTAAAAGCATGTTGGCTGTTTGTATATTTTTTTTAGGGGAAACCATTAAGTGTAATCTAAATTTATACCATTGTCCAAATAAACTGAGGCATTAAGTATTTAAATTAAAGATCTTACCTCTGGTCTTCGTTCCAGAGCTTCCTTCATTAATGGATGAAGTTCTTCTACCAATTCTCTATGGAGGAAAAACGTCAGCATTTAAAATTCCTTATTACTGACACCAAGTTTGTTACCAAATACATCCTTATTACTGACACCGAGTTTGTTACCAAATACATCCATTCAATCCTAAATCATGTGCTTTTCTCCCTTTGCTTTTGACTTCAAAATCTGCCCTGGCCTTTCTGTGTCTCAGTCACATGGTGAGATGGAACTAGGTATTGGCCTATGCTTTGTATTATTGGTTCTCATCCCAGTGTTACGTACATAATTTTGGTTCAATACATATTTGTTGACTTGATTTTGATTTCCTGTTCTGGAGACCTCTATGGCAAAAAACCTTCTCTAAACAAACAATATTTTGCAAGTGATTATTAAAATCAAAACACTTTACTACAGGCAGTGGGGATGGAGATAAACAAAATGGAGCCCCTCACAGATGACATTTTCACTCTAATTAGAGCAAAAGAGACCATGCAATTGCCATGGCATTACTTTTGGGATCTGTGCTCCGTGAACTAATAGTTGATTTTACAATGAAGTCTTTTTGGAGGTTCAAAGATAAAATCTTTATTTAAACTATGTGATAAATGCAAATTATAGCAAGTATTACAATAATAAGGTTTTCATCAAAATCTTTTCTCTAGTGAAGTAAAAACAAAAGTTTGATCATCAGTCCATCCATCCATCCATCCATTTATCTATCTTTCACCTGTCCCCAATATCTCTAGTTCCCAGCTTTATATCTGCTAATTTAGTTATATGCCTTCTTTGGGAAATATTTTAGGAATATGTCAAGAAGACAAAATTATGAACTCTAGCCTGCTGCTAGGTATTCTGTCTACAGCCTACTTTATGCCTGAACACCTTTGCAATATTCTGACAGGATGCTTTGTACTGTTAGACATCATCCATCCAGGGAAATACAAAGTTAGGAAGGTAAATTTCATGGCATCCTGTGCTGGGACAGAAAACTTGCATTCCATTTCAGATTTCTCTAACACAGATACTAGAGTTTCTTCATCAAAGGAATGGAAATAATATTAATGATCTCCTCCAATAACAACCATTTACTGAATATTTACTACATCTATTTTTACATTTAATCCTCTCAGGAAATCTGTAAGAGAGATTCTATAATTATAACAGTTTTTATTTTTTGATTAGATACACTTTATTTGTATTTATTATAACAATTTTACAGGCAAAGGAACTGATACCCAGAGACCTTAAGCTTTCCAGACCCACATGGCTAGAAAATAATATAATCTTACCCTCCCCTAGGAATATTGAGAGGATGAGATGTACAAGAGCTTATGTCCTTGGGAAAGAATGTTAGGTAATTCCAGGAATTGTTTTTCTTATCTTCCTGTAGTATATCTATATGATTCGTTGTCTTAACTAGTTAAGCAATAAGTAGTAAAACACTGGTTAACTGGGACTCAAGTATCAGAACTCACAATTACTTTTTATAAAAATAAAATCTGGGATCCCTGGGTGGCGCAGCGGTTTAGCGCCTGCCTTTGGCGCCCAGGGCGCGATCCTGGAGACCCGGGATCGAATCCCACGTCGGGCTCCCGGTGCATGGAGCCTGCTTCTCCCTCTGCCTGTGTCTCTGCCTCTCTCTCTCTCTCTGTGACTATCATAAATAAATAAAAATTAAAAAAAAATAAAAATAAAAATAAAATCTGACTCTACACATGAATAATGCAGCAGATTATTTTTCAATGGCCTCTAAAATGTCTCATTAATCTTTCTTTTTCTTTTCTCACAGATACTTGGAGCCTTCCCTTTTCTATCTACATAAAAAACGTCAGGATTTTACTTTAGCTTATAGGCTTTCATTGCTTAGCTGAAGTCATCAGAGGCAGTCCAAACTAACACTTTATGATGGCCCTTTCAAAAGGCTTTGACACTGCCTCAGATGGAATGGTTATTTGATTAAAGGCATGAAATGAGTAAGGAATACAGAAAGTGAGATACGATGGTTCTATGAGGGAAGATAAAGCACCTTCTAAAAAGATTGGCCAGTGTAACAGAAGACTCTTGAAAGAGTTCTCTCAATGCTTAGCCTTTGAGAGCCTGTTGCACAAATGGCTGATGAGCAGACCTCATTGTTTTGACAGTGAAGTGTCTGAAAAGTTTGGCTAACTAGCGATGGATGCTGAATTATCTTCATTGATACTTCTCTAAAATAAAATAAGCTTGCACACGAGATAAAATCTGAGACATAAAATCAAAGGGGAAAAGCCAAGGCAATTGCGAGGAATGCTTGCTCCATGCAGGTCACACACAATGCGGTCACAAAGGAAATGGCATGAAACCTATTAACTCCTCAGGCACATGCCCACATGCAAACTCAAACTTGAGTTAAAAATAGGAACTATGAAAGCAGCAGCAGAACGAATTTAGAAGAACTCATTGAGACTACTGTACCTGAAAACAAGGGAATTTGTTCTTCCAAATCCTAAAACTAAGGACTCTGTGATCTCAATGCCCTCTAGTCTCATCAAAGGCACCAACTGCTTTAACAGAACTCCCACCGATGGGGTGCCTATGGCCTGAAACAAGTTGATTAAAAGTGAAAAAGAGGTAACATGATAACTGATGCTTCCTTTAATCAAATGATGATTCCATTATAACAGTTTCAAAGTACCAAACCACATCCCAAAGCACTGCCATCATTTCAGAAAGAAAGAAAAAAAAAACAGACTGACATAAATTTTAAAACAGCACAATGAATGTAATTTTTTACCCAGAACCAAAAAATTCTAAAGAATATTTTTATTATAACAGTTTTCTTTAAAAACAAAAACAATTATGTCTACAAAACCATTCTTTTTTTTTTTTTTTTTTTTACAAAACCATTCTTAACAAGATCATTTAATCAAAGCAGGGTTTAAAGGCAAATGCTTGGTGAGGAGTGAGCGAAATGTGGTATGTAGAGCAGAAATCAAACCTCAGGGTGCTAATAAATAGAAGTCCCTCTATCATCTCAAGTAAGTTTCTTAACTTCTCTTTATCTTCAGTTCTCCACGTGTCAGGGAGGAATAATAAATTATGCACATCAACACTCAATGGAATTTAGAAATGTGTAGGATGAAAATCTGATCCCATATACTCCAGATGGCAGGCACAGTGCCATGTGCACTGTGAACTCTAGACAAACAAGCTAAAAAAAAACCTTACAGAATAATTCTTCTGAAGCATGTCACGTCACCTTGTTATCGTAGCTCACTGTACCATCAGGTGTGGTCGCCATTATTTCTGGAGTGGAAGCTCTTAAGTGTCCCGGGCTCATAATGCTGGGTTTTGCAACTCCAAAACAAAGAATAAGGTAATTTCTCCATAATGTAACATAATTGTCTCCGCTGCTGGCAGTGCTGGTTTTCTTAGCATTGATTGGGCTACTAGAAATACAGAGTTGAAAACAAGAGTGGAAGTAAGTGCTGGACTTTAAATATCATGTATTAAATTAAGATCCTAGGAAGTGCTCAGATAGAGTTGAACAATTGTCTGCCAAGGGTTGCCTATGCTGTTAAGAACCGTCTGGACAGGAATGCCTCTACTACATGGGAAGTTGAATATAATTTTAAGACTATTTTCACCAGTAATGGTCTGACATTCTATACTCAATCACCTGTATTATTATTATAATTATTTTTAAGGTTTTATTTATTTCTGAGAGACAAAGAGAGATGGGCTGAGACACAGGCAGAGAGAGAAGCAGGCTCCCTGAGGGGAGTCCAATGTGGGACCTGATCCCAGGATCCAGGGATCATGACCTGAGCTGAAGGCAGACGCTCAACCACTGAGCCACCCAGGCATCCAGGATTATTAATTAAAAACAAAAAACAAACTAGCTCTAGATAAGAACTTTTGACCTGTTTTCACTCAATGTTCAGATTTCTGTATTAGGAAATACAAAGACTAGAGAGGATTATAATATGCCCATCTTTTAGATAAAATGGAAATGTAAGAGGGCAAATGATAAACAAAACAGAGGAAGACAGTTTCCCTTACTTGGGGTCTACGAGGGGCATGATAGACTGGAGCCGAGTGAAGGCGTATGGCCAGGCGTAGCTGAGGGCTGTGGGGCAGTGTTTAGGCAAGTTCTCCTGCCGCAGGAAACTGAAGAGGCAGAGGACCCAGGGGTCTTTGACAGACTGAGCGAAGATCCAGACATGGGAAGGACTCTTTACATCGTAATGGCTATTGACCAGGACTGCGTTCCACTCCACCAACCACTGCAGATCCACACTGTGGGTCAGTGGTAATGTTGCCTGCAGGTGCAAGAAGTAGGCAATGAATTGATGATGAACTGTAAATTACACATCCACATCATGGCTCAGCCTAAATGCCCCTTTGTCCATACTGCTTTTTCCGACCACCTCTGCAATGGGCCAAGCTTTGAATCTGAAACACCCCTCCCACACCTACCACATAGGACGTTGGTTTGTAGCCACTGTTGTTTCCTATGCTAGACTGCAAGCAGCTGAAGTACAGAGTTTAAGGACATGCATCATATTTCATTAATGACACATAGCACTGTGCATTAGTACACCAAAGCTGCTCATTAAATAGTTGTCAAAAAATATATGGTCTTAGTTAAATTAAACCCGACCCTGGATTTGCCATTTAAAATTCTTAAAAGCTATTAACTTCTGAGATTCATAAATGTGTTTTTATTCCTGTAATTAGCATCCTGAGCTTTTTAAAGCCATAATCATGTTTACTTTTACCTGGACTAGAATACATTCCCTTTGACTTAGGGAGATGTCAAAATGCAATCCCTTTCATGAAGGGCATTTCACTGATGATTTTTGAGGTAAGAGACCTACTTGTTCTTGTCCTGTGATATCAAGCCAAAACAAAAATACATATACTAAAACTTTTTTGATCTATATCTCCCATAAGTTTGTATGTGTCATTGTCTTTTAAGTCCAGAATATCAAAGTTTAGGGAAGGTCAAGTTTCAAATAATCTAGCAGTTGTGCCAGGAGAGACAATTGCTTTTATGACAGTCAGGCAGTTAAAACCATCCATTTTATCTGTTGGGTGTCCAGATTCCTGTGAGTAAATGTGCATCACTAGTGATCACAATGGTTAATGCGTGTAAGGGGGCACAGCTGGAGCTTCAGAACCAGAGAGGAGATTCCAACACAGCCTCCATCCAAAGCTCATGATCTGAGAAGAGCACAGACCATCCCAGAGTTTCTGTCTGGGAGATGTTAATTTATGGCTTGGGAATTATAATGCTAATATCACCTAATCTTTAGATGAATTGTGTGAGATGAGGAATGTAGAAACACCTGGCACAAAGCAGGCATATTCCACTTCTCCCTTTCCTTTGTATATTCTTAAGTACAGCATTGCTGATCTAGTTACCCTGGGCTCAAGATTTTGATTCTGATAAACAGACCAAAATCACATGAATATAACCTGCAGGCAACTAAGATCTGTATACTAAACAATTTAACTAGACTTCCATGCCATGTGAAAGCAAACTGAAGTTCTAAAAGAAGTAGGACTAGGCAATATCACTATGAAAGTCTGCATTGCTTGGCTTAACAGTTTGAGTAATGATCATCATTACTACAATCATAAGCAAGAACAAGTCCACTAAAGGTAGGAATCTGTGCTCAGTCTCCGAGAAAGACCACAAAAAAGCTTTGTCTTCTTTTATAGCTATTTGTCAGATATGTTGATATTCATTTATAGTTATTTGACAAGAATATACAAAGGGCAACAGCAATGTGGGTACTGCGAACATGCACTGCCTCTTTTTAGCTAGTGAGCTGAAATTAACCCAGGTACCCTTACTGCACTATACTGATTTTTTAGAAAATCAGATAATTAATATCAGTTTCAATTTCTCTTCTGTTTGTTCAGGAAATTGAAAGTTGCCAAGATGCTCTCTAAAAAGGGAGAATGTATTTGTATGGCACATTTGTATGTCCTAGGTTCAGACTCCAACTAGGGTCAAACCCAGGCCCTAAACTTGTCTGTGTGACTATGGTCCTGCCCCTTAATATTTTTGAGTTTCAGTATTTAAGAGGGTCAAAAAAAATGTGAAAGCACACTGTAAACTGTAAAGCACCATGTATAAGTTACATAATGATGTCAGGCATGATAAATAATTAATTTTCTTAAAGAATCCTGAGCAATTCTTCTTGAAATTGTAGTTTGCAAAATATTATCTATATTCCTAAGGCTCAAATTTTGTTTGAACTTTATCTGAATGTTTTCTAAGCTAGTATATGAAAAGCTTGTCTTGTTTTCACAAGCACTGTTGTGTCAGTTTATGAATCGGACGTGAACCCCCGAGAATTCTTCCACATAGTTTTTTTTGTCTGTTTTTCAGACAGGTTCAGAGCTTACACTGAAGAACAATTGGGAATCAGGATCAAATGTGTACTTACCGAATCTGAAACTGCTACATGAATGAAACTTTCAAGAATGGAAGAACTTAGCTGATCCATGACATCAATCATAGGCCTGTCATCGTCCTGTACAAAGGGTGGGCAGTTACTCTCCATGGGGAAATGAATCCTTCCCACCCACCCAATTGCCCTTGTTCAGTACATGAAGCAGAATAGCTTGCAAGATAGTGATAAGGGTTTTCTCACAGAAAAGTGAGTGCCGAGATGGTGAATGGCAGTAGATAAAATACCCTGTGATTCTGAGTTTAGTCTTTCAATTTTCAGTGGAAGATGGTTACAGCTCCAATTTCATGTTGTATTGAAAAAACATGGACTTGAATTTCAAAAAGTTGCACACGTATAGCAGGATTTAAACACCAGTGCCATACATCATCCATTGGAGTGTTCATGTTATCATCAATTTTAAGGAATGGAAACACCACAAGAATATGGCTTGCCAGACCAAAAAATGGTACTAACTTAAGTCACTGGTCTGCTACAATAAGTGATAAATTGTTGACTGTGATTGAATTTTAGTTTCAAAGAAAATGCACTGGAGACTGACAGTTGGTACCTGTGTATTCTGTGGTATACTGTTGTGTATAGCTATTTGGTAAAAGAAGTAAATTTCCATCTACAGAATAAATAAGCCACAGGGATGCAGCTTGGTGACTTTCAGTGATAATACCATACTGCATATTTTAAAGGTGCTAAGAGAGTAGATCTTAGAAGTTTTCATTACAAGAAAACAGTTCTATAACTCTGTATGGTGATGGGTGTTAACTAGACTTATGGTGGGGATCATTTCACAGTGTAAACAACTATAGACTTATTATGTCATGCCCTGAAACTAATATAATGTTGTATGTAAGTGATACCTCAATAAAAAAATTATACAAAAACAAAGTTGTGGTTGGTGGAAGAGAGCAACATAGGAAAAATGTTCTTAACACAATCTTAGTAATTATTATCATTCCTATCATAGAGACTTAATGGAAGTTTGTCAACATACAGCATGTCTTAGACATCCATTTACCAGATACTACAGATGTCCTAAAATATATTACAAAGCTACCTGAGGAAAAGTGAACAGAAAAGGACTGTGATGAATTAGAAAATATTTGATAAAGACGATGACCATTTTGTGGATCAGAAAACCAAGTTCAGTGATTTAAAACAGGAACATGGAAAGTAGCATTTTTCTAAAGAAGTATGTGACATAAAGAACTGGTCCTTCTTTCATCAACTTAGGCCACTTTGATTCAGCCACCTGTACTGGCAGGTGATGAGCCTTAACATCTGAACATGGCAGACAGCACTTGACCAAGCATGGAGGTTAGCTGGCCGATCATGTCTAATAATTGGCTTACTTCTCCTGTCTCAAGGGGACATATTTTCTTGTGATGCCATTTTAAAATTATTGAAATTAAACAAATTTCAGTTAGCCAGACTGTTTGATACCTAGATCATTTAAATGAAAGTCATTATTTTCTCACGTTCACTCTTTAATATAAGTGTAATAATGTCTTCTTAATTTGATGTATGCTGAACATTATTCAGGAAAATGACCTACAGCTTAATCTTAAAATTCTTCACTTCTTAACAAAGGACCATCTCTTAGAGAATCAAGAATGGTCTTTCCTATTGCTCTTAGAATTTATGAATTATCTTTTGAAGATCAACAGTGCTATTTCATAATCAAAAACTCATGGTGAATCAAAAGTTATTTTTTGACATCATGTGTGATATGAAAGTACATAAAAATAGCAATGCCTTATTTACATGTTTTAGTCTCAACTTCAAAGAAAGAAGTGAATTAGAAAATTCAGAAGGATAATCCATACCTCGGGCTGACCCAGGGCAACAAATAAAGCTCGAATTTCCTTGAGTATTAAAACGGACAGTTTGCGTGTGGCCACCTGGAAACTGCAGAGTAAAACCAGAGCAAAGCCTTCTACAGCGTGAAGAACACTGCAGTGGGGGCCTCGTTCTGACTGGATTCTGTGGCTGGAGCCATTTGCAATTAGCTGTTGGGCAATAAGAACACATTTGATATTTAGAAAAATAACAGTGAAAGAAGAAACTACTCATATGTGCATCTTTGAGCATGTGTGACCTCATGATATTAAAATTAATTGCAATGGCTTACAACCAGACACAACTCTAAATTCATAATTATTCATGACATACCATAGAACCCTTTTTTTGTTAGATTAATTGTTACTCTGGAATACCGTCAACCATCTGCTACCTCTGATAAGAACTAACTTGCAAAGGCTATTAATATTGGTAAGAACAAAATTGCTTCCATCCGTATACTACTTGAGATTACACCATAAATTTAGCCGAAGTGGCCTAATTTGTTTTGACTCAGATTCCCTATGGACTTTTGGATACCATACAATTGAATTTTCAAACATTTCCTTTCTAATCACACTTGCTTCCTTGTTTCTTGAGTTCGATTTTAACCTAGGTGTGTGTACATTTATGAGATGGGTTCTGAAAGTTCCCAAGCCACAACCAAGTGAGCCTAAAATAAAAGCAAGCTGGACAACATGGCAGATTCCACATCCATTTCAGTTTTCCTTTGAGGAGCTCACATAACTCTTGTTTTTCCACCTATTAGCCTTTAGCATGTGTACAATCCAAGGAAAGAGGAATGATCTAGAATCTGGGATCCTGGCCATCTCCTCAGTGCTGTTGTACTTCCCTGAGCCTCCACGTGCCTCAAACTCTCACTGGTGCTCTTCCTCTGCCAGGCCCTTTCTCCATCTCCTCATTGCCAGTGTTAAGTCACCACTGCCCTCCTCTGACACTTCTCCATAATCTGCTCTTCAAATTTTAGCATTTAGGACTGAGGTGGGAAGGAATAAAAAAATCCTAAGTCTGCATTTTCTGTTCTGTGGATATTGGACAATGCAATCAATGGGCTAGGAAAACAACAAAAAAACTGGTGGGTTACTAACTTTTAGATATGCATGTCCACATCCAGTTCGATATGCATATCCATACCCAGCTCTATATCCATGTTTATAATCACCTGTTCTTAGGGATTTATAATCATAACTCTCTGAAAAAAGCAATTTCTATTCCCTGAATGGCCTTTTGAATGATGACAAATCTAACCTGATGACATAGCAACCCTGAGTTTCTTGGTCACAATTTATACAAGATGGAAAAATTAAGGGCCACCATCAGGGAGAAAGTTCCTAGGTGGCTGGAAGTAAGAACTCCAAAGGTTCTCCGAGCTGCAACTTATTTATACATACATGATATTAGGGAATATACATTTGTGGGTCTAGAGTGCGAGAATCACCTCTGAATTTCTGATCTTGTTGGCTTGTTCATAGGCTTTTCCATGAGTTTGTATGACCAGTTTCCATTGGGTGAGCAGCTGGAGCAGTAACTTCAGGGATGAATCAAGGAGCGTATGATGCATATCATTGACTTCCCGGAGTAGGAAGTTGGTAAAACCAAACAGTACATCTTCCCTCCAGTCTGAGAAGTCAACAAGTAAACCCTGAAGGGAATTTTGTGCAATATGTCGCAGCTCATCGTCCATATGAATAGAGAGCCTGTGAAATGAGTAAAAGACAATAAAAGCCTTTATTAACTTTTCTTCTAGATCTGTGATGGAACACATACAGCTCTCTGTTTTTATTTGGGTCTCAAAAATGGATCACCCTCTGGTCTAGTCTTCATTCAGCTTCCCTAATGTTGACACCTTATACAACCACGGTGGCTTTATCAGAGCTAAGGAATTAACCTGGGTGCAATGCTATTAAGTAAACTATAGATTTTATTGAGATTTCACCTGTTTTTCACTAATGTCCTTTTATCTCTTTCAGGATTGAATCTAAAATATTACCTGACATTCTGCTATATCTGAATACTTTTTAATACAATGTTGACTACAGAATAAATTAGTATCACACCCTATCACTTTTAAGGACAGGAAAACTGAGAAGCAAAGAAACTAAGGGACTCACCCAGAAGTTCAGTGAATTAAGGGTCAGATCAATGGTCTGTAATTGGTTTTGTCCCACCAAGGGATATTTGAGACATTATTGATTGCCACAACTCAGACAGTGCTACTGGCATCTCTCTAGTAGGTAGAACCTACTGATGTGGTTAAACATCCTAAAATGCACAGGACAACTTCCCTACAACAAAAAATTATCTAGACCAAAGTGTAGATAGTGTCAAAGTGGAGAAAACTCAAGTCAACTGAAGAATACTGGGTATTGGTAGCATAACCTAGAATACTATAGTAATATTAAATCTTGACATTGGTATGAGCCATCACAGTTAATGTCATGTTTTATAGATTCTTTTATTCATTTGGATTCATTTTATTTAAGAAACAAATATTTTTGAGACTCTCCTGAAATTCAGACACACAACCCTTCAGATATGGAGTTCAGTATGGCATGTCTATTGGGCGAGGTGCTTGCAGAAATGAGGGGTGAGATGGTGCTGGAGAGGAAGCAGGGGCAGCTCGGGGAAGTGTCTGTGGGCCACCCTGGAGGCAAAACAGTGGGGAAGTAGTTAAGGGTATGTGCTCTGGAATCAGAATGCCCATATCAGTGTCTTGCCTCTGTCACTAACTTACCTATGTGATCTCGTGCTAGTCAGTCAATGGCTCTAAAGTCTCAGAGCCTCATTTGGAAAATGAGGACAATAAGTGTACTTGCATTGCATAAACTTGTGAGGTTCATGAAGTTGACCCGCATACAATGTGTAGCACCACACTGAGTGTAGCACTCAGTAATTGATAACTATTTCTGTGGGGAAAAAAATGAACAGTATCTTGAAAGTTGTAAGGGAAATAACATGATTAGATTCAAATCCGAAAAAAAAAATAGGCAGGAATATGGAGGATGCCTTGGAGAAGCAACCAGATTTGGGGTAGAGACAAGCTAGGAGGTCACTGCAGTGACTTAGGCAACAAATGGAGTTGGGGGGCTGACCCAAGGCAGAGGAGAAATAGAAAGGGAGACAATTCAAAGGTACTGAAGAGATAGAATTTCCAGCACTCAGCAGCCTGGAGGTGTTCAATGTCAGAGAAGAAAATGGCTGAGTCACTGGGGGCCCCCACAAACAGGGCAGGTATTATCCTCAACGAAGGGAAGAAAACACTGGGATCCAGATTGGTGTAGGAACTTGCTCAAAGTGCAGGATTCCAGCCCAAGACTTCTAACTCTTAAGCCAGTTTGCTGCATTAAACAAGTCTGGTATAGTCCTCTGTTTTTGAATAAACATGATTTTAAAACTTGAAAAGCAAATACCTTTCTTCTTCTCTGAAGCATAAAGCACACTAATTGGTCCACATTTGACAATATAAACCAGGCAAAAAGCTCTCTAATGAACAGATATATATCAAGTCAGGGAAAATATATTTTCTGTTCCAAAAGCAAGTGACGTTCAACAAAGATGCTGAGAAGGAAGATCTAAGCTGATTTTTTAAGGTTAGACTTTAGCCATTAAGTCTAGAGTTCTTATGGGGGTCACAGTTGCGAAAGGAAAATGTAGAGATCTTTACCCTGGGCTTCCAATGAAGGACTGTCTATGGCAGAAATTTACAAGCTTTCTTTGTGTTTCAATTGGCAGCTCTATTTCCCCCCCCCCAAACCTTTAAGTATAACTCTACTACATAACACACAAAATCTGAGTTGCAACTGGGGAAAGGGACTGAAGTCCACCCATTTGGGAGGAGACATTGCTCTATAAGCACCATTGAGTCATTTTGCAGGTTTAAAAAACACTAGTTTATTAAAAAAAAAAAAACACTAGTTTATAAAAAAAAACACTTGAAGTCATCTTCTCATCTTAAGTTCATTATTTCTATGTATTATATTTATACCAATCTGTGGTCCTGAATGTTTTAGAGAATAAGTTTCTATAGATGATGAACCTCCTTTAGGACAGGAAGGACAGGTACCCAATAAATATTAAATGATGGTAACATGCCAGTGCAGAGGGTTCTGGAGGCCCTGTTTTCAGTGATCTAGAGGGGGTGAGTTGTGTGATCACAAGGGCATGTGCTATTCCCACAAATTCTTATTGAATAAGTAAGGATTTGCGTTAAAAGGGGGAATAACCAGAATTTAGCAAGGCCACCTTCTTGGTTGGTCAGATTAGACAAATGGCTTTTAGAGGAAAATGCTTTCATAAAGATGAGCTTCGGATTAACATGGGATCAGTTTAGTACTCTTGAGTGATTTTTGCTGTGGGCAGGTACACAAATCAGAAGGGAGTGACTTCAAATTCAAAAACTATATCCAGAAGAAAAAGATCCATTAGGAGAAACAGCCTCTTCTAACTATGGCAGAATAAACAAAGGGTATTAGGAAGATATGGGAACACACTGCCCTATAACATCGTCAAGGGCAGCAGACACAGTTTTAAAGTCAAGCCCAGGAGACAATGGTTTTCAAAAGGAGGGATCTACTGACAGGTGGATGGCTAGCCTTTGGAACAGTTCACCAGAAGTGGTTGGAATGTCTTCTATGCAGGTATGAAAGAATGAACTTCCATCTATGTACAGTGTTCTGAACTGCATTTCAATTAAAATAAAATAAATTAAAATTAAGGTAATTAAGTGGTTTATTGAGGTAATATATGCAGTTGAGACTATAGTTCTCAGCTACTCAAACTAAACAGCCACCTTCCACTATACAGATATATACCGAAAAGTGAATGGTAAATGGTAAACAACAGATATTTTTCAGGTACCCCAGAAGATCATGGAATTGTGTATGCCTTAGCTCATAAATTGCCACAAATTAAAAGGAGACACTGCATAAAAAGTATTTATCTGCCTCAAACCAATGACATTTGTCATTGCCATTTGGCTTCAGGAAAATTCTGTACATTTGAGCAACCGACTTTACTTTTTTTTTATTTTTTTTTATTTTACTTTTCTGAAGTTCAAATCACCTTCTCTGAAATAGGAATAAATATGTGCCCAGCTTTCTTAACATAATGTGTATGAAAACGCATTGTACATCATGGCATAATCTGTTATTCAAATGTAAAGATGCCTAAAAACAATAACTAACATTTGCTGAGAGCTTACTGTGTTCTAGGCACTATGTGAAGTGATTTATATGCATTATTTGATTCTCACAACCTTACAACAAATTGTTCAAAGGGGAGGCCTGACGCTGAACAGCATATGTAGCCCTGCGGGAAGTGACAGAGGACAGGAGCCTCTAGACTGTTGAGGGAAAGGTCCTTCCTGTGGTCAACAGACAGAGCAGGAAACATTTGGGAGGACAGTAAGAGAAAAATGATGCCTATGGCCAAGGACACGAGTAAGCTCCCTCCTATGTGGAGAATCTCGGGAGCACCCAGACAACTGGGAAAGGGTGGGCTCTGTGAGAGCAGGAAGGAAATCCTCCCCAGGGATCTTGCCATGATACCAGGATCGCCTGTGTAACTTCCATGAAATCTGAGTAGAAAGATTCCCCATCCTTGGCCATTAGAAGTGGGCTGAGCAATATACATAAAATCAGAAATGTAGTAGCTTGGACAGAGGAGTTTGCCAGTTCATTCCATATAACACTATCTTGCTAAACATACTAACAGAAGTCTGAAGTTAGAGTGTCTGTGATATTTAGCCGTTACCTGAAATGTCAGGAAGGGGCCTTGGGGACAGTCAAGTGGGATATATCCTTGAAACTCCTTATTCAGGAACTGAGCTGGGGTGGGGGCATGACCTGGCATGAATGTTGGTCTTATTTTGCCAGTTATAAAGAAAACTGTGGGGCACCTGGGTGGCTCAGTCAGTTAAGCATCTGCCTTCAGATTAGGTCATGATGCCAGGGTCTTGGGATTGAGCCCCACATCACCGGGGAATCTGCTTCTCCCTCTCCCTCTGTCTCTGCCCCTGCTCAAGCTCGCTTTCTCTTCTCTCTTTCAAATAAAATCTAAAAAAAAAAAAAAAGGAAAGAAAAGCAAATTTTCTCCAGTGACAACATACCATGGATGTAACCAAGAGACATCTGAACAAAAGTGTCTCATATCTCTTAGACTAGACTGTATATTGTCTCAGGAGTGAACTCAGTCCAAATGTGAATGGACTATGGGGGAATAAGGTAACTATAGGCTTGAAAACCACATTTATTGCTGTTGAATTTCTTCATTTTGTTCTCTGACCTTCTCAAGATCTGAGAGGTCAACAGGACCCAGTATGTAGGTCGAGTACTCCATTATCTTTCTCTTGAGGAGAACAGCCTCCAGCTTTTTTTGGAGGGTTTTATGGAAAAGGCCTCTTCATTGGCTTCCCATATAAGTACAGTCTTGATTTTTAAGCCTTGAACTCTGAAGAATGTTATTACTCTTTCCCCTCATAAAAACAGTAACCATTGCTTTGAGCTCTGTAAGAATGTACATAATAATAAACACGATGCACCATAAATAGCATTGACATTCCAACCATGTCTAACAGAATCCCTTCTGCATGCCTGGCACCATGGTCTACAGATCCAGGCGTCACTGGATTTGGTGATCAGAGTAATTCCAGAGGAAGTGTCTTGTACACAGAGTCACAGAGAAATAGCATCTGAGATTGTACCTGAATACTGCATGACATTTAAAAAACTTAGTATTTCAAAGGCCGAGTGCACATCACCATCACCAATTAGAACTTCACTGACATCAGGGAACTTTCTTTCTACTTCAATTTAATGGATAACTGCTTTTTTCCCTGCTGACATATTTTCCCTGGGATTAACCAAAGTGCACATCTATGAAAGTGCACATGTAGCCTTCTGAATAGTCTTAGGAGATAGGCAGTATTATTCCAATTTTATTAAGGAGAAAAGTCTGATTAAATTATTTGTCTAGATCACATGGCTGGCAAAATGGCAAAAGCAGAGATGCAAAATTTAGGATTTCCAAAGAGTTCCATTTCATTCTCATTTTTCGGCATTTCCTCCAAATCTCTCAGATGGTACTCTCTTTCTCTCGTTACCTAGTGGCTCACAGGTCATGAGGAGAGGTCCGCTGTCTCTTAATTTCTGATGGCCACATCTAGTCTCTTTACTCAGCAACCTCTCCCCTGTGCACACTTGACTCCTATTTACCCACCCCCTCCACTGCTATCCCTGCACATCAACGGGCTGCTCACTCTTACATTTCTGGGTACCCTTCACACCTGGCATCTGCCTCTCAACATTTCCTTACTCTGTCTTAGCCAGCATCTTGGGAGACTCAATATTATGGTATCTTAGCCTCCTATTCTGCAGCTTCCCCCACTCCCAAAGCACCATGTTTCTTATTCTTTGGGAATCTACCCCTTGTTCCTCTTTAGATCTTCTCACCCAGAGCTGGAAGCCCCATTGTGACTCAGGCTTACATTTCCCTTTTTTCTGCTCCTTCCTCACTTCCAGTGAATATTCTCTTCCCTCACATTCTCGTCGTTAGGCTGCAGCAAAAGCCTAGGCTGCAATTTTTTAAAAACTTTATCATCTTCTTAAAATACATCCCAAACATGGAATGGCAGAAAGAAGGATCCACAGAACGTAGGTTGCTGATTACAGGAAAGAAGAGGGTCCAGGTAGCAGTGACCAAACCCAGCTAGAAGGCTGGATGGTTTTGGTCAGAGAGCAACAGGGTTTGAAACCGTGGTTTTCAAAGTCATGGTCAACCTCACAATCCAGCACTAGCCTGTGCCAGTGATGATTGGCAGAAGGAAATGTTCAGCTGTGTTTATGCTTGGAGGACAGAAGGCTGCAAATGATACTAACTGATCTCAGGGAGTGATCAATGGGACTTTCAACTGGCCGTCCAGAGCAGAAGGTATGATGACCACAATAACCAGGAGCATGATGCTCCTCAGAGATACTCTGAAGCTGTGGGGCAGCCTTGGCGGTCTGCAGTCATGTGGGACGAGGGCTTGGGTTATTTCATTTGAATATTGATGGATATAGCCCTCTCCGAGGGCTAGCAAATATGGGTAAACGAAGTCATGCGTAATGTATTTTTCAATCAGCATTAATATTTATTATCCTTCTCTGGGCTCTCTTCTATTCCACCATTATCAGATTAACCAGCCTAAAATATTTTTTTATCACATTACTCACTTGCTTAAAACTCCATCGGTCCAAATGTCTCAGCTAATAGTATAGATTAGCTGAAAATCTACCTCTCCAGTCTTATTTCTAGGTCTTATCATTGGCTTTCTAAATTTCCTTTCTTTCTTTTTTAAAAATTCAAATAATTAAGGATGATTTTGTTCTTCCTCATTCCATTTCCTTCATGCACCTCATATTTCTAATGATTTCATATTCTAAATTGCTTTTAAGTAATGTCACTTTTGATTTTTAATTAAAGACAATGAACTAGGGGTGGTGGAGGGGGAGGAGGGCGGGGGGTGGGGGTGAATGGGTGACGGGCACTGGGGGACACTTGACGGGATGAGCACTGGGTGTTATTCTGTATGTTGGTAAATTGAACACCAATAAAAATTAATTTATTAAAATTAAAAAAAATAAAGACACATGTAACTGTCAACTAGAACTTCAACACGAGAAAAACAACACATTTCAGTAAAATGACCTCATTTTGCTCAAAGCAAATTAACTTGAGGTTCTTCTAGTTGAATGGTGCATTCTCACGGACAATGTTGGGAGGGTGATAAATATGACTTTTGGCAGCTTTCTGAAGCACTAAAATTAGCTAAGGACCCCCATCATGTACCTTCTTGGCCCCCTGGAGGTCTGTGGGTATCAGAATGGGAATCAGACCCTAAATGAACTCTTCTCCAGGCAGACTTACGTCCTCATTTCCCAGCCCCACCTCTGTGACTTTGCTCATGTCACTCTTCCTTCCTGAGTCCTGTTTCAACTTCCACCTTCTCCAAAGACACTGATTGGCTGACTTCCTCAGTCCCCAGTAATTCCCCTATCCACTGAACTCACATGTATCACACTTTTTGTGCCATTAATCTGCACAATTTCAGACCTTACATTGTTAGTTACCTTATGTGCTTATGTATTTGCTTCTATATTGGATTTTAAGCCCCTAAAACATTGGGAACAAAAACAAAAAAAATTTTTTATTCCTCCTTGCCTATCTGTAGTTCTGACAATAATGCCTCATTGAGTAAATATCTGTCAGTTTTTAATAATCATTCAATTTTCTTTCTTTCTTTCTTTCTTTCTTTCTTTCTTTCTTTCTTTCTTTCTTTCTTTCTTTCTTTCTTTCTTTCTTTCTTTCTTTCTTTCTTTCTTTCTTTCTTTCTTTCTTTTCTTTCTTTCTTTCTTGAATCATGACAAAGGATTATGATCAATTTAATCAAATACACCCACGGCAGTTCTCACTTACCTAGCCAGCAAGTCAATAAGTTCAAGTTTTGACATCCCATCGGGAAGCAGTCGAGGGATAGCAGCAACACAGGTTCTGAAAAGATCTATTTTTGGCTTTCTCTCACCCCTTTAATTTGAAAACAAACAGGTCAAAGGCTATAAAAAGTTTTTAAAAAATCAATCAAATATGTGACAAAAGACTAGAATCTATGCCTTCTGAATCACTGCGTGGTGTTTACTGTGTATTACTCTCAAATGTTTCTGATCTTTATAGCTTGGTCAGTTCTAAGAGTATTCACAAAGATTTGAGAAATGCCAATGTCAACAGAATTCTATCATACAGTTTGCTATTCATTTGGGTTCCACGGAGTTTGGTTCCTGTGGACTGCATTTAAAACACTGACTTTACTAGCATGCTAAATGCATCAGCATGTAACACATACATTGCACTCATTCCTACATTCAGCATTTAAAAATAGGATTTTTAGCATATACAAAGAATAGTGCCTCTTATAAGCATGACATCTGGAAGCTTCTCTCCCTAGTGAGTTATGCTTCTACTCTAGAGTCCCCATTATTTTAAAAATTAAGTGTTTCCAAAAATAAGTCTTTCTAATGTCAAGTAAAATCCTGAAATGTATATATAGTTGTGCAATTGTGATTTTTAAAATTACACTGATGAGCCTGACCTCTATGGAGGTTCCTTCCCTCTTTTTATTGTCTTGAGAAGATAAATGCTTAAATATAATTAATGTCTTCTGTATTATGTTGTAAAATCTGAAGGAACACTTAATTTTTGATAAACTATTTTGATTTTTAGTTGTTTAAATAGTAACTGATTCTTAACCACATATTTTATCAATAACCGTTATGAAAAAACTAAAATACCCATCAAATCCTTCAAGGAACTTAGGTGATAAAATATAACAACATATTTAATTAAGTTCTGATAATTCAATCTTCTGAGAATATAAAACTGTCATGAAATTAGTGCTATTGTAGGACACAAATACAATGATGAAAATGTAAAGTAGTATATATTCTTGGGATAGTAGCTGTGGTCAGGATAGATATGCAGCAAGCAGAATCCACCCTCCCTATAATCAGACAGCAATTCTGCTCTGTGACATTACTTTTTAGCCTGACTTTGTCTAACTCTGTTTTTGCAGAAAGTTGTAGGATTATTTTCTTCCCTTTTCCATGGTCCTTTCTGCATAGAATGTATGAGGACTGGAGAAGGAGACATTGCACAGTGGTGTTTAATCTGCTGAAGGAAAGAGAAGTCTTCAGGTGACATCCTCAAATAGCTGAGTGATGGCTCCTAGTTTTTCATTTGCAACATGGTGAGTCCTTTAAATAGTTCTCCTAGCTTGCTCACCAGATGTTTTGCAAAGCTGGGATTATTTTCATATTTGTTGGAAAACAGATGACCCTGTTGACCTGAATTTGTAAGGCAAATTCTGCCAGGCTTCCAAGCTGATAAAAGAAGCCTAGATTAGAAACTCTAATGGGTACATGATTTCCTTTTATTACTGTAGTCCTTGCTCTCTGGGCTATTAAAGATTCATTTATTTATTTTAGAGAGTGAGAGCAGGGATAGGAGTGGGGGGAGAGGCGGGGGGAGGGAGAGAGAAAACTTCAAGCAGGTTCCTTGCTGAGTGCAGAGTCTGACACAATCCTGAGATCATGACCTGAGCCCAAATCAAGAGTCAGACACAACTGAGTCATCCAGGCTCCCCTCTCTGGGCTTTTATAGGAAGGAAGTGAATCCCCCAATAACATCATTTTATTAACAGATATTGTTATTATTTGCTGTCATGTATGACAGAAGGGATGAAGAATGGAAATGAAGCAACCATAGAATGCTAATGTTCAAGTTTATACCTCAAGAAGGATGCAGGAAAATAGAGGACTGAGTAACAACTCCAATGATGGTTTCCAATAGTATGGTGTGGACCTCAGTACATAAGCATTTGTTTCTCCCAAATGCTTATGTTGCTTTAATGTTTCTTTTTGTCTTTGGGAAATGTAGCAATGAGTTATTTCTCACTGGAGGATCGGTCTTAAAATGTAGCAAGGAAAGTATTCTAGCTCTATATGGGGGTCTTAAGATGACTGAATAGGGAAAAGTAATGAAGCATCTTGGAAAACCTTTAAGGTATTGGTTAAAATACAAACAAAATGTTTACACTTCTATTTAAACCTGTATCTTTTTTTTTTTTTTTGGTTTTGAATATATTGTTTTGGTTCCAACCCTATCTTACGATTCTTGATTAAAAATATAGTTTTCCTTTAAAAGTCTTTCTTTACTATTTTTAGGGGAAACAACTACAATGCAGAAGTTTTAAAAGCATTTCTTGTATCTTCTACATTATCAATTTAAAATTGCTTTAATATATTCAAAAAGTATGTACTAATGAGGGTAAAGGTTGCTATCTAGCAGCTTGTGAGGTAAGAACTGGAGCTGGTGACAATACATCTAATGTTACTCATCTTGGTCAATTTCAATTTTTATGGTTATTTAGGGTGAAACCTAAAGCAATGTGATCACTTAAATCAAATGAATGGCAAGCTGCAGGATAATATATGTTATATGATCCCATTTTTTGTGCAACAAATGCATATCTTGGTTTTGACATAGGGAAAGTTCTGGAAGGGATCACACAGGATTAAGAAGGGTCATAGATATCAAGTGGAGCTCTGAGGAGGGGTTTTCATTTTAACTTTATATACTGCTAAAAATGCATTTAAAATAATTCTGTATGTTTTACATTGTTTATTATGTATTGTTTTGTTTCGCCATACTTCATATTTCACATGCTGCCACTCTAATAAAAATACACACCCACGATATGAATTTTCCCATATCTGACTAACTGTGGTATTTAGAACTGAAGATGCTGAGGAACAAAGGAGGCTTTCCCAATTATATTTTTGGAAAATTATGCCACAGGTGCCAAATAGAATTTAATTCATAGTCCAACAACAAAGTCTGAATCTTCTTAAAATGTGAAGTTGTAACCTAATCCTAGTTCCTGCCATAATGAATCAAAAGCAGCAAACTCAAGTTGTGTGAGTTTCTTCTGCAGAACTCTACGTACAAAGCTACATCTTAGAGTTTGGCTAAGAACATTTGATTTCTACATTCAAAACTATAAATTGTTTTTGTTTTTAAGATCCCGTATTGCTATGACATGGTTGCCTAGAGATGATTAGGCACATTTAACTCTCACAATTCAGAAATGGTCACTAGAAAAAGTGAATTTGAAATTTATAAAGATGAACTGTCTGTAAACAGGTGATGTCACTCTAGCACACAGGCTGTGACAGAGCTTGGTAGCAAGATACCACTTCTGACAAACGTGGACCAGTGAAAGAGTCTTGGGCTCCATTTTCCAACTTACTGGCATAATGATACTTGAGATACAACCAAAATAGATCAATCTCAGGTTTGACCTTATTTTTAGAGTTAGTCAAATACTGTCAAAATACATTTTTACTATCCTTAATAATTCTTAGAACTCTGATGCTAGGAAGGGGAGAATAAAATACAGAATAAGTGGGAAGAACAAAGGAGAAAAATCTTTGATGGTACATTTTGAGTAATTAATCCTTCATTAAAAACTTAGCTCTCACTGTACTCACGTGATCATGTCTTCAGGTTCTTTATTTAGCATCTGAACATTCGTTAGCATCATACACCTTCCTACTTCTTTATCAAGATGCCTTAAAATGTTGTCCACAGCTTTTCGCACTTGAGAGTAATATAATGACATGCCTAGAAAACATGCATTATAGCGACATCTTTGACTAAATCCATCAAGGAGTAAAATCCTAACCATCTATGGGTCAATGACTTCAATAAGCAGATCCTAACTCAATCCCTTTTCCACAGAACTGTTAGCATAGTGTTCTGAACTTGTTGGGTGCTCACCAAATAATCATTTAAATTTTATAAATGGGAATTCTAATACTTAAGAGGAATTATTTTCCAGAAGAGTTGAATAAAAAAGAAAGTCTTACTTTTGAATTTTTATGCTTTTGGATACTACAGAAAATTCACCATCATTACTGATTGTGTGAATAAAAATTCTCACTTAGGGTTAGGATTGTAATAACTTTATTCTCAAATATATGTGTGAATTTTTTTAGTAAAATAAAAATGACTCACATCATAAATTTTAAAATGAAGGAAATATATTTTAGCTATAGAACTTTTACTTCTCTCATTTTATACAGGGTCAGTGTCCCACTATGGAAAACAAATATGTATAGCCTATGGATTTCATGTATGTATATGCATTTTATTTCTTTACGTATATAATACAAATGAAAAGCAAATTGCTTTGTATTTAAAATTCGTACTTTAATAAAATAATTATTGATTATTTCAGATGATTATATCCTTCTTTTCTTTTTCTTTTTTTTCATTAAATCTTTCTGAACTCATTTAAGCATTGTCTATTTAAAAACAAATATTTTAAAATGAAAAGTCTCCTTAAGTTTCCTTCAGGTCTTTGACATCAAAATTATTTTAACAAAGGTTGTGGTTGGTTTTGAAATTCTAGTTTTTGACAAGAAAGAAATCATCTCTTTGGGTTAAGATAGCTAAACTAAAAAGAAAATAATCCTATGTAGGCTAGACCCACAATATAACATGGCATGTGTGGGATCTGGAATGTTTAAAACATAGATTAAACTAATTTTACTGAAAAAAAGAGAAAGGAACTATAAAGATGAACGAACTAACAAATGAATATTTATATGGTCGCTTTATAAACAGGATAATCTACCAAAGGATACAGCTGGCTTAGAAATTTACTGTAAAATGTAGATAATCAATACTAGGAGTTTGGAAAGACCATGATAAAAGTCTAACATTTAAATGGCAAAATGTTTACCAGGAAGTTCCAGAAAGTTTAAAGGGCAGTAAAACAAAGCACAGAATGAATCAATCAAAACAATTAATGTTGGAATGCCTCACCAGTTACTTCTATAAAATTTTTTTTTAGCAGTACATCTCACTAAGGGTAAGTATCCATTGGTCATTAGAGGGGCTCTAACACGTCTTTGAAACCCACCTATCATTTTGGCTTCTTCTTCAGTTAGCGTTTTACTCAAATATGTTTTCTTCACTCTCAGTGTGTTTCCTGATGGGAGAACAGCTCCTGTCACCGGCATGGGAGGCTCACCATCTTTCTGCTGCAAGCTATCGGCTATTACTAAGAATGCCCGTAAACCAATGTTCATTCTCTGTAAGAGATAATGTGCTCATGATAAAAAGAAAAACCCAATTATTGTAGTTCAATTAAACCATTAGTCTTTGAGAGAAGTTAGCATGGCTTGCTATCCAGATTAGTATGAGCAAGTAATTTAAAAGGCTCAAGACGGGCAGCCCCCGTGGCTCAGCAGTTTAGTGCCTCCTTCAGCCTGGGGTGTGATCCTGGAGACCCGAGATCCAGTCCCACATGAGGCTCCCTGCATGGAACCTGCTTCTCCCTCTATCTTTGTCTCTGCACACACCCCCCCCATAAATAAAAAAAATAAAATCTTAAAAAATAAATAAAAGGCACAAGACTTTAGGCCAAACCTATGAATGTAAAATTGTGGTTTCTGTCACTGTTTCTTGGTGCATCACAAAAAAACAACCAGAAAGATTTTCATCCCACTCGGAGGGGATGTTTGAAATGGTCATACTCATGCTGTTTGGGAAATCCTGGTGCACCTCAGAGGGCACAGCAGCCAGCCTCTGAAGCAGCTGTAACTAAAATAAACTACGCAAATGAGGGACTTATATGTCCCCTGAAGGGAGAGAGAGAGATGCCACACATGTTAATTCACAAAGACCTGATGAAAACAATAGGAATTCCAATGTGAATCACAAAACAAAAATGGCCTGCTCTGAATTGCCGGATGATGACTCCATTCAAAAAGACTGGCAAGTTTGACTTCTCCTTCTGCCTGTGTCTCTGCCTCTCTCTCTCTCTCTGTCTCTCATGATTAAATAAATAAAATCTTAAAAAAAAAGACAGGCAAGTTTGATAATGAGTTTTAAAAATTCAGTGCCACTGAACTTGTTACTTATCAAAACACGTGAGCTTATAAGAAGAAATGCCATTCTGGGCCAGATTGTTATCTTCCTCGGGCTCAGGTAAGGCATAATATTGGCTTTGCAGCAATGTCTTAAAAGGTCAGAAGGTACTAAAACATCTGTACTTCCTTAACAGCCACGTGTATCACATGTATTTATACCCTTATTTTCATGAAGTAATATATGAATACATATTATTTAAAGTAATAAGTTTCTGTCGCTGTTTCTTGGTGCAATTGCAATTTTGCAATGTTTCTAATGTTTCTAAAGTAGGCTACTACCTACAGCAGCAAATAATACTTATCACTACCAACAATGATAATCTAGTTACAATTTAGTGAGTCCCTAAAATGTATCCAGAATTGCTCTCTTGGCTCATTAACTCTCACTTTTAAAACAGCCATGCAAGGAATGTATAATTAGTTCCATATTTCAGGTGAGGGCCATATAAGTAGCAGGTGGAAAGCTGTACATGTAAGTCAGATTTGTCTAAATTGTCTATTTTGTGGCACATGATTACATTCTATAACAAAAAGTAATATAGACTTCTATTGATTTTAAAACTATTTATTTAAGCCTTAAGGAATAATGATATTTCAGCCAGGATTTGGTGAATATTTCTCTGGCTAATTTGTACCAATGCAACGTGTACTTTATGGTTTTATAGCCTTTAGTGATATTCTCTTTCCAGTTTCTAGAATGAAAGAATATTAACTTTAAAAAATTCAACTATGTATGAAAGTCCATTCATTTACTCATTTATTTTAGCAGTTCATGAACTGTGTTCTACGCTTGTATATTTTTCTCAAGACACAGCAATGTTTTGGGTGAGGAAGTAGGAAATGCAGTATCAGTAGAACAACCCTGGATTGACGTAAACGGTCAAGCGTTAATTATTTGCAAGTGGCATATCCAGTTTATGAACCACCCCGGCCAGTTTTCTCAGTTTTCCTTCCCTCTGGATAACACTAAGGGCAGAGGTAAGATTGGATAGTTTGGGACACATATTTTCAACTTAATGTTATAAACAATTTCTTTTGGTATTTTATATAGTTCTGTATAATATCTCTCTTTTTTATTATTTGTCTGGTCTTAAGAAATTACTTAACTTTTCCAAGTCCAAGTCCCAGCTTCCTTTCTATAAAAGGAGGGTAATAATACCTACTGATCATACAGGGTGGTGAGGAATAGTGCCTGAAAAGTTCTTGTTGGTAATTATATATTTGTAGGTTAGAATCTTCACTTTATTTTTTTTAAGATTTATTTATTTATTCATGAAAGACAGAGAGAGAGAGAGGCAGATACATAGGCAGAGGGAGAAGCAGGCTTCCCACAGGGAGCCTGATGCGGGACTTGATCCTGGATCCCATGAGCCAAAGGCAGATGCTCAACAATGAGCCACCCAGGCGTCCCTCCATTTTATTTTTTAATGTCAAGTTTATTGAAACATAATTCACACAGAGTAAAACACACTCTTTTCAGTTGTACAGTTCTTTGAATTTCAAGAAATCTATATAGTCAGGTAACCGCTATCACAGTCAAGATATAAAATTATTTCCATCATCCCCAAAAAGTTCCCTTGTGCCTCTTTACAGTCAGTATGTCACCCAACCCAGCATCTGACAATCATTATCTAATTTCTGCCTTATTGTTTTGCTTTTTTCTGAATGGAATCAAACAGTACATAGCCTTTTGTGTCTTTCTTCTTTCATTTAGCATTAAGTTTTTGAGATGCTGCAAAATTCGTAGTTTGTCCCTGTTCATTGCTGAATGGTATTCCACTGTACTGATGATGTGCAGCTTGTTTAGCCATTCACCAGCTGTTGAACATGAACTGCTTTCCTATTTTTAGTGACTAGCTGCTATAAATATTCACACAAACCTTTTTGGGCTTTTGGAGTTTTAATTTATTTGGATCAATACCTTGAGGTAGAAATGTTGGATCATACGGTCAGGTGTACGTTTAATCTTAAAAGAAACTGCCAAACTCTTTTCTAAAATGATTGTCCTTTTGCATTCTCACCAAAGTCGTATGAAGTTCCAATTGCTCCATATCCTTCTCAGTGCCTCTCACTATGGTTTTAATGAGCATCTCTCTAATGACTAATGAAGTTGAACATCTTTTCATAGGTTTATTGGTCATTTGTATTTCATCTTTGGGGATGAGGCTCTTCATTTTGCCCACTCAAAAAATTGGGTTGTTTATTTTCTTACTGTTGGGTTGTGAGAGTTCTTCATATTCTGGATACAAATGCTTTTTCAATATGTATTTGCAAGTATTTTTGCCCAGTGGTTCTAAATCTTAATGATGGTATCTCTTAATGTGCAGGCATTTTTAATGTTGATGTTTATCAATTTTTTCTTTTGTAATTTTATGATTTTTGCATCCTAAGAAATTTTTGCCCACCCAAAGATCACAAAGATTTCATCTTCTATTTTATTCTAGAATGTTTATAACATTGGATTTTACATTTAGGTTTATAATTCATTTTGACTTAACTTTTGCTTACTGTGCAAATTCTGGGCCAAAGTTCATTATTTTGCAAGTGGATGTCCAATGGTCCAGCACCATTCATTGAAAAGACAACCCTTTATCCACTGAAATAACTTGAAAATGTTGTTGAAAATAAATTGATCATATATGTGTGGATCTATTTATGGATTCTCTATTCTGTTGATTGGTCTTTACATTCACTCCTCTGACAGTATGATACTACTGCAGCTTTACAGTATTTTTGAAACCAGGATATGCCAGTCCTCCAGTTTTACTCTTCTTTTTCAAAATTATGTTGGCTATTCCAGTTCCTTATATTTTCCATATAAATTTTATTTATTTATTTATTTATTTATTTATTTATTTATTTATTTATTTATTTTATTATTTTTTTTTTAAATTTTTATTTATTTATGATAGTCACACAGAGAGAGTGAGAGAGAGAGAGAGAGAGGCAGAGACATAGGCAGAGGGAGAAGCAGGCTCCATGCACCAGGAGCCCAACGTGGGATTCGATCCCGGGTCTCCAGGATCGCGCCCTGGGCCAAAGGCAGGCACCAAACCGCTGCGCCACCCAGGGATCCCCCATATAAATTTTAGAATCAGTTTATTGATTTCTACAGAAAATGCAATAGGGATTTTAATTGGGATTATAGATTAATATATAGATTAATTTGGGGACAGCTGACCTTTTTGCAATCTTAAATCTTTTGATCCACAAACAGTATTTCTCTCCATTTATTTTGATCGTCTATGATTTTCCTCAAAACTTTTTGGTTTCCAGTATATGAATCTTACACATAATTTGTTAGCTTTATTGATAAATATTTTGTTTTCATTGCTATTACAAATTGTTCAATTTCTAATTTTTTATTATCATGATATAAAAATACATTAATTTTATATATTTATCTTTTTTTTTTTAAGTAAGCTCCACACCCAACATAGGGCTTGAATTTACAACTCTGAGATCAAGTTGCATGGCCTACTAACTGAGCCAGCTAGGTGTCCCTATATATTTATCTTGTATCCTCCAAACTTTCTAAAATCATGTTAGTTAAATAGGTTTTTTGTAGATTTTTTTGGTATTTTCTACATAGGCAATCATGTTGTCTGTAAATAAAGAGTTTTATTTCTTGATTTCCAATCCATGTGAATTTTATTTCTTCTTTTTGCCTCTGGGACTGGCTCCAGGTCCATGTTATTTTAGGTGAAGGCAAAAATGAGACAAATGGATGACCTAGAAACTTTTCACAGATGAGTAAATTCTTATGATGATAAGAATGCCTTATAGGAAACCATCTTGGTCTGAACTAAAATGAGACATTTAACTGGAAATTATCTAACTGTTGAGTGGTGGTGCACTATAGATTTTGTAGTAAGAGAATCCTTTCCATCTCTGGACCTTTTTCCATATACTATTGCTAAAATATTACTTAAGGCACAAATTGAATATATTCCTTGAGAAACTGCTGTACAACATATTTTATCAAGTGTGTGACTTCTGCTTTATAGACTATCCTTGTGTGTGCTATTGAGTGGGTTCATAAATATGCTTTTAAGTTCTAATTACCAACTGCTGATAAAATCTCCCATAACCCTATAAGCTCAAGAAAAATGGGAGAAGATATTCAGTATCTTTTTGTAATTTTTTTTGTAATTTTTAACATTAAAAACCCTATAATTCCAATTGCTCTGCACAAACAGGTTAACTAATTAATCACTGACTGAGGAGTTTTTTTTTTTATTTTAAGATTTTATTTATTTATTCATGAGCGACAGAGAGAGAGAGAGAGAGGCAGAGACACAGGCAGAGGGAGAAGCAGGCTCCATGCAGGGAGCCCGACATAGGACTCGATCTCCCATCTCCAGGATCACACCCTGGGCTGCAGGTGGTGTTAAACTGCTGTGCCACCAGGGCTGCCCGGACTGCGGGGTTTGAGGGAAGAACAAGGGGTAAGTTTCATACATGGTGATAATTATGGTAGCTTTTAATATATTATTTTTAGACTAATAACTTGGAAATTCTGAGGACTATTAAAGATGTTAAAGCCATGACTCCTGAGAAGTGAAAAATATTCTGAGAAATTTCCCAGAAGGACAAAACTCTTTACCATTGGGTGTTGGGCATCATTTTAGCCCAAATGCTCTGGATTTGCAAAGAATTTGTCCTTCTCTCCTTGGCCCACTGACCCTGGATGCAGCTATTTCATAGGACTGCTATATCATTAGACACCAGATAAAAACTCCCAAACTCTGATTTTGGGGCTCCTTCAGGTGTCCTTTGATACATAGCAACCTTAGCACCAAGGAGAGAATATAGGGTGTGTGGGAAAAGGTATAAGGATACCAGGAGACCTGGTTCCTTGTACTGCTAACCAGCTGTCGATTTTGACCTTCTGTCATTACTGACAGAATGAAGGAGTCAGACACTATCACAGTGAAGATATAGGAACCTTTTTTTTTTAAAAAAAAATTTCTATGGTATGTTTTTGTTTTTTTGTTTAAGAGTCTGTAATGTCATAATATCACAATTTTTCCATGAGGTGATTGAGAAAAGTATTTTGTTCATTTTACTAATAAAAAAGCTGACGTTTAGAGAGATAAATGTCATATAGCTAATAAAAGTGGTAGAGCCTGTGCCAAGTGCAAATCCAATACTGCTGTCTTCTGGTTCAGTGTTCTTTCTACAATATCATAGGGAAAGGATTGCAAAAAGGTAGCCTGCCAGGCAGAGTTCTGTTGGCCCACAGTATTTTTAAAGTTTAAAACTGAATGTGCTTCTCATTTGGATAGGTCACTCCAACTGTGTCATACCCATCATTTCCATGATCTGTCTGGCCCTTGAGTTGTGATGCTGCCACAAAAACATATATTCATACATGATTCAATTCCACTAGATTTTAGTATTTTATTACATGTATTTATTCTCTGTTTCACCACTTCCCAATACTCAACTTGTTAATCTGCATCAAATTAGTTAGAAGTACTGACTATTTAAATATGTATTGACTAAAACAACCTGACTTGTACTGGCAGATTATCTTTCTGGGCAAGCTTTACTCTATTATAAAAGAACAGAATATGGTAGCATATCAACCTGCCATCATCCGGTCTACTCATCCAAAATCTGACTTATGAAATTCCATCATCTATACTATTTAGTCATATAACATGGACAAAAACAAACAGAAGACTTTTTAGAGAAATGACCTTTGCCCTATTCCCCAAAGTTGCAAAGCAAAGGTATGTCTCTGTCAATACATGCCCTGTTAGAAGTACATAAAATGATTATTCATACCTCTGGATTGAGACTGAAAGCTTTTGCTGGTTTTCCCACACAAAGAAAATCAAAAATAATTTCTTTCATTGCAAAATCTAAACGTTCCTGTAGTGAAAAAGAGAAAACAAAACAAAGATGTTAAAATACAAATTCAACATGAAATGTCTATTTTCATTAGGCACTAAACAGGTGGCTGCCAAAAGAAGCAAGATACTGCTCAATTGTATGCATTAAGAGATTCCCTGAAGGAAGATCATGTCCCCTGGAACCTCGGGTGAAAGTTCTGTTTTCATGTGGTGTGTAAAGATGCTTTCATTATATAACATGTGGAATTAGCCTGTAAAGCATGGAATGGTTAATGACAAAACAAAAAACAAAAACCAAATGCCCAAAAATGAAAACCCCAAACAATTGGAATGTCTGGGGCTTATTCATGGTCTCAACACTTCCTGCTTGTGTTGCAAATGCTAATAACTTCTTGAAATTCAGTTTAAAATGTATTTTAAAAAATACCTCTGCAAAATGACCATTTTATCCTATTCTCTAACATTTCACATCTTTTGTCTCATATTATAATGGACAATTCTGCAAGTGAAATGAATAATTAATAAATAAGATATACTATGGCTATTTAAGTAAGAAAGCATATGCCAGGTTCTAATAATTTGAGACAGTAGCTACTATGATATGATAGGTTAATTTTATACAACATATTTCAGAATAATCAAACTATATTTTCAGCCAAATGATAACTACATGCAGAAAAATCACATTAATTCATCTACCTGCAAAGCGAGTAATGTCTTTTCCCTAAGTACACATATTACAGAAGCATCTCATTATACCAAACACACAGGGAGATATCAAATATTAAATAGTCTGTGAAGTAACAACTGAACCTTTCATCTTTATATCAGTATCAATTGTACTTAACAGTATTTTCATGCCTATAATTTTCCTTTATCCACACAGGATTCTGAAGTACACTGGGCAAGCATTTAATCCACATTTTATAAAGAAACAAAAGAAAGATGCTCTCTGACTTGCTAAGGGTATAGAGCTGGCTGTGGCAGAGGTTGAACTGGAACAATTATCTTTTCCCATTGTTCCGTAAATCACAAGGAAGCCAAAGTTGGGGTATAACAGTTTCCCATAAAGTGTTTTAAAAAGTAAAAATCTTGGGTATAAACAGTAAACTAAATATTAAAAACTATGTTTATTATTATTGGACCCAGATTTTAATGAAACTAGTACCTGTAAAATTCTTAGAAAAGTTCTTGGCAAAGTGTAAGTGCTTAACAAATGCTAATATTCCTATTTTATTCTTCTTTCTCATAGGGCAAAAAAGCATTTTTATTTACTCTTCAAATTTCAATATCTGATTTCAAAAATCAAATTGATTTCCTCCCTGAAACATCAGTCTCTTTGCTTCCTCCTGACTTGCAGAATCCAGAGCAGAGACTAGAAGTTGAGACCCTTTTACTAATAGGCTCTGCGACCTTAGATGAGTCACTTAAACTCTTTCAGTTGCTCATTTGTCAAATGCTGAAAATACTTGATGTACCCATGACCCATGTCACTGTTTTGAAGCAAAAAAAAAAAAAAAAAAAAAAAAAAAAATCCCAAACAAAACAAAACAAAAAAACCAAACTATGTGTGAAAACACTTACAAAACCATTCTGAAAAGTCTTTGTACATAAGATATTACTTTAGACTCTTCATCTGGTAGTATTTCCTAGGAAGGAGACTGGCCACTTGAAGGCAATTAGATCACTCCCACTGCCAGAAGCTTCTCCATTACCTGGGCAATGAACTGGATGATTTTCACAAAGATGTTCAGAGGCATATCCCTTGGCACCACACCACGGGACCCTTTGGGGAAAAGTGTTGTGATGATGGTTATAAGACGGCTGAAAGATAGGGAGAAAAAAAGAGAAGACAAGCAAGATTGGCTGAGCTCCAGTTCTGAAAGGGAAAATGGCAGATGTTTCATTTTATCTAAGTATCAGAGAGAATTCAGAAAAAGAAAACAAACCACTTCATTCCTTTTTCATTAGCATAATTACCCTATGAAAAGTTTTTCCGGAAAACTAAGAACAGTTGGAAAATTATAGCCATTTGCTTTGCTAACATGGTGAATGCAGCCTTGGACATGGAACCTCCTGGTCCTGGTACATGCTGAAATTTCTGTAATGGGTTGCTGAGCCAATGACTAAGGAAAGCTTGAAAATGTCCTTATCACTTAGATCTTTTAGAAACTGTCAACTTTGAATAGTTTCTAGTTTGGTGAGTACAGGTATCAATAAAACAAAACATCCTCTTCATTGGCTAAGAAATGGTTACCATTAACTCAGTGATGTAGTTACCATTAACCCAAACCACCTCCTTACCTCTGAGTAGCTGTGTTGCTTTCACATTTAATTCGAATCATGTAAACCCAAAGTAATCTGTACAGAGATTCCAGTGCAACTCGAGCCATCTTGGGGTCTTTATTCTACAATAGAAAATAGGATGTAAGATAGTGTTAGATTTAAGATTTAATTAAGCATAAATGGGGAAAAAAGTTAAATAGTAATATATGGAGGTTATTCTTTTCTGAATGCCTAGAAATGCAGATCCCCACACCTGGGTGGCTTAGTGGTTGAGCATCTGCCTTCAGCTCAGGGTATGATCCTAGAATCCTAGGATAGAGTCCTCCATCAGGGTCCTTGCAGGGAGCCTGCTTCTCCCTCTGCCTATGTCTCTGCCTATTTGTGTCTCTCATAAATAAATAAAATCTTAAAAAAAAAAAAAGAAATTCAGCACCCCTACAAGTCACCTGCATCATCTGGGATTTATGGGTTATTTGCCTTCAGGTGCCCACTGAGTTAATAATCAATGAGGAGGGCTCTAAATAGTCATGAGGACAGGACAGAGTTGTTCAGGAGGAAATCATGTCATTCTCTCCTTTGCCAAGGTGAATACCTGAAATTGCCTTCTTCTTCCAGCCCTGGGGAACCTGTATTCTCTAGCACTAAGAGAAGAATCAATCTCTTCTTTCTATTGTTAATTATGTGCTTTTTGCTTTGATTCCCCAAGCTCCCCAGCTCCCCATTTCATTACCCAACCAACATTTGTTGAGATGAATGTGTACTCAGCAGTATGTTAGAGTACAGGACATACAGATAAAAGATAATCCCTCTCCTTAAGTTGTTCACAACCTCTGGGGGATGGGAGATGGATAGTAAGCAATCAACTCTTAAGGCAGTAAAAAAAACCTGAGAGGGACAGGAGCTAGAGAATAGAAAGAAGGGCAAGCTATGGAAAGCTCAAGGAAGGTCAGAAAAAATTTCCAAGGGCAGATGAACACTCAGATGAACTTGACTCCATTCATTTACTCATGTGTTCATTCAACCAAACATCTGGGTGGCTACAGTAGGCTAGGTACTATGCTTGGCACAGTGTAAAACTTTGAACAGTGTAGATAGAGGATGGGAAGGAAGAACACATGGAAGCTAAGAGAGCTGAAGAATATGGGTCATGTCTCAGAACCTGGGAACAGTTAATATGCCAGTGCATAGGGCCAGGTGAAGGGGCAGTGGCTGATGAGGCCTGTGAGGAAGGCAGGGGTCACATGTGGGACGCTGCATGCCAGGCTCAATAAGTGGACCATGGTTCTTATGATGGTGACAAAAAGCTACTAAGTCCCTGCGGGAAGAGCCTGCCTACAGTGTGGGGAAAGGAGTAGAGGCAGGGACCAGAGGCTACGGCAGAGCTGCTGGCTTCTGGGCCATAACAAGCCAGAGAGGAAGGAACTGATTCTTTTCCTACTGTCCATCTTACTCAAATTACATTCCTCTTGATTTAAAAATCATCGACTGGGTGGTTACCCTGATGCCTATGGGATCCAGGTAGCATTTCTTGGCATGGTATATAACTGACCAGTCAATATGTAGCTCTAACCTAACCTTTTCTGCCTCCTTTCCTGCTACCCTCCCACAAGCTCCTGAAAGTCTAACTAGGCTGTGTTCATTCCACTCACATGTCAGGAGTGGGTTTCCTCACCCCCTGCATCATTTTTTTCTAGCAGGTGAACCCTTCTCCTTCAGTCTACTTGACTGTCCCCCTCTTTTGTGCAGGCTCCTTGGTTCCTCCCCAGGCCCTCAATCCCATCCCACGAAAGCTAACTGTTCTGTCCTGAGTATCTTCTGACCTTTATACAACCTCTAGTATACAGGCTTGTTTAGATGTCTGAAAGAAAGGGTCATTGTTCACCTTGACATCTATTAGAATTCCCGCCATTCTTCAGGAAGTCAAAAAATGTTTGCTGAACAGTCTTTAAATGTCATTCTTAACTTTCTCATACTTTTTTTCCTTTTATGTGACTTCTCTTCCTTTATTCATTTATTTATCTTGTCATAATTGGTTTAGTGGCTTTATTTTTAGTGCAGATAATCTGGATACTGATTTTTATAGAATTGTAAGTGTTTAGATATTACCACAGATAAAGCTTATTTTTAGACTTCATGTAAATAAATTCTATGGAAAAGGTGATAATGATTTTTTAAGATTTAGGAGAAATAGAATACATTTTTGGTGTGATCATTATAAAATTCTAAATTTCTATATGCATTCATATCTGTTTTTAGAATTTGTTTTATTAGTCTGTCTATTCATGGGCTAAGACCACATTATTTTAAGTTTTGAGGCTTTAAAATATGTTTTATTACTATATACTGAAACTAATATTATACTGTATATGAACTGGAATTTAAATAAGAACTTAAAAAATAAAATAAATGTATCTTATTATCTGGTATGGACTGTCTCCCATCATCCACTGGTCTTTTCTTCTTTTTAAAGGGTTTTCACAGATATTTTTTCCATGTTTATTCTTTTGAATAAATGTTATAACTACTTTTCTAGCTATAGGGAAAAACAGACCCAAACTTTTTTTTCTAAGACCCCAATTTTTTAAAGCATACATTGATATATGATTTGTATGTTTGGTTACATAAAGGAACTTTAACTACTAAACTGATAAAGTGGAATTTAAAATATTCCATCATTAAAAAATTGGGGGAATTCTAATTATCCTCCCCACAATCACTCCAAATTAGCAAATGCCTATGATGTGCTTAAATGGTAGTTAAAAGCAGATTCTAGACACACACTGCCTGGGTTTGAATCCATCCTTGTGCTACAATTTATTAGGGGTATGGCCAGCCTCAGGAAAACTAATGTCTCTGGGCCTGATTTTCCCTGTCTGCAGATGATAATCCTACCTACCTCATAAGAATGTTGAGAATTAAATGAGTTAATACATATGGGATATTTAGCACTGTTCTTGTCCATAGTAACTATTATTATGTACAAGTTACCAGGATCTAGCAGCTAACATGCTCTGATTTGGGGGCTCTTCCATTCCAGTGAAGATGTTTACTCCTTTGTTAATTTCCTTTTATTAGTAAATGTATTTTATATTTGCATAGTGTATCATTCATAATTCTCTCATGTGACTTATTTCATATTGTGAATCATGACGGGGTAAGGCAAATATCACCTAAGTTTTATTAAGGAGATTAACAGAGAGCTCTAGTTTAAACAATTCATATTGCTGTCTTCTGGTTAACTTCAACTTATTTTACATATTTTTTCCTGTCTCCCTACCCACAATTCCCTTTTTGGTTATCTTGTTGTGACTGATGTTCTTTTACTCTTAAGAATATGCTTGAGATTATCTATTTTTGTTTTCACAGAGATTGATGAGCAAAGTGGCTGACTTATGTGTTTACTTTGTTTTACCTTTGGATCCTGTTCTAGTACTTGATTTTTAGCATTTCAAGGTGATATTGCTGGTTGCTACGATTGCCTCCTCAAATGATTTTCTTGCCTCTCTTCCGTTCTTAAATCGCGAACATAACTGTTTACTTCCCCACATTTAAAATCCTTAAGTGGCTTCTAATCATCTCCTGGACAATGTCCAAATTCCATGATGTGGTACATGAGGGGCCTTTGGCAATCTGGCTCCCCCATTACTGTCTCCTGCCTCCACTTTGGGCTTGATGCACCGCATGCCATTATATTCCTTCTGCAATCTCCTAAATGCCTCAAATGTTTAATTGGAAAATTTCTACTCCCTGGCAAGATTCAGTTAGGTGTCATCTCCTCTATTAAATCCTATACTATTGTAATCACTATTTCTTCATCTCAGAGAGATTGCCAAGTGCCTCTGCTTCCTGCTTCCAGAATGCTATTCTATCCCCTTACTTGTATATTTCTTAGCAGACTGTGAACTCCAGAATTCTGGTTTGTCCATTTTTGTGTCCTCAATGACTGCCAAACAGCAGGTTATTAGTAAATATCAATTAAAAGAAAACAGACTGTGCGTAGTAGCTGAACAACTTGATGCATAAGATGTCTTTATATAGAACAACTCTATACAAGGAGGCAGTTCAGAAAAGTGACATAGAATGATCCTGAATTCACCTCCTTCTAAGTAAGTACACAATAAATCCATAGCTATATATGGAATAATTTCCTCTGGAAAGAATTTGAATACTAGCTGAACAGCTACTTTACAACAAAGGATAAAAAGGCCACATGAAGACAGGTAGACAGTCTTGACAAAAACCCCACCCCCAGAGTGGTGACCCACCATGGGGAGGGGACTCACAAATTGGAACTCCTCCTTGAAGAGCATGGACATTTTGCCCCACATTAGCCACTCTATCCCTTAGGGCCTGCACCATAGAAATGAGCCCCCAAAATGTGTGACTTTGAAAACCAACAGAACTTACAGCCAGGAGAGTCATAAGGCTATAGGGAAAGAGAGACAGCCTTAAAAGCTCGTATGCAGATTCACTCTCCCTGGGACCCAGTACAAAAGCAGCAGTTTGAGAAGAGCCTAGACCATATGGGAAGAAGATAAATTTGCTAATATTAAGGTATCTGCTAGAGGAGCAAAAACCTGTTAGGACTCTGTGCAGGGATGGAGGCACTAGTGGGTGACATTTTTACATTCACTTTCTACCTTGCTGGTGCCAGCACTAGGAAGTACTATTTTTGTACTCTCACTCTAACTGACCAGTGATAACCTCCATCTTCCATGCCACTGCCGTGGCCTTGCATCCCTTGTGTTGCCTGCATAACCCTGTCCCTGCCCTCCTCGATCTACCAAAGCCAGCAGGCATACAGAACCCACACAGAGGATGCCCTTGAATGTCAGACTCTGGTAACCTGGAGAGTTGCATTTCTGGGATTAATGAGGCTTAAACAACCAGAGAGACAGTTCCAGATACAATCAAGAGCTTGGGCAATGTTAAACAATAAGATTCATTGCCTATATAAGGCTATCCTTTTAAGAGCGGGAGAGAGAGCTGTTTTGTCTAACACATAGAAACAAACATAGAGTGTCAAGCAAAATGAGGAAACACAGGAATATGTTCCAAACAAAAGAGTAAGATAAAATCCCAGGAAAAAAACTTTAATGAAATGAAGATAAAAAAATTGTCT